GTTCAATCCACTCGCGGTCCCATCTATAATGCACGAGGTCGGCGACTACTCGTCGCGCCGAAGAGACATGACTCGAAATGGAGACATTTATTCGCCCAGGCGACATAATTGCAAAATTCACGGCATCGAGATATTTGCTCTCAGTAAAAACTTTTTTTTTTTCTAGTCTTGATTAGACTCACCACCATCATCGGAAAATTATCGTGTCGTTTAGGCTGGCGTTGAGCGCATTACAAGATGGGAGATATGACATCTGAGCTAGATGAAATTCGGCATGAAAGTCTCAGTATTCAAGTGGAAGAGGTCTCGATCAACGTGGCCCTAGCTCGTCGCGATGGACCCTTGGAGCCGATCGTATTCCTACATGGATTCGGTGGCAGCAAGGAAGACTACCTTGATATAGCCCTGAGCAAATCGTTCCGAGGCCGGGCCTTTATCGCTTTCGATGCACCCGGCTGTGGTCAAACGACTCTGGCCGACTACAGCAAACTTTCTATTCCCTTCTTGGTCAAGACGGCACAAACAGTCCTCAAGCAGCTGGGAATTCAGCGATTTCACATCGTGGGCCACTCAATGGGAGGTCTCACCGCCCTCGAACTGGCAACTCTGATGCCCGAATCTGTCCTCAGCTTTGTCAACATCAAGGGAAATCTCGGACCGGAAGATTGTTTTCTCAGCAGGCAGATTTTTACTTGGGCAGATGAGGATCCGGAAAAGTTCCTCAGCGCATTCATCACACGCAACTACCATTCACCTCTATTTTCTGCGTCCCTGTACGCCTCAAACGTCCGGTCCAAAGTTCGAGCCGAGGCAGTCAGGGGTATATTCGAGTCCATGGTACACCTGTCTGACGAGGGCAGGCTGTTGGAAAAATTCCTAGCTCTGCCTTTTCCGTGCATGTACATGTTTGGCGAGCAGTACAACACACTTTCATATCTCCCGACGCTCGAAAAGGGCGGGGTGCAGCTTGCCGAGATACCGCATTGTGGGCACTTTCCAATGTACTCGAACCCTGTCGCCATGTGGACTTTCATCTCTGAAATCACGTCAGCCAAGGTGGCATGAGCATACCTTGGATGTGGTCTAGAGAAATTGGCAAGGCGGTCTTTTGAGGGGACAACCATCAAATGTTAGGCCAGTGTATAATGATGTCAAGGTAGCGAAAAGAACATTGGAGATGTGGCGGTTGTTGGGTGCAGTATAGGGGTAGTTGCAGTGATACCCAGGCAGAGCACTCGTACTGTGTTTAGGTACCCCAAACATCTCCTCGAGTATGTGAAAATTTCGATTTATTCCACGCAAGAGTATAACCCAATGAAAATGTTTCAGCGTTTTCCAAGCAACAGCATTTTTCGGGCTCCCGTGGAAATATGTGCCAGGGGAACTTGGCTGCACGCGTGTTTGCGTTCCGGTGGACGGACCCGGAGCCAGATTCCGGCGGACTTTCCTGTTAAGATTAGCGCCCAAGATTGGCCATGTCAGTGGCCGCTGACAGTCGACCAGCGATCTAGAGCGCTAGCGCTAGCGTGTGTTTGCCCTCTTCGGGTATGGACGGGTACTATACTCCGAGTCAAGGACCCGGTGGAAGTGATCATGGAGGACTATAGAGCTTCATGAGTAAAGGTATACAAATAGACTTCCTACAGCACACAATTTGGATCGTTGTTCGACAGTAAATTGAACATTTCGGAACTATCACTCTTCCCTGAGATCTTCTACACGTATTCCAAATTGCCAATCATGGCTTCCTCAAACACCATTACTGTTACTCTTGGTCAGATCGCCAAAATGATTGATCACTCTCTCCTCCACCCCACCATGACCGATGCCGACATTCTGGAAGGCCTTCGGATTTCCAAAAAGTACAATGTCGCCACTGCCTGCGTCAAGCCGTACTTGATCCCCATGGCCAAGAACGAGCTCGACGGCACCGACGTCCTCGTGTGCCCCGTCATTGGCTTTCCCCACGGCAACAGCACCACCGACGTCAAGGTCTACGAAGCCACAGCTGCTGCCCAGGCCGGGGGCAAGGAGATTGACATGGTGATCAACATTGGCAAGGCGCTCGGCGGCGACTGGGATTATGTCAAGACGGAGATTGAGGCCATCAACAAGGCCGTTACCCAAAACGGCGCCATTCTCAAGGTGATTTTCGAAAACGACTATCTCCAGGAGGAACACATTATTCGTCTGTGCGAGATATGCTCCGAGCTAGACGTTGCCTTTGTCAAGACATCTACAGGCTACGGATTCGTCAAGCAGCCCAATGGACAATACTCTTACAAGGGCGCGACGGTACCTCATCTTGCTCTAATGCGCAAGCACTCCAAGCCGGGGGTTCAGGTCAAAGCGGCGGGAGGCGTAAGGACACTGGATGACTTGTTGCACGTCATGTCCCTCGGCGTGACGAGAATTGGGGCCACGGCAACCATAGCCATCATGGAGGACGCTGCCAAGCGTGGCATCACTAGTGAGCCGACCACGGTCGAGTTCAAGCCTATTGCCGGAGAAAGCTCTGGGGGATATTAAGCGGATGATGTACGCAGGCTTCAGGTCTCGGACTTTTGAATCAGTCGTAATGTATTATTTATCAAGACCACGGTGGATTATGAAGATTTCAGAATGATGGAAAATTAGAATGACCTTAGGACTCCTCGCGCCCACGCCCACGACAGGTTCTTGATCAAGTAGTAGCTACCCCAAACTTCGTTTCAATACTAATTTAAATTCGCTCTCATTACACAAAGCAGTGTTCGTGGCCATCTGCTCCGTCCCACTTGAAGATCTTTTCGGTTCTCCATTCGGCTGGAGCGAGCTATCCTGCTGCTGTCCGCTCGTCATTCTTTGTAGTTGTATAGGAGCAGAATTTCCATATTGCCATGTGACTTCGCCCTTGGCAGTAAAACATGTCCTGACCATGAGCCGGCGCACTGAAGGCAGACATGAACAAATAACGCCAACAAAAACCTCGCTTGCCGACCAGCACCACACGTCAACGTACTCGCCTGGAGGAAACGTTAGAACGAGTGGAACTATGAGCAGTACTGGTCAAATGAAATTGATACTCACGGGTCGGATTATGACTGGCACCGAAATATACTATGGATCGCAATAGAATCGCGCTAATTATTGTGACGCTGAGGTAGAATATTTGTCAATGACTTCTAAAACGCGAGGACTTGTCAAATATTCTTACAGCATTCCCAGTGAAAACATGAAAAAGACTTGAATCTTGGAGCTGATTGGCAGTGACAGTTTGACCAGTATAGGTGTAGGCAAAACAACCACCATCAGATCCTGTAGCATGTTGATAACAGAGCCCGACAAGGCAAGTTGGTGGATATCGACACAAGTAGCATCGCTTGCCACGTTTGAAGCTGCCCAGATGCTGTTGATGGGCCAACATTGAAAGATGAAGACGGCATTGTATGCCACCCCGAACAAGATGTCAAAGGTAATCATTGCATAAACGTAGAATTTGAAAGGGGTCTGGGGAAAGATCCTGAGGTAAAAGAAGAGTGCACTCAGACGGATGAGAGTGATTGAAACACCGTAGAAGAACTCTGCGCAGTATATCAACTGCGACAGAGAGACTAGTTAGTTCCACACTTTCAAGCATGGCGTCAAAAGTCAAGAAAAACAAGCGCTTACAAGTCGTACCATGGATACATCGCTGTCTGGTAAATCCCACGCGTCCCGTCCCAAGCCATGAGATGACACTACATGGTTTTCAGCGACGACATCACGTACCGCAAATGATGGCAGAGAGACTGCACTACTTACGGGCAAAGCCAAGTGAGGTGCCGCAGACTATGGCTACAACAGCAACGCTCAAGGTGGAGTCGTCTTTACCCCAGTGATGCGAACTTATGCGTTCGATGCAGCGCATCACAAAGATTGTAGTCATGATGGCGATGATGGCTTCGCTAAGATGCTGTACGCTCATGGTTTGGTCCATTGAGCTTCTGGAGGCCAAGTTTCTTTCACACCAGGATTGGCCAGAATCTTGAATCTGTTTCTACATTTAGTAAGTGGTAGAGGTGGTGATTTCTCCATTGTCACATACATTGCAATGAAAAAATCTTTCTGTCGAGGCCATTGTGGACAGCGACGTGTTCACGAGAGGTAGACGTAGAATTTCGCACACGACTGATTATTTCGGCTTCGCCATAGGTGAAAGTGAAGGGTTCAGGTCGTTTGACCTGAATGGAATCGCTCGTCTAGATGACACATTATATGAGAATACCCGGCTCATTTTCTTTGCACGTCTTGTGGTGTGTCTCAACCTCGGCCGTGGCACGGCCCTACTTGCCCAGCTCCAGGTGCATCCAGGAGACATGTTGTCCCAAGGTGCCAACAGGATTCCACCTATCATTCGTGCAATGGTGACCAAATTGAAGGAAACAAGACATTATAATATCACAACGGCCACACGCAGATCGCAACCAATCCGACGATTCGAGGCATCATTCTTCCCCACTCAAGTGCCGAATATGCAGCCGGTGCTCGAACGGGGAAGATTGGCTTGGTTCGATTTACCGTGCGCAGGAACCGAGCCGTCGATCCCCCGGATTCTGTTTTGCAGGAAGGCTCTGACCCGGTTTTACCCCAGATGTCAGAGAGCTCGGCATGTGTCAGGCAAAGTTTCTAGCCCGTGATTGGATCTGGGGTGCAGGCTGCATGAATGTTGATGAATGTCATTCACAGGTAGGGTTACAGCAAGTCCACGTACCTGGCAAGCTGGTATTTATGCCCCATTTCGATGTTGATATTGTGGGAAGGCCCGACCAAGCGCACCCCGAAGTTCCCGAAAGGGTTTGCGAAGAAGTCCGCAGTTGCGTCTAATAGAGAGCATAGATCGTGGGGATCACGGAGAATACGGGAATTATAAGAATTATAGTTCGGGGGGTTGTGGGAATCGTGGGGAGTAGTCAAGGTCCCTCTAGGGGTCCTGGGATATTGTGGGGATGGCCCTAGGGATTGCTATAGCGCCTTTTGGTAGGCCCTGAAGAGAGCAAATACGCAAATTTGGGTCACTTTGACTAACAACCACCTTGAAAGATGTACCAACATACAACATGAACTTGGAGCTGGCGTTCCAATCCAGTCTAGCTAGAGGCAACCATTCAAGACATTCTCTGCTTGTTGGATACGGATTTCGTATTCGAGTCCCATATTCGCAATGCAGTTATAAGTGCCATGACAACCCAAGAGTCCCGCGTCGTAATTCGAGTCGCGTCTACAAGAAACTCCAAGCTGAGCACTTTGGATAGGCTCATGCTGCTTTCGTTGGCCCACGTCGCCACCACCTGTTTATCCTCGTCCGACTGAACCTCGGCACCGTCCTTGCCTGCACCCGTTCCTGCATACCGCACCAACTCCCAGTGCAAAACCCTGCTGTCTCCCAGCAGCGAAGTTTTCGTCTCTGCATGGGGCAGCCACTCGAAAGTGACAGGCTGTCTGCTCTCGTCTTGGACGACGAACCGATGCGCGCCGCCCTGCTGGGCAATCTCTACCGTCTTTTCTTCCGTTGCCGTGGGGCTTCCCGGAAGACGGAGCTTGGCGGTTGTCGAGTGAACGAGCACGTTGGAATCGACACCGGCCAGCATGGCCGAGTCCTTGGCCGGTCCACTGTGCAGGACGACGTCGGGTGCGCGCCCAAAGCCAGAGTGCGTCGTCACCGCCAGTAGAGGGTCCTCTCGATGTTCTCCGATTACATAGTGATTACCGAGACCGTGGGCGGAGCGATAGAGGGAGAGTCGGGTGGGGAGCTCGACGACTTCTGTTGGCGCTGCACCTTTCGTGTGTTCCGGTGGACTCTCTCTCATATGCTCCGTGTCCACCACATGTTGCTGGGTGTCTTCCTGGTTTCCCATGGTGCGTCCTGACCTCTCAGAATTAAATGAATTCGGACAGTCTCAGATGTCTGTTTCTGTCGACAATAAATCTTGCGAAGAGGCATATGGTGTCACGGAAAGAGACGGATCTACTTGAGGGCGGCTCCTTCAAGGTATATGATCAAAAATTGAAGATGCTTGGCTGACGTCTCGATGTAGTCATGTGCTGAAGAGGGCGCAAATCAGGTTTTGCTGTGCCCCTTGAGTAGATTCATTCGTTTTAGGACCAATTGGCAACTCGGATGAATCGTTGGAGTCGCGTATCGTTACCGAGTGAGAAATGAATTATGGGTCTCACTCGATTTTCAGCCAGATCAAGTCGCAGTCTGAATTAGAAATAGTGCAGCCTCCATGTCAAGTATCAAAAGCAACAGCAGTATGTACTTACTAAAGACAAATCACTGAGGCTTCGCATGAGGGCAAACGCCTGCCGACAAGTCACATTTACTACGTACATCTAGAAAACGTGGATGTGACGTTGTGGTTTCGTCGCCGTTTGCCAAGTTGTGTTCATATGAATAGTCGTGTGGGCTGGTCGTTTTGTCCTAGCACCTCTAGAGAGTCGCATTCAACAGACATCATGCCCTCGTCTGCTTATGCTGCTTCCACAATTTGCGGTTAAAGTTGACGCACAATCATTCTTGTAATCGTCTATCCTTGAGCAGTAAAATGTCGAGAGTTCTCCGCCCCAAACTACGACTTCCTAGCTTTGCGAACCTCGGAAACATTTTCGACTTCTGCGCATCAAGGTCTTCTCAATACGTCCAACACTACAATCGTAGGCCGCTAAGTCAGCGGAGAAACGGGGGTTATGAGCATTACAGGCCCTGCGGGGAATGTGGGAATCGTGGGGAGTCAGTAAAGAGATTGCGGGGAGTGCGGTGGGGATTGTTACAGCATTGCGCGGCGATACACGTCAAGAGAGCAAATACTCAAGATTGATTTCGACGATCAAGGCTGTGCAAACAATTCCGGCTCATCCCAAGATTGCGTATATAATCTGATTCTGAGCATGAGCATGATTCTGAGGAACATCAATCGGAATTCTTCAGACTATCATCCATCATCATATTTGTACCAGTAAATAGCCGACTTGCTTATTCCATACAATGACCACCTCGTTTGGCGACGTTCAAATCATTTTCGGCGACCCGAGACAACCAAAGGCGTTGCCTCTGAGTCATCCAAAGGCCAGATTTGGCGAGTTTGGAACTTTGACAAAGGTGTTGCCCAAGGGACACAGGGTCAAGAGTGATTCGCTTCCCCTGCCTTGCGATATCCTATTTGAGCGAGACATTCCAGTCAAGGTCAGTCTTCTCCACAGACTCTTTCGAGTTGGAGCACAATGCTAATGATAGAAATCAGCTCCGGGACGGCACTCAAATATACGTGGATGTATATCGCCCCCACAATTCGCCAACCACTTGTCCAGCACTGGTCGCATGGTCACCATACGGCAAACAGGGCGGCCGGGGTAACCAGGTTCTGGACGATTTTCCCTTTCGCATGGGTGTACCCCAACATAAGCTTTCAGAATTACAAAAGTGGGAAGGCCCAGATCCTGGGTACTGGGTCCAACACGGCTACGCAATTGTGAACCCGGATCCACGTGGGGTCGGCAAGAGTTCGGGCAACATTTACCAGTTTGGGTCCCAGGAGGGTCGAGATGGTGCCGATGTTGTCGACTGGATTGGCGAGCAAGAATGGTGCTCGGGCAAAGTTGGATTGAGCGGCAATTCTTACCTTGCCATCTCTCAGGTATAGCAAATTCTTTGTATTGAAGATGATGTAGTGTTCTAATGTTTCTTAGTGGTATATCGCTGCCGAACGACCAAAGCACCTTGCTGCTATTGCTCCAGTAAGTCAATAATCACTCCACAATACCAGCAGTCCCTATATTGACAACTTCTTCAAGTGGGAGGGTTTTACCGACCTCTACAAGGAAGGCAACAGGGGTGGTGTGGAGAGTGTTCCTGCAAGTAACTTTACCTTGAAGCTTCTTCAAGTCAACTTTGGCGAACAGTCTTGGGAGAATACGGTAGCCATGGGCCTGGAGCACAAGATACATGGTCCCTACCATGATGACAAGAAAGCTCGAGTAGAGGTAAGCCGAGCACCTGTGCTCGACACGGTTCAGAATCACTAATCATTCTGTAGAACATAAATGTTCCCGCATACGTGGTTGCAAGCTGGTCGAACCCGATTCATACATATGGGACATTTTGCGGATATCACAGGCTCAAGACTGACAAGTGGCTTAGAATCCACGATGCATGGGTAAGCACAAATGAGCTATACACCGGAAACCGGGCTGATTGCATCTACAGGAATGGCCAGACTATTACGAAGACGAAAACATTGCAGACTTGCATCGCTTCTTTGATCGTTTCCTCAAGGTAAAACGCACATTTTTGAGATATAATCGCTTTATACTGAGAATTGTTGTAGGGTTTGGATAACGGCTGGGAACAAACACCCCGTTGTCGCTATAAAGTTCTTGACACCGCCATGCCGACTCCTAAACGCATTTCGTATTCAGAGTCCAACTCATTCCCGATTGAATCAACAAAGCCATTGAAACTCTTTCTGAATGGCAAGAGCCACAAGCTGGACGCAGTAAAACCGGCACCCCATCAACGGCAGTACGCTGCTTCCACCGAGCACGTCCGATTCACTTACACTTTTGAATCCGACACAATTCTCTGTGGGCCTTTGGAACTATTTTTAAAAGTTTCTGTCACTGGCAACGACGACTCGGACATTTTTGTCGCGTGCGCGAAAATCTGCCCCAGCGGCACGGCGAGGAAACAGCTCGTGGTGCCGTATGAGAAATGGTACCAGAGCCGCGTCATTCGCGGGGCGTACAACCTGGGCCTGGCTCCGGACGCGGGAGCCCTCTTCTACGCCGGGCCCACGGGCCAACTGCGCCTCTCTCGTCGCCAACAGATGCCTGACCACCAAGTCCCTGGGTTTCCCACGTTTCGTATGGATAAGTACGCACCGCTGCCGCCAAACCAAGTGGTGCCCATCCAGATTCCCATGACGCCCATCGGTATGCGCTTCTCTCGGGGAGAGACTCTGGAGATTCGTGTCAGCGGCACAAATTCCGCAGTCTTTCCGCCCGTGGATCAGGCCACTCTTGACGTCCAAGGTTTGACCGATGTGAATGAACATGCTGTCATCACTCTACATCTTGGTGAGGAAAGTCATGTTTCATTGCCCGTGATACCCTCTGCCTCTTTGGGGTAATAAGAAAAGTGCAGGTTGGATGAAATCGAATTCGTGTCAACTTCCTGTAGTCTTTCCGATGTTGAGTTATATGGCAGTCAAATGCGAGTTGTGCAAGGGGGTCATTATAATTATTTGATTCAAATGAGGAAAAAAGGCTTCCAAGAGAGATAGAACTTTATCATCCGTACACTCTATATTTTGAAATTCATTGGTCCAAGCGAATTTGAATCTGTGATCCGCCGGGTACGCCATATCCACCGGAACTGCCAGATACCCCATCCACGGTCGAGGCTTGCACGAGTACTTAAGGACCCTTTTGGAGCTACTTGCCAATGGCAATTCTGCATTCTTCACCCCATTAGGCAATTAACCTTCGGTGTGATTTAACCTTCTCTTGATCGCATTTATCAGCCACGGAATCGAGGGGTATCTTCGGTAACCAACAAAACACCAACCATGAACGAAATACTTCCCGTACCATTAACATGCAAAGCCGGTGTCGTCACAAGACATCGGCCCGACTTCCAACTCGAAGTCGTTGAGGTGCCTGTCCCCGTGCCAGGTGGGTATATCAAACTCTCATTCGTCATCCTTCGCTAATTCTCGGCTCCAGGACCCAATGAGATCCTCATTCGTCTGAACGCAACGGGCATATGCTATAGCGATATCCACTACATGCTTGAAGACTTGCCCTTGCCGCGCATGGGAGATTATGGGGTTCGATCGCCTGGCCATGAGGGCGCCGGTGTCGTTGTCATGGTTGGGTCGCAGGTCAAGAATTGGAAAATTGGGGATCGTGCAGGCATAAAGCCTACGTGGGATACTTGCATGGCTTGCGAGCTATGCTGGGGTTCCCATGAATGTCATTGTCCGCAAGCTATACCTACGGGTCTCAAAGTTCCCGGTTAGTCTTTTGCCCTCCAACGTGTCCAAGCACTCATCTGCACACGCACGCACTGACACCTTTACATCAAGGAACGTACCAGCAGTACATTGTCAGCCCCGCCAGATATGCTTCTCCCATTCCTGATCGCGTCGACGATTATTGTGCAGGTCCGATCATGTGTAGTGGTTCGACTATATACCGATCTGTGAGTTACATCACGGCTACTCGATACCAAGTGTTTGATTATTGACCGTCGAGCCCAGATTGTAGAATCTGGCGTTCGCCCAGGCAACTGGATCGCCATTTTGGGCGCCGGCGGAGGTGTAGGTCACATGGGTGTTCAATTAGCAAAGGCCATGGGGCTTCGAATAATCGGCGTCGACTCTGGGGAGAGCAAGCGAAATTTATGCCTTGACCTCGGTTGCGAGGCTTTCGTTGACATTTCAACGACGAAAGAGATGGCATCAGAGGTGCGACGGCTTTCTTCAGGCCAAGGTGTCGATGCCGTCTTCGTTACGGCCACATCAGCATCCGCTTATCGCGCAGCGACTAGCATGGTTCGGGTCGGTGGGAGAGTCATGTGCGTGGGAATGCCAGCATCTGGGACGGCCATCGCCGGTGATGATCCCATGATCTTGATCTTGAATAACATCAAGATTATCGGTACTCTAACAGGGTCACTGAAAGATACCCATGAGGCCCTAGAATTCGCAGCACGGGGCCTTCTGAAGCCAGTCTACCAGGTCTTTAGTCTTGCCGACCTCCCAGAAGTTGTGAGTTCTTTGAGGCTTGGCAACGTGACTGGTAGATGCGTGATCGACTTTAATGCATAGGCATAGCTTGTGAATGATGTAACTGAGTAAACAATAAAAATGCCTGACCACGATATTCGTTATATAGTAAGTGGTGACAACAAACGTGCAAGTTCCAGTTGTCATGGCGCCTTGTGTCGTTGGTATTACATCACCCGGGCAAGTTGAATTTATTGTTCCGGAAAATGTGTAAAATTTGTGAGCGATCTGCCATAATTAGTAAGGGCAATGGTTGTATCAAGACCGGGCATGATTAGTATTGCAATACTTACGAGTATTATCCAAAAAGTCAATGGTGACTTCAGTCAAGCGGCTCCTCATCTTTGTTTGCAAGTCGATCGGCCCAATTGGAAATCCAGGGTATCGATCATCTGGCCCGTTTCCATTCTGTCGTGCAGTTGACGGTGTAAAGATGGCACCTCGAAAGTCGGCATGGCCATAGTGTGGTTTAATCTTGAGCCTTTGAGGCACACGCTGCCCAGTGGGATCCTCAAGTCTCCATGTCTTGGCACCGATATCTACCACAACACATGTGCGCTCTTCTGTCTTGGCGTCGTGTGTCCATATAGCTAGCTTCCAGGCATTTGTCGAATGCCTGACACCATTCACGCCAGTAGTGCTAGCACCACTCCCCGCTCCCTCCGACGATCCGGTCCCGCTTCCCGTCGTACTACTCGTTGAAGATAGGCTCTCTGATCGCTTGTGATAGCGATCGTAGCTACTCTGCGACAGCTGCCTCCATATCTGCACCGTGCCGCCTTTGAACTTTCTGGTTTGGTCCGAGGGCCATCCGTAAATCTTGACCTGACAAGTGTTAAGCTTGAACCGTGTGCCAGTAGCGTTGGGGTCCTCGGAAATATCTGGCACGATTCTCTGATATGTCAACAAGCTCATGAATTCAAGGAACTTGTCAAGGGAGCTAAAATGAAACGTAAAGCCCTCGTGTAGGTTGTCAAAGTGACAAGCAAAGGTATGCCCTGGATTAGTAGATGGGTTGAAAAAAGCATGAGGAATGAATGTCACTGTTTTCACAGCCTTGGTTTCTTTTATGACTGACTCAATGTCAAGTGTAATTCGCTCATCAGCTTGAATCTGGCCTGGCTTATCTCTGAAGAAGTATATATTCCCGGGATTCGGCCGCGCCATGCGTGATGTGCTGTAAGAGGTCTTCCATCGCTCGAGACCACAGTTCATCCAGTCTTGAGTGGGAAGACCTAGGTCTTGTCGATTCAGATTTATTCTTTGAAACTCTCCTAAGCAGGATCTCATAGTGGGTCGTTGGTCGGGAAATATGCTCAGCATGGCGCGGAGCTGTCGAATGGCGGCCCGGGTCCGTTGGTCCCCTTGGTCCTCCAAGGTTTGAAGGCGACCAGTGACTGCCGGGCGAAGTACCATATCGTGTGGCGAGGTTCCCTGCCAGAATGCATATTCGTCTTCGTCGTTACCTCTGACTCTGGACCGGAACAATCGAAGTTCGGACAGTCCAAACTCTATAAAGACGAGAACTTCCAGCAATACGCAAGCCATGGACCACACATCGTAAGCAAAAGTAAAGGGATTTGTGTTACTTCGTGGTCTGGTGACTTCTGGGGGTTGATATAAATTCGTCCCGGCTCTATGCGCTGCTGCTTGACCAAAGTCAATCAGGAACAACTTCATGACCCCGTTCTTGTCTTCCTTGATGACAATGTTCTCGGGTTTGATATCAAAATGACCGGAGCACTCGACCTCCATCTTGTCGATTGCGTCGTGCATGATGCAGACCGCTCGTACAACATCTAGACTCGCCTTCCACAAGGGATTGTCCAGCAAGCAGCCCGGTGTCGAAAGATGCGATCCCAGTTTTCGCAGCTCGAATTCATGTCCGAGATCGCGATCGTAGAAGGGGAATACAATTTCCACATAGGTGTAGAAACGATCCTTGTATGTCAGAGCAAATAGTACCTCGACAAAACTCTCGTTATCACGTCGAGCAAGGTGCATGGCAATGAGAGCCTCCTTTGCGGCTTCAGAAATGAGATCAGATCTTTCATGTTGATATTTGAATACTTTGCGAAAGAGAACTTGGTCCTGCAATTGTGTTAGCCATTTGTATTCTCCCGGAGCATACATCAACGAGCATTTACCCTTAGCTGCTCGTCTTCACAGCAAGATGGTTCAATCTGCGAAGTATAGAATTGCGGAGTAAGGCGCGTATTGAGCCTTGTCTGAGGGCACTCGAAGATGAAGGGCAGATTTTGAGTGCTATGATCGAAAATCACAGGAGCAGATGATCGTTGAAGTCTCGGAATGTTCAAGATGTTGGACTTTTCCAAGGCGGCGCTCTGAAAGACACGTTTTCGGCAAGCGAGACAAAGATCCCGAATTCTGGGAAACGAAAAGTCCTCCTTATCGAAAAAGGTGTGTGGACATTGGCTGGGGATGGGTGCGATGCGTGAGAAGCACGACGAGTCGGTTGGCTGCTGAGACCACGGCGCAATGGATTGTGCCGCGAATCTGACCACCTTGAAATCGGCTTGCGTGCAAAGATCGCCCAAGGCAAATAAACAGCCAGAAAGAATGAGGACGGCGAGTTCCTTGCGCTTCTTTGCGTCCTCTAGAATCCTCGTGTTGCGGGCCAATTCTCGGAAGCCGCTGCCGCGCTGACAGAGCTTACAAGTGCAACAAAGCAAACTGAGTACTGTATCGTTGGGGCCCAAGACTCGCTCTAGCTTCTCCCTGGTGGGCAGCAAATCTTTCTTGGTGTCGCCCGTCAATTCGATACTTGGATCGCGCTTCGTTGCGTTTTCCAGCCTCCGTAGCAGTTCGGTATTATTGCACTTGTTTTCTTCTGCATATTCGACAAAGAGTCGCGCAGCTTCCGACCCCTCGAGATCCGACATCAGCGAGGGGCGGGCCCGTTTGGAGTGACGAGGTTGGCGGGGTTGATTCACGGGAACCAAGTGAAGAATTACTGTACTGTAAGCAGACTGTAATTGGCATTTCAAGCATTGACCCAAGGGACGGGCACAAGGTTTTAATGATTGTACGTAAAGATGGAACGACCTCGGGAAATGTTGAAGTGTTTAGTGCCCCGCGCTGGTGGGCGATTCTCTAGCGCGGTGAAATAGCTAACAGAGCCGCGGGGGGGCTCCAAGCAACCAAGACACTGGGTAAGCGAAGCCCGGAAAGTCGGGCTGCTCTCAAACGGGTTCTAGGCACAGCTGTATTTGGGGGCTTTGAGCAAGGGGGACGGTTCGCGAGATAGGCGCGATCCAATCAAGAATGCCTGATGACGCCCAAATGTTCCAATTCTTGCATGGTGGCGCTGGGTCATTTCTTCAATGGCCTGGGAATTTCCTCACCAACTGGGCGGCGGGCGTTTGGAGGATCTTGGCTGGATTTTCCAAGTCAGCCTGGGCAGGCTGAGCGTTGGGAGGGCCTTTATTATTAAGACAACAATTTCAGCTCATCCGACCGCAGTTAAAGCATGGGTTCTTGATCTCGAGACCATGCGAGGTCCAGGCATTCAACACCATCATTGTGCTCTCGGAGAATGGCATCTGCACTGAGCCCAGAAGACACGGCTTCGTCTGCTGGTTTGCGGCAGCGAGTAGCTGGCTCGGATGACGATGCTTCTGCCGTGCCCTCCAACCACGCCCACCAACTCCCATTTGATGCTACCGATGCTCCCCATGATGCCGACCCCCGCGTTGATGCGCCACGCACGCTCACACAACGCGATGTTGCCGCCTTGATTATCAACAAGATGATAGGGACTGGCATTTTTACTGGCCCATACACGGTCTTGATCAACACGCAGAGTAAGAGTGTTGCCATGGGACTGTGGGCCGTGGGCTTTGGCTACACTATATTGAGGTATTGGTTGATTGCATCCCAACCACGCATAGAAAACGATCAGTATTGTTGAATACAATCGACAGCATGTTGATGTACCTCGAGTATGCAAGAAAGCTGCCATTCACTGGCGGCGAACTTGTTTACGTGAGTCTCCATCTGACATGAACGGGTTCATTTTCCATTGTTCGCAAGAGCTAACCGTCGCAAAGTTGGATGACCTTCTCAAGCCAAAGTTCCGCTTGTGGGCGTACACTCTATACGCCTTTTACTTTGTTTTTGTTTACACCACGAGCACCAATGCATTGCAGTTTGCGTCGCAAATCGTCCTAGCTGCGTATAAAAAGGCCGCCTGGAAGGAATTGCCACCAGGCGAGGTCAGCTTACATCTTTTGCGTTTCCTAGCTGTCACGATCACCACAGCGACATGCCTCTTGCTGTACATATCCAATTCGAAAAGTCGCTTGTTCAATAAGGCGACCGCTGCAGCAAAGATCTTGTCTCTGCTGATAATAGCAGGATTTGGTGCTGCTTATCTTCGTAAACATGGCTCGCACTCAAACTGGGCTTCGGATGATTCGCTTGGTGAAACCCTCCCGGACTACGATATTCACTGGGTTCCTGCGTTCATCGTCGTCTTGTATAGTTTTCATGGCTGGGAGAATGCCACTCTTGTTCGTTCCCGATGCTCTCTTTGATAATCGACTTCTACTAATAGCTTGGAAAGGTTGCGGGCGAAATTCCTTCTTTTTCGGTTCTCAAATGGGGATTCATTTGGGGAGTTTCTGTAGTAGGATCACTCTACCTACTCTTGGCCGGTATTCTCGTAAGTTTCTTCAATATCTTTGCATGAAAGGGGTCGCAATCTGCGTCCTCTCCACGGATTCTTCAATGTGTTTTGCTACTAAGACCTTTCCAGTGTGCAGCATTCGATTGGCAGCATGGCCCTCTACCCAACTATACGGCCACTGTAAGAAACACTTTTTGATCCTTGCCAGCAACGGTATTTCTAACACTGCATCAGTATTTTAGCACTGCAACAATGCCCGAGGGACAAGTATCGGAAACTGCTGCTGTTGCAACAGCTGTCTTGATCGCGTTGTCATCCATTGGAAGCATGCTGAGTGTCGCTTATACGGGTGTTCGAGGTATGCATCTACTTTGAGATCTTTATCTTTTCCTTGACTAACCTCATAGCAGTCAAGCAATCCATAGGCTGGACCAATATTCTTCCTTGGTCGTGGCTTTGGAGACGAACGGGGCCTTTGCGACCCAAATACTCATGGCGTGATGTTGACCATGGGCAGCGCAAAGTCGCCCTCATCTTTGACCAAGACGCGCTCACCCATCCTGGGTCCCCCGAGGGCGGCGTGCTTTTGTATTGGCTTACTACGATAGTTTGGATTTGCTTGTCAGCCAGCTCCACAGACACCACTTATGCCGTCAATTTTGCTGGCAATATGTTGGTTTATGGGCACTTTTTCGTTGAAGGTGAGCTGACTTGACTCTTGCTGGCTACGTGACGGTAAAATTAATGCATTTTTCAGGACTTGTAGGGATTGGCTTCATCTGGTTTGACCCCTTTCAAGACAGATTCCAAAATACCGGCTATCCTGCTTTAGACTGGTACAGGACAGAGAGCGATCGAAACCCTGCACCTTGGATGCGACAAAAGCCAGCTGAGAAGGGGCAATACTGGTCGCTTTACCGGTTGAAAGACGGGCCTTTGCAGACGCTGCTAGGAATCATCATACTAGCATTCAGTCTGGTCATTGTCATTTCCGACTTGTGGAGATCTGATGGAAGAACTGCGCTCGCGGTAGTGGGCGGCGTGCTCGTGGTAGGTTGGATATACTGGTGGGTCTTTGTTCGTTACGAGTCTGCAAGACATGTCTTCAAGTTTCTCGGATACGACATGATTCCCTGCACACATGGGGAGGATGATCTTGCGAATGATCCCCCGACACGAATATGCCACTGGTGTGTGACTCTTCGTGCAGGGCACAGACACCCGCACGACAGCTACCTATCTTTCAATGAGTTTTCGCTGCGCGGAAAGCCGCGGCCAAGATTCCTATACACTATATTCGGTGATGGGTCGGAGGCGGCGTATATGATTCAGTCGTGGTCGGATTTGATGTCGGCTTTGCGAGGCTCCCTATCTTCCGATGATTTGGAATGATTGAATTATTAGATTTCGTTTGATAAAATATAGCTTAGTGTAATGTGAAGCAGCACCGCCCGTATTCAGAGACATGAAATCCCAGAGGATTGTGTCGTCTCTCACGTGTCGCGTGGGATCTTTTGTTCCATCCAGAGGGGCAGGGTAATTATAGAGAGGTTCGCGGCCACTGAAGTGTGGGTGACTCACTGCGGCAGGTTGCCTTGTAGCTGACAGAAGAGGCAACCTGCTCGCTGTAAAGAGAGTGACGTGGTTACACCTTGCCACCACGACCCGCAGCTCATAGATAATTGAGCCGATCTGTCCTGTCATTGCAAAAGAGATCTCCATTAAACCAAACAACTAGAAACAAACTCGGCTCTCGATTATGGTACCATCTAAAACTGAGATACGCGTCATAACCCTGGAGGATATCAATTGGGTCATTACTGATGTCACGTACCGCGCTCTTCGCAGCGATGTCGAAGCACATTTGAAGACGATGTATCCTTGGGTGCACGATGCACGTAGGAATCTGATGATTCGCAAGTATAAAATTGAGGTGTGAGAAGTGATCTGATCTTTCTGCACACATGCTGACCTATCCTTTAGTCGTTACCGAACGGCGATCACCGCATTTGGGCGGCCAAGAAACTGCCCGATGTAAGCCATTTCTGAAGCCGTCCTATTCGGTCCATTGCGATATCGAGTGCTAATCAGCCTACAGGACGTGATACGCAGCCTGGTGGCCATGAATCAAACAGAAAAGACCTATGATTGAGAGAACAGACGGGTTCACCAAGTACTCCCACAAGCTGCGTCCCACGAGGGGATGCAGATCAGACTGCCATCGGCGGTGCCGGGTCAGACGGCAGGGGAGGTGCAAGGAATATGCGCCTAGCCAAGAGATTCTGATGAGACTCGCTGGCAGCCCCGGCACACTCGTACTTGTCTCTCCCTTCCAACCAGAGATGTTGGTCTACCTCCAAATACATGTTCAACATGTTTATTCGCAGTCGCCGCCATTTAGGTACATTTAATTGTGTAGAGAGACGGCGAAAGATGCGCCCGTTACGATGGAACGATGTAGAGAACTACCTCTTGATGTAATGCCACGATTAATTAACAAACATTTCAAAAATTTTCCAAATTGAATTCAAGTGAACCTGCTTTTTGATCATTGGAAGAGTTATCTGACACATGGGAGACCGGGCATGGCCGGACAGGGTGGTCACACACCCACCAAAACCCAGCGCTGTATGATGATTGATCCTGCCACGGTGCGGCTGAGATGGCACACAAGATCAAAATGCCTCGGCGGAAGCTAAGCCCCTTGTAAGCCATTTTTTTTGCATGCTGTCTTGTATGAGCCACTGAAAAGGCCTTGTGCCATTCCCGACACGGCAGAGCCCGACTTGCGTGTCGGTGATGCATCTTGTTTCGTCAGGGGCTGCATCAATCACGACAACGACCAAAGCTCATGTTTATATACCTGGTTTGTCTATGTGTAAACAGACTGCAATCTTTGTTGACTGAGAGAGTTTAATTGACTCATCCACTTTTACCAGTTGCGATAATGATCGGTCTTGTCAACATTCCAATGCAGTCGACTACTGGTCTGTACGCTCCAAGGTGTGCCATCAAGGCATGGCAATTAAGTGAGTCGGCCAGCACGGGTATCAATTCTGAATGAAGTTGACGCCAAATCCAAAGCGCCGTTCGAGGCAGCAGCGTTCAATCAATCAAATGATCAACAAGTGGACGAGATTCAGTCATATTGGTAAGCAGGCACTGCATCCTAGTCTGGAATTCTCGGCACTGACAATGACCAAAGCTCTCGCGTGCGTTCTGCTACCGGAGCAGGATCGAATACGCTATTGTAAGATCAAGGTGATGATCAGTTCGCTATACAACTATTAACAGATGACATTGCAGTATCATACCACAAGAATACTCGCGCGGTTCATTAAAGATCACCGAACCGTGTGTTGATGCGCTGGCGACGTCAATTCATGCATCGCCCATGTTCAAAACGATGATCAATAGCTTCGAGAGGGATCTTACCGACTACTATATTGGCAGAGCTCTCTTGGAGTTTAGTCCATCAGCGACGCTGGACTCGCAAGGGTCAGCAAAAAAAGGTAAGCCGTCGTATCCATGATGCATCAACAGTATTGACGATCGAGATGCAGCATTCGAGTTCTGCTGCTTACTTCCGTACATTGAAAAGAACCAGCACAAAGTCAAGCATCTGGGAGCCGACAACTGTTATCGCGAAGTCCTGCAATGGTCGGTGCGACAACAAGGGCTATACAGCTCGTATAATTCCACAAACCCCAAGACGGAGACTACGGTGCTCGTCAATCCCGCAGACGAGCTTTGGAGGCGCATCAAATCCACCTATGGAGGTGTTGCAGTAAATCTCAGCGTGGATGAAGGATGGCAGTCGATTCCCTGCAGGGTTTTTGAAAGTCTTACGGCAAACTGGGCAACCTACATTGCTTGCCTGCACAGGGCTGTGGAACAGATTGTAGGCTCGCAACAACATATACTAGCCTCTTAATACTGACCAACCCTCTAGAAAAGAGATGCTGCAGTCACACATTTTGATCAGCCCTTCCTGGGAGAGGCCAATACCCAAAGCCTGCGTGATGGGATGGACATGATGGACAGATTAGAGACTGCACATCATGTCCTGGGCAACATCATTTCAACCTTGTCGCAGATTCAAGCAGAAGCCCTAAAGCACGAGCAAATCTGGACACGCAACCGTGCCGAGGCCGAACAGGTCACGTTTTCGCATCGAGTCAAGAGCGTGGTGCGCCAGCTCGAGTTTGAACGCAGCCAAGTCGAGCGCATCACCACGCGGTTAAAGGGCGTCGTCGCAATGGTGCGTAATTCCATGAAACAGTCCCGTCTGGCGTTCTTCAGGCTCACCCGTCGTCAGATTCGCGATCTCGTCAATTTGCGGAGCACGAACAATATGGAAAAGATGACGGCCCGCACAATCATGGAAGCCCGCACCATGCGCATCATTGCCGTCGTGACGCTATGTTTCCTGCCACCGACGTTTATTGCTGTAAGTGGTGCCGTTCTGGCTGAGGGGTCGTGAATAGAGAAGAGTGTTGTGCTAATTCATACTAGGGCTTTCTTGACATGGGATACATTAAAGTCGCTTCTGGAGGTGGCCAGCTCCTGGTCAATGCAGAGCCGGGTCTTTTGCTTTATACTGCCATTACGATACCCGTTGTTTTAGTCATTTTAGGCGGCTATCTTTGGTGGGATTGGCGGACTACGAGGAACCTCACTTCGTCCTTGGACCCAGTCTAGGGCCCGTCTTCCAGGGACTGACTTGCGGAGAAAGTGTCAAAATGTTCATGTTTGATGATCTAGGCCCGTTGGGATCCCGTGACACCATTTATTAGAGGATTAGAATAGTGCAAGCGGTAGCAATGACTTTGCACCGGCCGACACTTCTAGTAAGCAATCCGGGTACGTTCTCGTAAGAAGCGGGGCTCGTTTTCACTGGCAAGCACTCTAAAAGGCACCAAGCCCTCGCTGTACGAAGCGCTATACGAATACGTGCCTATATAAAACACCCGGTGCGTTTCTGCTCCGCGTAAAAAGATCCCGTACTCGCACCGCTCCCGTCCTCGAGCCATTGTATCAATCACATACCATCAAGGCACATATGAGCACCCACCGTCAATCGGACCGGGCTTCGAGACCTCGTCGAGCACATCACAAGTCTCGTGGTGGCTGTCGGGAGTGCAAGCGAAGGCACATCAAATGCGACGAAGGGCGGCCACACTGTGTCAACTGCAGCGTGTCTAGCAGGCACTGTGAATACGCGGGCGCAGCCGTTGCGACCAGCACACCCGCCCCCGAGCTGCTGCCAATATCATCGCCGCCCGCACCTGTATCAGGTGTCAAGTATACTGATAGATCCACGAGCCCAATTATCCAAGAGTCACACATACATTTACCTGGGCCATCGCAGATTCTCAGCCATGGTTACGCATTTACGCTCGAGCACATGCAGCTGTTCCACCACGTGGAGCATGGCATCACCACTTGGCTCGGGGTCACAGACTCCATGATTCCATTAGTGGAACAATATATCAAGACTGCCCTTACAACGCCGTACCTTATGGATCAGCTACTGGCCTTGTCTGCTCTACATTTGAGCTACAGCGTCAATCATGAGACTGTCAGATACCGCTCCCTCGCTACCGAGCTTCAAACTCGCGGACTGTCCCTATTCAATGCCATGAGAGGCACCGACTCGGATGGAACCGCGCGCTGGTACTTTTCGTCCTTGCTAGCCGTGCATCACCTTGCAACCACGCTGGCCGTCCACGACGAGCAAAACTTTGATGCCTTTTTGGACAATTTCGTCAGCCACATGGGACTACACCAGGGCACACAAGCCATTGGCATCGAGTCGTGGACTTCGATCCGGAGCGGCGGATTGCGAGCATGGCTCGACCAGCTAGACGAGGCGAGCTCCTCCGTCTCCAGCAGTCCCTCGGCCGCCGACGAGCCCATGTTTGCGCGCATGCTGCAAACGTCGCGCCTCAATGCCGCCTCGGTCAACACATGCTGGGAGGCTGCGTCGGCACTACTTTTTGTCCGGGAGAAAACGCAACCTGGCCCGCATGGTTGGGGTCCGCATGCTGCCATGGCCTGGCCGAATCTGGTTCCGCACGAGTTCATTAGTCTCTTGGGCGAGCGCGTGCCCGAAGCACTACTCATCTTGGCTCATTACGCGGAGCTGCTTCATACATATCGCGATTACTGGGTTTTTGGAAACGCCGGGGAATATTTGATTAGAGGTCTGGCAGCCAGGCTTGGGGCCACTTGGACCAAGTGGTTAAAGAGACCACTAGCAGTCTTGTCCGAAACGGAGTCTTTGCATACACCCTCTGGCTTCTAATCTTTGCTGGCGAAAATTCTACATCAGTGGAATATACTTACCTGGGAGTGGATTTTAGTCGACTTTCTATTCCGCGTATCGAGATTCGGGTACAATTTTAGTAACGGGCGGTGGAGCCACCATACCAAGCATTGCCCCCACCCTATCCACGTATAACGAGACCATTACGAAATAAGTACGGGCAGTCAACTCATCTCTTCATAAAAGTCTCAGAAGTCCATGGCCGTCCATAGTACAGCCCTTTTTGAAATTGCATAGAGAAATAGACGGAACAGTTCACAGTCATTGCCGAGAACCGGATTTTGAAGGACGTTGGCTCAAACAAGCTCATGGTATCTGGAGGGAGCGCACAGTGTAGTTGAACGCGACCAATTCGATCCAGTCAGAGTCTCCAGATTGAGGATCCTTGATCAAAAATTCCGAAATCATCATCGCCATCACGAAGTCTGTGTTTCGGATCAATTAGAAACGGATCAATGGGAGCAACGCACACGATTAATCAGGGAGTAAGAATGATGTATTTTGTACTGAGCAATATGTCACATTGGCACATGCAGTGGCTATCGCAAATTAAATGCTCTGTTCTATTAGATGGCTCTTTATCCCGCCTCTTTCAAAACTCTATCTGCTTAACTTCAGATATCTTCTTGACGTTGAACGACTCACTCCTCCCCTTCATGCTGGCCCAGGTGACAAAGAGAATTTGAAAGGAAATCTGACACGAAGACTGCCTGACGAATTCGTCGCCGAAAGCCAGACAAGAGAAAAACAACACACAAGCTCTAGATGATATCCACTATTAAATGGACAGCTTGTAGCCACCCCAGTTAAGGCGGCTAAAGACGCCCATAGGATCATAAACAGACCGAATCTCTTTCAGCCGCTGGACGTTTTCCAAGGGAAAGCTGGCAAAGATGTCCTGGTACTCGCTAGTATCGCCGGCATAAATGAAGTCGTGCGCTAGGCCTTTGACTTGGTTGTCCTGGTGCCAGTACTCGACGAGGTTGTGCGCCCAATTGGTCATGCGCAGGTCGTCTGCCTTGTTGGCCCAGGCGGTTGAGAACTGCCACACTGTGACGGATCGCTGTTAGCTTTTGAATTGCGAGACGGGTTTCAATGGATAGGCGTGAGAAGAGGAGGGGAGACGGTTAACACGCAAAAACGTACGGATATACGACTCGTCATCGTCCATGCCCCAAACGTTGCCGACGCCATTAGTCTTGGCAACCGTGTTGGCGCTCTTGGGCATTATGTTCATGACAAACGTGGCATACAGGCCCTCGACGTCCGAGATGCCCTTTCGGACTGCCTCCTGCCATGCGGCAAAAATGGTACGCAGCTGAGCCTTGTCGGCTTTAATGGTGTGGTGGAAGTCTTGGACGCTTTCATCATCATTTAGCTTGGCAATCCCAGAGTTGCCTAACATAGGGGTTGGGGCCATACCGGAACATCTGATTAGGAGTATCGAGGTTGGCGTGCCACTGCACGGGACGGACCACATTGTTCATTGCAGAAATCGACGGAATAGCGGAGTAGTTGGCAAATCGGGACGGCGGCGACTCTGTGCCTTCTTGTACGCCCAGCAGCTGGCCGGTAAAGGTGTCGGTGGTCTGGTTGTAGCTCACAGAAATGACACCACCCGCGGCAATGTCGGGGAAGTCATTTTCCACCAGGTCACAAGTAGCATCAATGAATTCTGGAAGGTCGGACTCGTTGAAGCTTTGAATGGTCGTGCTGAGCTGCGAGATGGGGAACGTTTTCAGCGTAAACTTGGTGACGACGCCAAAGTTGGCAGCACCACCTTTGAGAGCCCAGAATAAATCGGGGTTGGAAGTAACGTCGGCCACGAGCTGGGAGCCATTGCCAAGCACCACGTCGTAACTAACAACGTTGTCCATAGCCCAGCCATATTTGTTGTTAAGGTAGTGCCAACCACCGATGAGCGAGAGGCCCGGGACGCCGATTGTCTTTAGTCTGCCACCAATTGCATAACGGTCGTATTTATCCAGCTCGGTGTACACGTCCACCCAGCGGTTACCGGGACCAACCTCGATGGTTGTATTGTCGCTGGAAACCTCGAGGTGCGTCAGGTTATTCAGCGCGAGCAAGACGCCGCCATCGATGTTGTTTGAGCCGGGGAACTGTTTTTTTTTTAGATGAGTCATTAGCCCCAAACATTTACAACTATCAAAGCTAAGTAATTCGCCTGCGAAATACCTACATTCATATGTCCGCCGCCACGAATGGCAAACTGAGCTCCACATGACGAGAGTACTGAAAGAGCTTTGGAGACTTGCTCGGCTTCGGTAGGCATAAATATACACTTTGGCTCCAGGTTGCACCGCTTGTCCCAGTTGTTGATGGACTCGGCCATGTAGTTGGTCGAGTTCTGGTATAGGACGGCATCGCCGTAGGCGGTCGCGAGTTGCACACAGGCGCATGCTGCGCCTTGGTCAAGGGGTACTATGGGCAATTGGGGGCCACAGTCCGAGGCGACGCTGACCGTGACGAGGCTGCCGAGCAGGAAAGTGATTGATAGGAACATGTTGGCAAAGTCTGAATTTGGCCAGACCAGGCAGATATAGAGTAGTATACTTGTGCAATGGCTAGTGGATAGCGAGACTGAAACCATTCGCAGTGATGGTATTCACGTTCCTTTTATGCCACCCACCACGATACCACGTGGATGATTGGCCTTTTCTGGATGCGATACTGAAAGGTAGGCGAGCGTCAAGTGTACTGCGTCCGACTAGACTCCTCAGCCACGATTAGTGGCTAATAACCGAACCCGAGTATCGGTCTTTATGGGAGGTTGCTGGGTATGGCATGCATAGAGATACATCATTACCATTAAGAAACGCAAAGAGTTAACTATGTACTCATCTACGCCGAACGGGACAGGGCGCAGTGAGAAATCAGGGTTTCTAGTGCTATAAACGGCTCTCTTCCTAATAACTCTACGGATGCCTAAAACTCAATTCCACCCAAGTGCAAGTCCTATCCATCCGGTCGGAAAGCATAGCCATGCCAGTCCCAGAACCCAGGGTAGCAACTTAAATAGAGTCGCAGACAAAGTCCCAACCACAATTGGCGGAGGGCCAATCCAAGAAGAATCCGAGGACTAGGGTAACGGTGCCGATTCTTTGCATTCGTTTTCGCATGCTATTGGCTCGCTCTCGGCTTCTAGGCGCATTCCGTGCGGCCTAGACAAGTGGGTCGCGTTTGTTTTTGGCTAGCCGCAGCTGCCAACAGAAGGGCTCTCGTAGCCAAAAAAGAACCGGAAGAGGCGGAAAGACAATGAATGTTTACCATCACCTAGTTAATGGTGAGTAAAATCAACTATTTTCGCCTTTGTGGGGAAGCATTTGGTTGAAACCAGCTGGCTATGGACAATTACGCTGACACAATGCTGGCTACCATCATGGCTGGATATTAGATACCTGCCAATAAAGCATAAGGAAATCATGATCGATGGTCTTTAAAGCAAACAACCAATTGAAAGTGCACAGGAAAACGCAGCCGGAGCGATCTAGATCGATACCCGAGAACCGGGTCTTCAGTTACAGCGGCCAAGATAAGCTTAATCTACGGCATGTGAATACCGGTCAAGATGCAACTGCATATTACTAATGCAGGGGCAGATCGGAAATCTGGATAAACTTCTGTTTCCTCGTTATTTAAAGAGTAACATGTATAATCTGAACGCCAGAGCGAGCTTTAGTCAAGCCAATGCTGCCATTTCAAAGATCCTAGTGTGCTGCAGCACTGGCAAATGCACACTTGCCAATATCGTCGCTCTGCACTTTTGTCGCATTTCAGAAGAGGCCACAGGGAAGGTCGATATATTTGCGTAGATATCGATCGTCATGAAAATCTGGATCGTGTCGCAAGGCGTAGATTATGCTATGATGAGGAGAAGCTTGAGTGCGTGGCTCATAAAAGTGATTCGCCCTAGTAGTAGTCGTGATGTGTGATTTTCCCTAGTTCTGACTTGTGGTTTTGAGCAAAGTTTTTCGTGGAAAGCGAAGGGGGAAGAGAAAAGAAAAGGTCAGCCAAAAGGGCATATTGGCATCAAGAGACGAAGGTTGCACAGCCACAGTGGCTCGTCAGGGGGCCGGTCAGGCAAACCCGAAGCAATCTAGAGGCGGTGAATTCATGTTCGAATCGTGCACATGCTATGATCTGCATTATGAGCCGTTTACCCATTCAAGTATTTGACCAAAAGAATATATTCAGGTTGAGTCTGTCAGCCACTTTGTTTCATGCACGGTCGATGATAATCAGTGTAGTTGGTTCGATCATTAGATCATGCAAATCATCTACTTGATGGACTTGGCTTACTATTCGGCATAATCCAGATGAAATAAAGACAAATTGACTTGAGAACCCATGCCATCCATACATGGAGAGAGCAAAAGACATTGGAATGGTACAAGATAACATCATGTGGGATGAATGTGGGATATGGGGCTCCACAAGTGGGATATGCAGAGCTGATTACTAAATATGGAGCATTGCATGCTAATTACTTTATTCTGGGATTGCACGTCCATGGTATCCTGCATCATGGACATGAAAATGGGATGACATGACAGGAAAACAGCTCGCCTGCCAAACATGACTCGAGCATCCCAGTAACTATCCAGCATCGACTCCGTTGACCGTCGGCTATCAGGCAAGAGGCTCCTTCCATCCCTTGTGATAACGACGGCAGGCACCGATCAGCATCTGACATATGGGCTTGATGTCAAAAGGATGGGTCAACTTGAATTTTATCCCTTTTCCTATTTCTATGACCTGTTCAATTGATAGAGACCGATACATAACAAAAGTATTAGGAACCATGTATACTGGCTAGGAGTATATGGCAGTTTGACCTAGAGTCATGATTAAAGTATAGCAAGAACAATTAACAGACTTGCATCTTCACTAGCTAACGGTTGAACAAAAGTTCACGGCTGTGACAAATCAGCGCTGTCCGCTTAATATTTTATCCTATACCTGAAAATCCTCGTATTCACGGCAAGAGCCATATCATCAATCTGGAAAGGCTCCGGTGATCCTTGTCGGAAGACGGCAATTGCCCGTCACGCCACAGCTTAGCGGCCGAAATGAAATGAGCATAAACTGCAACAAGCTTTTTAAAATCTTAAAAAGTGGGTTATAGTCGCATTTATAACGAATGACGAATGACACCACATGTCAATGAGTTGATTTGCTTAGTGGCAGATGACAAATTTGTTTGCTTGCAGTATACTCCAGAAGCTGCAGTTGCCAATTGATAGGAGAGAAGTGTCAGTAGAGTCAAGGTTCTCATAAAAGATGCTCGTGATCCCATTTGAAAGCTTGCTCCAATCCTTAGTCTTCATCTCCTGGCAGACAATCGCACAATGCTACGTCATCCTCTCTTGATCGCCTCACTAGTGGCACCGGTCCTTGGCTTTGACCAAGTGCTAGGCTTCAACACGGTCATTGAGCGGGAAAACCGCACGCTCGATGAGATTTACCAGGCTGCTCTGGCCGAGGGCAACGTCGTGACACTGTGGCATGGCGGAGATGAAAAAGACCAGCAAGACGGACTCAAGCAGGCATTCGAGGAGCGATTCCCCGGCATCACGCTCAACCTGACCGTCGACCTGTCCAAGTACCACGATGTCCGCTTGGACCAGCAGCTCGCAGCCGGAGGCCAAGCCGTATATGTCGACAGCATCATTCTCCAGACCCTGCAGGACTATCCCCGCTGGGCGCAACAAGGTGCCCTGCTCAACTACGCTCCTAATGGTTTCGATGAAATTGAGCAGGCCTTCAAAGATAATGAGGCCGCATACTATGGCGTCTATGTCTTTTTCTGGGCAGGGGCTTTCAACACTGAGAAGCTTCCAGGCATTGAGGCACCTGTCGAATGGGAAGATTGGTTGCGCCCAGAGTTCAAGGATAAGCTCGTGTTGACTTATCCCAACGACGATGATGCTGTACTCTTTGCGTTTTACTTGATGTAAGGATTCTTGAATACTCTCATTAAAGACCAAATCGATGTGCTAATCAATGGCTCCTTGCAGTATGCAACAATACGGCGAGTCGTGGTTCGATGGGTTAATCGCACAGAACCCTTTGTGGGTGCGCGGCACTGCAACCCCAGGCACTATTGCGCGCCAGAGCAACAACACCAGAGCAGCCTATTTCGCAGCAGGAGGCGGCTTTGGCTCCTCAAGCCCAATGAACTTTACTCACCCTGTCAATGGCCAGTATGTCTCGTGGGCACAGCACGCCGCGATCCTCAAGAATGCTCCGCATCCCGAGGGCGCCAAGCTGTTGCACAATTTCATCCTCAGCCCCGAGTATCAGGCCGCCACTGGTAGTTGGTCCGTCCGTCGCGATCTGCCGGCTCCAGATGGGTTTCCAGACTTGAGGAATGAGACGGCCACAAACCCCACCTCCTTCCCCTTGTTCATGGCGGATCGGGCTTTGGTGGAGAGGCTGAGGTTTTACTTTGAGAGTCGCCTCGGTCCAGCTGTCGGACTTGATCCAATCGATGACGATATTTAGATGTTTTTATACAGGTATTCATTATTACGTGAGAAAAGCATGGACGTGTCGGTGTCTGTCAGTGATCCATGGGGAATGATATGTAATCTTCGTCTCTGATGTACATGTCGGATCATAAGTTGATCATGTTTTCTCACCAGGAAAGCCTATTGAAACTTATTTAGTGCACAAAAAGAAGTCACCCCACTCAGCTGAAAAGGTGGTTTGGTAAATGCACCGAAAATATATATTGCTTACCGAGATGCTCGATGCTCGAGTCAAATCTCCAGTTATCGATATAATTTCATCAATATCAATGCTCCTTTGATTTCATTTTCGCCAAGTGCAAATCATACCACATCATACTGCAGAACTGATGCGCCACATGTGTGGGTATTGCGGTATACCACTGAGCCATATCGCAAAAGCGAAAGCCCCACAATCAGCTCAGGCCATTGAACATTGCCATTGCTGCATCGCGCAACGATTGGGGTGCCCAATGAATATGTACAAGTGGCAGCGATATATCCGCATTCAGTTCCTCTTCGCGCCACTTCTCAAACTGAGATTCAAAGTGTGGCCGCTGGAAACGACATATCTCGAATGACGGCAAAGAGGATCCCTTGGCCTCAGTCACATTTCGAAAGGAACTCCGCTTTGGTTCTTCTTTCTCGGGGAAAACCAATGGAATGTACATGACCAAGTTCAAGTGCTGAGGAATGGCTAGTCGTTCAAAAGTGGATAAAACCTCACGTTTGCGGACGATCGCCCAGCCCAAGTCATCAGGATGATCAAGCCATATTCGAAGCTTGCGAAGCTCTTTATGCTCAAAGATCTTTGCGGGAACGCCGGACCAAAGCTGACGATATTCCTCAATATCATCGAATGGCCTCTGGAATGTGTATCGACGACGTCCATTTCTAAGACAGTGTGTTTCGCCGGTGCTGGTATCTCTTGATACCTCCACAGCTGGCAAATCAAGCCGTAATGTAATGTCGAGTTGTGTGATATTTGGCAGGAACAAGCGCTGAAAGCTGTAATGATCAGGAGTCTTCGAGACTGAAGTGTCGGACACTTCAAACAAAGCACCCAAAGTCTCCATGTCGGTCACGTTGAAGCATAGACGTTGTGCTGCAAATCCTAGAATGTCAAACATCCTAGAGAAACAAGGTCAGCAAACCAAGATGGAAAGAACAAGGCTGAAGTTTCATCTTTCACGGGACGTTACTAAGCAGGTAATCACTCACATCAATTTGCACACCCTGAGAATTATATCTAGAGGATCCTTATTGTCGACTGCTTCTTCCGAAACAATCTCTTCACATTGCCAGTGACGGCCCCAGGGCGATAACAGGCGCCGACGCCAAACTTCGGAATTCACGATACCGCGGGGTCTACACTCAAAACCAAGTAACTCTGCATCCAGATCGCACGCCCAGCACGAGGAAAGTCTGAATCCGCCACTCTTGGACCGCGTGATATGAAGACCAGTTGTGCCAATGAGGTCGAAATATATCTCATGGCGGAGTTCAATCGGGATATGAAACAAACCACTTGCAATTTGAGGATTGTAATTTGAGCTTGTTATAGTGGAGTCTGACATGACGAAGTGATACTATGATTGACAGAGAAGGGAAAGTCGAGAATTTGATTAATGTCGACAACATGATGGTCGGCGCTGCATGATCGAGAAGGATTCGCGGGGGCAGTGCAAGGAGGAATCGCCAAGACAAACCTAACGCCGCAGCAGTGACCGACTGCATGATCAAAAGAGGGGTAAACATATGTCGTAAATGTTTTCTACGGACATTACTATGTGTGAGATGGCAATACACGAATTGATCGAATTTAAGAAAATTGAAAGTGGCCTGGCGATCAAGAATGACTATTCTCTACAAGGTCGTTTGCAATTTCGTACCAACGCGGTGTTCAACTGTAGCAAGTGCCTGCCATCTTCGACTGTCCTAGTCAGAGCGCTGGGATCAATTGATATTTCTTGTTCGACTGTTTACATATGAAATGTGACTAGTGGCCTCTCAATCCGAAATCTCCCCCTGTCAACAGATTGTGGAGAAACTGTATTCTCAATACTCCGCGTATCCAAAGTTAGCGCCGGAGACCAGAAATGGTTTGGGTATTGGCCCCGCTCTATCCGCGTATAGTAGCTCGGGTTGCTTTACAGTGTGCTGCGGCCTACTCAACCATCAAAGTCACGTCGGCTCGTCTTAACTGTGCGCAATAGGAGACGGGCAAACCGAGAGCCGCAAGCAGAAAAATAATCTCTAGTCCATATCGAAAAATTGAAATGCTATAAACCCAAACTATTGTTCTTGTATTCAGTGACACCTCATGAAGACGATATTGACCAAAGCATTCCTTGCACCAGTTGACACTCTTTTTTTTGTCCTCCCAGTCGTAACTCCGGCACATTGACAACTCGTCTTTCCTTCAAAACATTTCCAACGTCACTCAGTACAGGGAGGGAATTGAAAGAAAAACATGACTTTAATTCCGCGCGGAGAACTTCTTCCCTACAAGGGCAACTTCTACCTATGGAACTATATCCCTTCCATGGCGGCAGCCGTCATTTTCCTGCTCCTATTCTTGGTGGCATCATTGGCTCATAGCTGGAGAATGTACCATGAGCGACTATGGTTCTGCCTTCCCTTTGTAATTGGAGGATATTGTGAGTAGCTTCGACTCGCTCGTGTCTAGTATCTACAAGGACTAACCAGTCCCACTAGTGGAGGTCATTGGATACATCGGCCGAGCCATGGCCGTCAATGCCACGGATCAGCTCGGGCCCTATATTATACAATCCGTCTTCCTGCTCGTCCCTCCATCGCTATTCGCCGCCTCCATTTACATGACACTCGGTCGAATCATGCGGGCATTGGGACCCGTGGGAGAGTCATGCTCTTTTATTCGCGTCAGCCGCCTAACAACCATTTTTGTACTGGGCGACGTTTTTGCTTTTCTCGTCCAGTCCAGCGGCGCTGGATACATGGCTGCGGGCAGTAGTTCCAAGACGGGCGAAAACATTGTCATTGGAGGCTTGCTCATTCAGATCATCTTCTTTGGTCTGTTTGTTGTTGCCGCCGTCTCATTCCACCTGCGTTACCGTCAGTCGGCCAGCTCCTTGGCTCCCAGCAACGTGCCGTGGCAGTCAATGCTCACCATGTTGTACGTCAACTCTGCACTCATCTTGGTGCGTTCCATCTTTCGCATTGCCGAGTACGCAATGGGCTCTACTGGCTATCTTTTACAAAACGAGTGGCCATTGTACGTATTCGACTCGGTACTCATGCTCGCAGTAATGGTGGTCTTTTACAAGAAATACCCTTCCGATATTGGCAAAGCTCTTGGTCTCGGGGGAAAGACGGGCTATGCCCCGGCCGCAGTGTGATGGGCGACATCTTGAAGCTGTACAGATGACTGGGCTCCGGGCGATAATAAGGAGATCTGGTGATTTGGAGACTAGCAAGGTTAAATGGTAGCTATCATGTTTACATAACGGGCATAGACGCCTAGTGCACAGAATTGATTATCGGGCTTAGACACTTTATCGAAAGGAGGTAGACGAAACGCTTAGATGCTCATTAGAAGAGCAGCCAATTTTGATAAATTTCCTTAAAAATACCTATGTTACAACATAAATTAATGGTACCATAGATCGAATCAACCCTTACTGTACCAATGATGAACATGGTCGTTAAGTGGAGTTTGGCACCAATGCGCCTGTGCAGGCTGTTCACCATGGGGTGATGCTATGAAAGCAACAGGTCAGTTTGTTCTCGGATTATTTTCAAAGATGCAAACCATTATCAATTTATTTTTCGTTCTGAGGACTATGCGTCTCAGAAACGGTGATACTTGGTCCAGAATTAGCACGAATATGTACTCGCTTTCTCATCATATAATTGAAATGCATCTTTTTACTCGCAATAGACATTTGCTCTCAAAATTTTGATCCTAACTGTTCATTGTTATGACGATCAAAAAGATCATCAGATTTGACAATCCGGGAGGGGATTCTGGCCCGGTCCAAGATTGTTCCTTCACAAATCAGTATAGGCGAGCCTCTAGAACATCTTGATCTTCTTGAACCATGTTGATTCATCACGCAAAGGTCGGGACAAAAAAGAACAGTCAGATACCATGAGTTTAAAGCCTAGTCACAGTTTGAAGCGTACAATGATCTTTTTTTGTAGATAAATCCAGGGCTGGTTAACCGTGAAATAAACAGTATTCAAGATTAATAGATACAAATCGAACGAAAGGTCTGCTCCCAAGAAGCGATATATACTGTCACTCCCAATCTCCTCTTAGACCAAGAGACCATAGATGAACTCTTCGTAGAATGCGCGTCCAGAATAATTAATACCACCAACAACACCACCCTCGACATCACCGACTCCTCGAGAGTAGACATTACCAGTCTCGGTCTTGATGATGGCAGTGGTGGTGATATTAAAGTGCAATTTATCTCCAGAAGGAAGCTCATAGTCGATGAGGAGTCCGTTGTTGGCGAGCAGTCCAAGTTTGTTGGTCGGGGGATAGGTGTAGGTTGTGTTGGCTGGACCCCACTGACGGGCGTGGACAGTGTCGCCACCGCAGCCGACAAATGGTTCCTCGCCGTCCTTGGAGACGTAGGCGTAGTTGTGCTCGGTGTCGTTATAGTCGAGAAGATCATACCAGACAATGGCGTACGGGCCGACGCGAGCGTGACCCCAGTCCCAGTACTTGGGACTGGTTATAACAGACTTTTGGCCCCAGTTCTTGTCATGGTATCCAATGCCGTCGGCGATCTGGAAAGGTTCTCCGTCGATAGTAAGATTGACAACGGACTCGGCATCGGGCACTGCATTGGCCCAGAAAAGGTAGGGCAACAGGTTTTGGGTCGCGCCGGCGACATCTTTCGTGTCACAGGGGAAGTGAGCGGGAGCGCGCTGGGATTTGTCTCTGTTAGAGTATCGTTTTTGGTGCCCACAATTTCGAGATACTGAAATAGTCTTACTGCTTTGAACGTAATCGTGCCTTTGAGTCCACCGGCAGAGCCATCAAAAGTAATGGTGTAGGACACGTTATCCTTGAGCAGATTAGTGCCAACAAAACTGGCACCGGCCCCTTTAAAGTCGGCAAACACACCACATTCATCATTCTTGATAAAGGCGCCCTCTGTAGCAAATGTCTGCACAAAGAACTCGGTGCCATTGGCAAACTTTCCACTCAGCTGCACAGCAAGAGGCTGCTCATTGCCGAGTTGATACTTGAAGTCACCAGTGTTGAAAAAGACAATGTTGACGCCAGCATTGGTACTTTCCGAGGCAACATCAAAGTACCAAAAGTCGAAAGCTCCGCCGACCATGGCCGAGGCGTTCATCTTGAAGCCGTCGAGGTTGGTTGGATCCGAAAGCAGCTCGACGTCCGAGGTGACATTGTTGTAGACTGGCGACCAAAAGACGGATTTGCCAAGAGCAGGGACAAGAAGACTGGCCGCAGCCAGGAACGAGTTGTGCCGCATGGCGCTGAATTCAGAAAAGTAAAGAATGACTAAGAATGAATGACTGCCAACAAAAAGAAAAGCTTAATCTGGGGATTTGGGAGTCGCAGCGGTACGGATTATCTACAGGGTGGAAAAGAAGAAAAATATCAGTCTTTATAGCATCGATCACCGACGTATTGTCAAGCAATTCTTTGCTGAGATTGTGCCTGCTGCCGTCTGCTTGCCAAAATACCTTTGCCAGTCTTGGCGATCAAATCGAACTCCGCGTATTCATTGCAAGATCCTCATTCATATTATCCCAGACATTTGCCGTATATCATCGCCTGGATGAGCCATGGAAAACGATTTTGGCCAATCATTGCGAAAACCAAGGTACCTTCGTACTCTAGGACCCATTCGTGTGAGTTTATACGCGGAATTTGAGGTCTCCACAATCGAGGTTAACGGGACTCGATTGCATTTCCGCGTATTCGCCTTGAAAACATTGCTATTATTAATGAGTATGGGCTAGTGCCCGGCCAAATTGCTTACAAGTCCCGTGGCTACCGGCCACTGCGCACTTTGCTCTGGCTTCACACCATTTGTCCTAGCATATCACACTGTCTGGGAGACTCTAAGCCATGTTACCGGTACAAGACAGCACGCATTGACCAACTTGATGCAAAAGTGATTTGAGCTTGTATAGACAGCTGTGTAGATTCATTTGAGTCACCAAAACTCCATGCTTGATGATTCTAGTGCGTAGTCCCATGGAAGAGAGCCAATGACCGAAAGGTCTAGCTTGCCAAGGTCCATGAAAGATCCATTCTGATCCAAACTCCATAGAGCAGCAGAATAGGGGTTCTCGGCATGATCATTGACGAATCCGTCATCGATCATGGGCTCTCCTGATGTTGAAGTACCAACGCCAATAGAGCCGAGTCTGGATAACGATTCATGCTCTTTGCTTCGCCTTCTTAGCGATCGGGTATTGGCTGCACCGCCCTTCTTGCTGCTCACGACGTTTTTCACCTGTTCTACGTCACCAATGGTTCGTTTCAGGGTCTCCCAGTATCGCCGAGCAGGTGTCCACGAGTCTCCCAACTCACGCAGTGTCGACAAGCAGGATGCTAGCCGCGCATTCACATGATGCGTCCTACCAAGATCCCCTTTATCAACCAGATACAAGTTAACAAGGCAGGCCGTTAGAGTACAATGCGTGGCTGTCACTGGACTACATCGAAAGCTTCCAAACCCCTCCCGGTAGATATCACCGATTTGGGATATTTCTGTAGCAGCCTCGCGGCAGATATGCAATGCCCGCAAACCAAGATTTTGTAATGATTCCGAAGGCTCATCTGTCTGCACATTACTTGGGCGTTGAGGGATCTTGGATGGGACAAAGGGTTTTGCGAGAAGAATGAGAGATGTATGATACACCATATGAAGGATGAATACTTGTGGCGAGCTGCTGAGAACATCACTTCTATCACTTGGTCGGATTCTTAGCTCTCTGGGGAGAGAGAAGAGCCAGTCCTGGAGCGTCATGAGGCATGAGTTGAAGAAGGCTTCTTTGCTTGCACTCGTCATCGTTTGTTTGGGTGCATACCTGATGTCAGCTCGTCAGCGGGTGAATTCAAGGCCAAATTCACGATGACTTGCAGGTTTGTGAGAATGCTTTCCAAAATTTGGCAGTGAGTGCTATAATAACGGTGGAAAGTAGCGAGAAAGGCGGTCCCAGGTCCTGCCATATGACTCGTCCCCACAGCTTCTTCAAGGCCTTGACCCATGATCGTGTCACCAGGAAGTGGAACTGATCCCTGCGAGTCCTAACACCATACATGTGGTCAGAAAAATGTAGCTACCTACACAGCCGTGCCAACAAAATGGCTAAAGAAATGGCACAGGGCTGCAAGTTGAAACTCACCAACATGGTGCAGACTCGACCAGTATACGATGCGTATAATTTGTCGGAACAATATAATGACCAGTATATCTGGCGCCGAAGTTTGATATCCCGTGCATTCAAGCAAGCCGAGCCGGCCACTGAGGTGGTGTCGATATTGAGACCCATGTCGATAATGAGCCTGCTTGCCATGCCATGATGCAGCCACCCAGCAGCATCGCAACCAATAGCCTGTATCAATTTTAGACATTTCTTCCTCACAGACTCCCAGACACGACTTGACTTGCCACATAAAATATTGCCATGATGGCGAGAGATTGGACAGTTGTGATGCTAGGCCATTTCAGATCAAAGTGAATCAGTGCTTCGGCATGCTCGATAAAAGCCAGACCAGCTGTATTGGCATCTTGAGGATCGCTTCTGACTTCAAGGCGGTCGGAATATCGAGATGCCACGGCAATGATGCAGCAAAGGAGCACCGGACTGTAATAACGCCCATTCTGCATTCGACTGGCCCGAAAGAGCTCTTCATCCACAACCTGGAACCATGGCTGTTCCCATTCGAAATACAGGTCAATCAGATGCTCGACAAGCTCTGGAGAAAGATCTCGCAATGCCTCGGCGGCAAGGGATTGGCTGTAGGCATTGAAACGTTCTTGGCTTGGATTGTTTACTCTTTTGCTCTGCGGCTGGTCGGACCTGTCGTCGGCATGAGTGCTATCTGCGGCCGCTCCGTCCACGGCAGCTTGCGATGGCTGAAGATCTAATCTTCCACTTGCTGGACCAAAGAATCGCATCTGATCCTCGCCAACCGGATGCAGTCCAGAACCTGGCTGTTCTGAATAGAGCGCACCTTGCAACTCGGGCTTCTGCAAGTCCTGTCCTGAATTCAGGTCTTGGCTTGTAGAGCTGTTGCAAGTTTCCTGTCTTGGCTCTTCGCTCTGCGACTCTCCGCCCTGAATTTGAGCAATCGATGCTTCAATATCGATGGAATGCCGTTGAAGGACGTCCTCGAGCAATTTGATACGATTTTGCAGAAGCGAGACCAGAGACCTTGGAGCTGAGCCGCGATGATCTATATCGTTTGCATATACACATGATAATCGACGCTCGGTACAGCGCAAACAGGATGGTTTGGTTCCATTGCACTGTATTTCAGGTCAGCGGCATCATTCTTTTCCCAGCTTTAGCTGCAGATAATGGTACGCAGGCCCACTTTTGCTCGCCGGCGACGGCATTCCTGACAAGCCTGAGGCGCATATTTGCCCCGGCTGGACCCCGATTTGCGCTGGCGACTCGCACCGACGGCAGAAGGCCCAAGATTGGCAGTATCGGTGCTCATGGCTACATGGAAGAAACTTTTACGTAGTGAGATGAGCACGAGGATGAGGTACAGGAGTGATGGTTCGAGCTGGACATTGGGGCTATGAGGCTACTGGCGGAATTTGAATTCCGCTGGACTTTAGCTAGTCCAATTACGAAATGAATGCACTAAATTCTGGCGTCCAGCACTGATGGCACAGGTAGTCCATGTTAGTCAAGCGTATAGACGTCAAGGGTACATATTTAATGGCATTTCATCTACGACATTTTCTCTTGGCCTTTTTTTCTCATTACCTTTCGAGCACTTTATTGAGTTCATCAATCTCACTCTGTTTGCTATAATGTCACATCTCAAATTCTACGCCTACGAAGGTCAAGGCGTCAGTAAGAGAGAGCAATTTTCCTACTCTCAAGCGGTACGAGTGGGCGATAGAATCGAATGCTCGGGTCAAGGTAAAAGAAACCAATGTTTACTCTCGCAACAAGAGGAAATATCAATTAACGAGCCTCAACTCAGGCGGATGGGATCCCATTACAGGCGAATTTGAAAAGGAAATCAATGCGCAAATCGACCTGGCATTTCAGAACGTCGAGAGAACTCTAAAAGACGCGGGGGGCAAAGGCTGGTCGCAGGTCTACCGAGTCAACTCGTACCATGTCCCAATAAACAATGAGGCCTTAGCTGCCATGGTGCGCAACTTTAAGCAATATATGCCTGATCACCAGCCCTTGTGGACTTGTGTTGGTGTTTCTCGTCTGGGTGAGGATGATATGCGGGTGGAAATCGAGGTCGTGGCGCACGATCCAGAGGGGGCTTGAACAAATCCTTGTCAACCGTAATGCTATATCTGTATACTAGGTATATGTTCAGAAAATAATTCCTACGGCTCTTGTCAATCGAGCATACATTCAATGCAAACTTGGGTCCAGCACATTCAGACGCGTCTCTCGAATGGTGGAAATCAATGCTACTAATCATGCACCCATTAAAGTCGATGAATGTTCCCCAACTGGATACACATCACTTGTGCCATACCTTGAGGGACTATTCGTCATGCTATCTCAAGCTTGCTATTGCCGGAAGCCCCGAGGAGTTTGTCAAAGTGGCATCCAATCTTTCCTCCTTTCATTCTGCATTGGTACTCCTCAATCGGGGACATTTGGGGCGGAACGCAAATCCCGTCTGTCATGGTCTGGACTTGGTGCACGCCAACAAACGGAAACTTTCAGTGGGTGTTACAGGGCCTACAGGGCTCTTCGCGGATCCTGGTACCTCTGGGGTCCACCAAACCTGAACCTTGGCACTAGGACTACATGTACATATAGTCTTCATAACACACGAGTGCACAAGCCAAAGAGTGAATTTCAAGATACGACAATCGGTGGATTGACAAAGCAGCAACATGTGCGAAGTGCATCTTGAAAAAGAAGCTATGAATATCAAATCCCTCAGTAGCGCGACGCCTGACCATGCGCTCAAGGCGCCCTGGTCACGTTGGCAGGCTGCCATTCACACGCACCACTAGCTTGCCAGAATTCTTGCAATCGAGAAATTGACCCATACGATCTGTCACGTCTTCCAAGGGGATTTCTTGCGTCATGACCTCGATCAGTCCTGACCTTATATAGTCCATCACTGCGTAGGCACCTTGTACACCTCCCATCATGCAGCCCTGAACTTTGAGCTGTCTCTCGATCAAAGCACTGACCAAGGGGATCGTGAACATTCCATTTCCTCTGGGACACCTGCAAATCTGATTAGAAAAGCATCTTTATATGCCAGCTCTTGACCGCTTACCCGACGCATGTAATAGATCCTCCGTCGCGGACATAGCTATCCAGTCCATGGAAAGCCTCGTATCTGCTTGCTGTAACAATTACTGAATCTGCACGGTTGTGATCAAACTTGTTGCCACGAAGATCTTTACACACATCGTGTAGATTCTGCACAAAGGCTTCCCACGACGGTGCATCAGCTAGATACGGTGATGCGAGCAGTCGATCGTAGCAATGGCCATATTTTTCCCCTATAGCTGTCGTGACCTTTTCTTCAATGTCCACGCCTATAACCTTGGCGCCAAAAACTCGCTTTGCAATCTGTCCAACGAGATGCCCAATCCCGCCAAGAACGCCAACAACCACGACAACATCTCCGGCGTGAATATCTGTAGTCTGGACAGCCTTTAATGCTGTAGAGCCGGAGCACAGAGCTGCGGTGTAGGCCCCAGGCCAGACGCCGCTTTTTGTGTCAAACACCCACCTGGGCAAGGGAACCAAGGAGGACCACGGCGCAGTCATGTATTGCTGAAACGTGCCTTGATGGTGTTTTGGAAAAGCCGTGTGGCTGGGGCATGACTCTGGGAGGCCACCAAGGCAGAATCTGCACGTCTGACACGTGTATCCAATGTAGCGGGTTGCCACTGGGCGTCCGAGTAGACAAGGATCGTAGCTGGCAACCACATGTCCTATGCCCTCATGTCCCGCGATATGGCTGTGGCTAGGGAAACCTGGCTCAGGTCCAACGGAAAAGCAGGCATCCTTTATCAACCCGTTGATTAATATGAACCCTTGTATGGTATATCTCGAGTAGGGAGATGCGCTTACGCTGCGACACATGCCCGTCCAAGCAATCCTAACCACCACTTCATTCTCCTTGGGAATCTTAACTTTGATCTTGCAAAGCTGGATGTTGAGATCCTCTCCAACTGTTGCCGTCATCGCTGCCTTTTGTGTATTGGGAATCGAGAACTCGGAGTGTAGATACAAGTGCGGTGTGCTGTTTTCTTCTCCGAGTTTGCCAGGTATGCTTTCCGAAGCACAGGAACTGAGTTCTGTAGAAACGGATCTTTGGAGTGGTGTGGAGTGAATCGCTGCCTCCTTGAAGTCAACTATTGTGGCCGGGACCTGAGCTTGTGGTTCGATGTCGATCCTCGTGCCATCTTTGCGGCACGACAAAGTCGATACCGCCAGCAAGTGTGGCGGCAACTGCTGAGCAGTCATGGTCTGTAGATTTTGAGTCATTTTACAAGTTCTTCTTAAAACACTCGAGCAGAATTGAGTAACGTGCGTGTGACAAATAATTCCAAACCATCAAAGGCGAAAGTAAAAATAAAAATTTCCAAGATTCTCAAGCATAATTCTGGAAATTGACGACGAAGAATATCATAGCAACGAGTGTCCATTCGCAAAGCTGTGGCGGATCAGGAATGCAGTTTCCGCTTTTGCCCTGATGGAGAAGCCTTGGAAACAGCCCCATGCAAGTCCACGAGAGCACAAAGGTACAAGCTTGCAATAGAGATTACGCAATCTGATTTCGCAGAGTGAAGGGATCGAACTTGGAAAGACTAGATGTTAGTATCTCGCCCAAGCTACATGATGGATTTGATAAGAGAGTGTCCAGAGTATACAATGGGTATCTAGCTTTTCTTGTCAGGCGCTATTCTTTACGCCGCGGAATCCCAATTCCTCCCCTATATCTGATAAGAAACCGATCCTTGGTCTTGCGAAACCTTTTTACTACAGTTGATAGCATCCCGCGTCGCGGGCGTGGCGCTGAGCAGGCTATACCAACTAGTTGGCAAAGCAGGTAGGTAGCGGAATCTGCATTCCGCTGCCGTTGGTAGGGAAACCTCCATGTCAAGGTCAGATAACGGTTGAGGTCTGGGTGCGGGATCTAACATCACTAGCCTTATCTCGTCTGCCTACCTTGTACCATGATGTCTTGAAGCCATGTCAAATGGGATTGAAGAATTATAAACCTCAAGCGATTGTGTCGGATATCGCAGAATGGATATTCTATTAATGCCGTGACTGCCCCCAAGGGTATCTTCACGGTGTTTTGGTATCGTCATTGCACTTTTAATGATCAAATCAAACAACCTCTGGGCCTAGGATTTCAACAATTGACGAAAAAATGGGTGTCATCAGACAAAGCTTCGCGTATGGCATGATTTTCTCAGCAGGTAAGTTGATGAGCCAGAACGCGAGCACTCGTCTTTGCGTGGGCTGATTTGTATTAGCCATTTCCATCGGTTATGACTCAGGATACCTCAATGGAGTACTCGGATCCGAGGACTTTATCAGACTGTACGGCATTAGTGATGATGGCGGGCTGAACATGTACTTGTCGCCAACTACAAGAAGCATCTTTTCGTCGATCCTGATTGTCGGCACGCTTATCGGGTGTCTGGCAAATACCTTTATCACGTCACGGAGTATGTGTGCAGTGTCCCGATTTTGATTTTGAGATCATGACTAACACGAAACAGTCGGTCGTAGAGGCAGCCTGCGGGTTGCGGCTGTATTGTACACAATCGGCGTCAGTATGCAAGTATCTGGCTCCGTGCAGGCAGTTTTCATTGTCGGTCGCATTCTGCTGGGGATGGCAATTGGCCTGATTTCCAACACAGTAAGTGCACGTGCTTGCATCTTCCTGAAACTATACTAAATATGTTGATTCCAAGGTTCCATCCTATCTTATGGAATGTTCAACGGCTGCGAATCGAGGTCGCTTAATGGCCTTTTATCTGCAATTTCTGACCACTGGAAATGTCCTTGCTTGTGCTATCAACTATGGTACAACCAAGTACTCCGACAGCAGAAGTTGGCGTCAGTTTCTCAAAAGTAACCATAAAATGCACAGTGTACTTACCATGATTCAGGTATCACAATTGGCTTTCAGCTCTTTTTAGCTGTAATCATTGGCGTCGGTGCATTTGTTTGCCCCGAGTCGCCGTTGGTCTTGTCACAACGCGGTCAAATCGATGCAGCTCGAGCATCATATGCAATTCTCAAGAACCGTCCTCAAGATTCGCACGAGGTCAATGACTCGATGCAAAAATTAGAACAGCACCTTCAAGAATCGGCTGCTCTTGGAGTTGTGAATGTAGCAGAGTGTTTTCAGGGTTCCGATCTTCGAAGAACCATGATCGGTCTAGCAATGTCCTTTTTCACAATTGCCACTGGTATTACCTTTTGGTTCGGGTATGGAACAACCTTTTTTCAAGCAGCCGGTGTTGAAAACTCTTACCTCATCTCTCTGATCCTGGCTCTTGTCAACTGTGTTTTTACCGCCCCATCAATCTACCTCATTGAGCGATTTGGGCGACGCAGGTCGTTGATGTATGGTGGAGCTATCATGGCACTGACTCAAATTCTCACCGGCATTATTTACACCTTGGCTTCCAAGAGCGTCGCGAGCCAAAACATGCTCGTAGCAGGTGCCGTAGTATTCATTGCGGCATATGCCCCAACATGGGGAATCGGCGGTAAGTTCATCTTTGTTGACACTACTTGGTCCGAGCAGAGAACTAACTTCCGGAAGGGTGGCTCCTCATGGCTGAGCCTTTTTCCAATCGCTTGCGAACTTATCAGTCTGCCATTGTTCTGGCGTTTTACTGGATCATCACTTGGCTCGTCGGATTCATCACACCCTATCTGGTTGATGCAACAGCTGCAAATCTTGGTGTTTACGTCTCTTACATCTGGTTGGGCACGGGAGTACTATCACTTGTTTGGACACATTTGTGTGTTCCAGAGCTGGCAGGACTTTCAGTCAAAGAGGTGAGTTGAATTACTTCCCTGGCCCGGGGTAACTCAATGACTAATGTTTTGTCAAGATTGATCAGCTCTTTGAACGGAAGGTGCCTGCGTGGCGATCAAGAGCATGGCAAAAGAAGCTCCGAGTCATTAACTCGATTGACAGTCCAAGTATTGATGATGCTAGTGGATTGAAAGGTATTACCGTTGGGAATGAGAAGAAGGTTTAAAAGATATTGTAGATATTTCGCTTTGACGATAGCCTCGCCGGGTTATCCCGAGTGCATGGACAGTGCACCAGCCGTCCTGTTGACGAGCAAGTAGGGGATCATATTGCAATAATCTCAACGATTAGATATCGCACATGTTTAGACTATCAAAGGGAATCACTACCTTGCATTGCGAGTTATAATTGTAAGAGCTAAGTCAGAGCCCTTCAAAATCGGGAAAGGTACGTGGATATTTATAGAAAAATCGATCCATTCTCCATTTAAGAGCTGCACAAAGTCTGTGATACCTCATGGGCATAACGCAAGCAAGGATATCTGCACTCTAGTGCCGAATTGGTGCCCGCGGGTGCCAATCAGATGGCACCTCAGAGGCACAGTAGATATACGAGCGGTCTAACGGGCACCAATGTTAAGAGGTCAGCAGAACCACGAAAAGGTACATGGTTTCCTAAGCATTCACAAGATGATTTCTTTAATCTCATATAAGAACCAGCCCGCCGAATCCGCTCGACCAAATGGTGTTTCCTTCCCTCCCCTACTACCTACAGTCTCCAGCAGCTTAATCCATGATATTTGCTGCACATCATTTGCCGCTGCCTATACCAATCTCACAGCTTTTTCCCTGACTTATCACAAGCATGACTCCTGATTACGACATCATTGTAATTGGCGGTGGTCCAGCCGGTCTCAGCGCGGTCTCGTCAATCGTCCGCCAAGATCACAAGACATTACTATTCGACTCGGGAAAATATCGCAATGGCCTCAGTAATCACATGCACACGGTGGCATCCTGGGACCACCGCCATCCTAGCGAGTTCCGAGCCGCTGCTAGAGCCGACCTTGACCGTTACGGTTCCGTCACAATTGAAGACGTCGAAGTTGAGTCGGCCAAAAAGCTCGAGGATGGATGTTTTCAGGTCGAAACGGCCGGAAAGTCGTGGGTTGGAAAGAAGTTGATCTTGGCAACTGGAGTCGAGGATGTCTTTCCAGATGTTCCGGGGTACGAGGATTGCTGGATTTCAGGCGTGTAAGTGTCGTACTTGTTTACCACGGTACACAACAACGTACTCCAGGTTCACTCGTATCATTAACATTTGTATCCAAGTTTTCACTGTCTGTATTGCCATGGATGGGAAGAAAAGGGCGTCAAATCAGCGGGTATGCTCGCCGAAGGTGCCACAGGCAAATGGGTCCCAGCCCTTCACTTTGCCCGTCAAGCCCTACGCATGGCCGAGACAGTCACACTCTACACTGACGGCAACGAAGAGCTCGGCCAGGAGATCAAAGATGCGCTCAAAGCAAACCCAGCACCCATGACTGTAGACACGCGAAAGATTACCAAGCTTGTCAAGGCCCCGGAGCGAGCTCAAGTCACTCTGCACTTTGCCAGCGGCGAGAGCAAAACCGAGGGATTCCTGGCTCACAAGCCACAGACTAGACTGAGAGGCTCTCTGGCCAAGCAGCTCGGGCTCGAGATGACGCCTATGGGAACCATCCAGGTTACTCCGCCGTTCAATCAGACCAGTGTAAAAGGTGTGTTTGCCGCTGGAGACTGCTCTTCACCCATGCAAACTGTCACGGCAGCCCTTCACTCGGGCACTTGTACTGGAGGTGGAGCGCCCCTACAAATCCAGGCCGAGACCTACGGACAGCCGGCAATATTCTAGACGCTTCAATTATTGAATAAAGGATTCTGATGGGCAATCCACGCATCGCGATGCATAGATGAATTGTTCAGTGTTCGTATTGAGCAGATCAAATATCTGGCTTTAGTTCCAGTAGCCACTATACTGCGCCAACTTGGTGGGATTCAGTGGGGGAGTATGCCAGTACAGCACCTAACCTAGGCACTCAGGCTAGCTCCGTACTAGCAGGACACAAACGATCGTAGCCATGGATACATCACCAATGCAATCGGCTTGGACAGGCGCATATTGCCACATTGATAAATACGTCCACAAATCATTTTGTGAGCCTATGTACCAGGACTACCATCATCATACATTGGTAACCTCTGCTGAGATTGACATCTTACCTTTGCTGTCATCAACGGGAGCAACACCTTCCTCGACAATCTTGCCTTCTATCGGATGCTTGTCCTCGAAAAGCATGCCCAATTCTTCCAAAGTGGAACCTTTTGTTTCTGGGAAAACAAAGTAAATGAAAATTGTACTCAGGATCAGGACTCCCAAGTAGAAGATGAAGTAGTAGTATCCGATCCGAGCCAACGCAATCGGGTTGACGTATTGGTTCACCGTGAGTGCCACCTGACTAACCAGAATCTGCAAAGCCAAGCCTCGTGTTCGAATACTAAAGGGCAGAATCTCGGTCGTGTAGCAATACAAGAGGGGGTTGCAAGCGACATTGAAAGCGGCATTGTACAGAAACAAAAACACCACGGTCGTGTAAGCCGCGGCTTGCGATCCGTGGTTGCTGTACATGGCGCTGGCGATGGTCAGGGGCACGTTGGCGAAAATCATGCCGATGAAAGAGGCCAGCCATAGCGTGCGACGACCAACCCGGTCGGCGAGCAGTGCTCCGACGAGTGAGCACAGAAAGTTCCAAATCGACATGCCGCCATTGATGCCCGTCTGCTGCTCCGTACTGGTAATGCCGATGCTGTCTAGTATGGGACTAAAGTAGTACGAAATGACTCCTTGTCCGTTCCAGAGAGTGAGCACAGCGACGGCCACGCAAATTGTGAATCGCTTGCGGTTGCTCTTGGACTTGAGGGCCTGCGCCCAAGAGCCCACCTGAACCTGACGTTCATACTCGAGTGCAGACAGTATTTCCTGGATCTCGATGGCAACGAGTTCCGATTCATTGTCTCCGTTTGCGTGGTACTTGACGAGCATCTTGCGCGCTTCTTCTACTCTGCCCTTGGAGCACAGCCAGCGTGGCGACTCGGGCATAAAGATTGATGCAACCATGACAAGACAAGGAATACATGCTTGAACAATGGAGGGAATTCGCCACGACCAAGTTGTATTGAGGTGCCCTGTACCAAAACACAGCCAGGCGGCTAGTATAGAACCGACGTACCAGAGAACATTGAACTAGCCACCAAGTTAGCATCTATCTGTCTTCGGAGGCAGGAAAGTCCATCTCACCATTGATGCCATGCCACCTCTAAGGCTTGGATGAGCCACTTCATTCAGCAGACTAGGACCCGCAGATGTCGTAAAGCTGATGCCAATGCCTAGAATGAGGCGACCAACAATGAACTCTGTCCGCCCAGGCGAGGCAGCTTGCAAGATTGACCCAACGACTGAGAGGAGCGAGCCAGCAAACAGGGTTGAACGTCTACCAAAGGTATCGGCAGGCCATGAAGCGACAAGGGCGCCAATGACGCCGCCAATGAAGACCATGGCAGTGATGAGGCCCAGGATTTCATCAGAGGGATTGCTCATATCTGCGAGATATATTGTCAATAGACACCCAAGCTGAAGAAAATTCCGGACAAATGCAACAGAGTAACCTACCTTGTACCCAATTGTCCATGGACTGAAAGCTCCCCACCACTACCTCATCATAGCCGACTACCATTTGTGAGACCAAGATACAAGTCTGCCAAAAGACCAACCGACGGAGGCCGGAGTTGCGCCACCATTGAAGCTTGCCGCTAGGGCTTCCAGAAGCTGAATTTGCCATGTTGAACAGATGCAATGAACCGATGATGGCTTCATCTTCACAAGCCCATGCCTGTCCAGCGACTCCTTCACTTTATAACAACTGTCGCAGAATAGGAATACAATGTCTATCAGTAGAGGCATGTAGGTCATGTTGGCCAATAGGGCGCCTCGTGCATCGCTGATAGCCAAATCGTGGTCCGGCATTGGTCAGTCGCTGTTGGAGTTGTAGATAAGCTTGCGGGTCACTACAAACTCGTCCGTGACTCGGCCGACGTGCGACGATTATCGAGCTCAAGCGTCGGGATATAAGACAACATTCTGATTGGCTCGCTCCTTGCCAGCGCCACTTGGACCCCAACATTGGGAGACTCGACCGTGACTTGGCCGACAAAAGACTACCAAACAGGCCTAGCATGTATCGATTATAGGCGTCTGGGGAATGAGTTGATCTTCTGATTGGCTCGTCTTCTTGTTGAGTCTATGAGGTTTGAATAATAGCTGACATGTCTGGTTCTCGGACCCTCACACACTCGAACTGCAAGGAATTGTGAATGCAAGTAGTTTTCCGCCAAGTATAAAGCGTTATCGAGATTTGAAGAGTCATTTGGCCTCCTGAGCACTAGATTTTGCGACACTCCGTCCCCTTGAACAAGTTCAAAAAGATGCCAGGAAGATTGCAAGACGAAGGCAGTTATGCCTCAGAGCCGACCGTCGATGTGCAGAAAGAATACGGAGACTGGCGGGACAAACTGATCAAAGATGGCTACGTCGTTCTCAAAGGTGTCGTCCCCGCCGAACGCGCTCAGCACTATCTAGACAGTATCTTTAGCTGGCTCGAAACCTTTCCTTACGGTTTCAAGAAAGATGACCCCTCCACATGGGGACCTGAACATCTCCCGGCACATGTCAAGTGAGTTTGAGTCTATGAACCAGTCATTTGCAGACTCTAACAGGCGACTAGGAGTGGCATGTACCATGGCTATTCTGTGTCTCACGAAAAGTTCTTTTGGGATGCGCGATTGTAAGTCTTGTTGACAACAATTTAATGAAACCAGCAACAACTGACATGTCGCACAAAAGAGAGCCAGCCATCATTGATGCATTCGCCAAGATATGGGGAACGGACGAACTGCTCGTATCGTTTGATGGTGTGAACCTGACTTTGCCCTCTGCAAATCGACCTGCAGTAGGTGCCTGGCCACACGTGGACCAAAGCCCACTGCGCAAGGGTCTCCAGTGCGTCCAAGGGCTGCTCAACCTGGCCCCCAACGGCCCGGATGACGGCGGTCTGATTGTGATGAAGGGCTCTAGCGCGCTCAATGAAGAGTACTTTGCTACTCACGAGAATAGCCAGGAGACATGGGGCCCGGCAGACTGGTTTGGGTTCTCCGAAAAGGATGTCGAGTGGTTCAAGAGCAAAGGCTGTGAGATCATCAAGGTCTGTGCAGATCCTGGTGACCTTATCCTATGGGACTCTCGTGAGGTTCACTACAATCAACTCCCAAAGAGTGATGCAGTACGATCCGTTCTATGTAAGACAACACTACACTCTATGCCAGAAGTTGATCTTTACTAAGCAACGTTAGACATGTGCTACACACCAGCATCGTATGCTGCTCCAGAAGATCTGAAGAAAAAGGCCGAGCTGTTTGAGAGTCGCATGGGGACGGTAAGTCGGTCACTTGTTCAAAGCTCAATCCGTTACTGATCTGGATGTTTGTAGACCCATTGGCCACATGCCAACATCTTTCCAAACAATGCTGTGCAAACCCGGCTGGGGAAACCAGAAACCTACTCCAGGGACCAGCCAATCGAATCACCTATGATGAGCCACAGAATGCTGCAGCTTGCTGGAGTCAAGCCATATTGATCCTATAGGCTTATTACAGAGAGTTGGCTTTGATGTGCTCCAATTGTAGCTCATATTTGGTTCTTTTGGATCTCTTCCAAAATCCTCCCGCCATGATTGGCAAGCGGGCTGTGTGAAATGCGCTGGAGAAAAGCAATGCCAAGGTCAATCTCGGTTCTGCAGTTGGAGTAGGATGACTCCCTTGACGTATTATCCAAAAGAAGCGTTACGCAAGCTGAGAAGACGTTCGTGGCGATTGCCCTGGTAATAGTTAGTATTTGTATCACCAAAGTAGCTCCGATGAATCTACTTACCATGATCGGAATTTGGAAGTGTCAAGCTTTCCGGTTACAATGGCGCGAACAATTGCTTGCGCGGATGACAGACAAATTGCACGAACCCTGGCTTGATTTGGTGAACCCTTGAGCCAGTACTGCTGGAGAACACGGTTTATGGCGATGCGATAGTACAGAAATGCCATGGCCAGACTTTGGCTTTGCCATAGCATCCAGGGTTGCCGTGAGTCGCCGTCGTCAATCGTATTCGCAAATTGCTGGTCAGACTGTAGGAACAATGGAAGCTCTCCAACCAGGTTTGCCAATTCATCATCTGCAGCCAATACAATGCTTGTGATTTCTTCAGCAGACCAGGCCCTAATTCGCAGCTTGTACCTGAAACTATAATAGATTCTGGCTAGCCTGGCCATGATGATGTGGTACTGTACTGGTCGTGGTTTCGAGCGTGACAGCCTGTGGCTTGATGGCAAAGAGAGCTCCTCGTCGTCCACGTCTTCCGGCAGCTGACAATCAAAGTCAACGTCATTGACAAAGGGTGTGTGAAAAGGTATGGGCAGCCACTCGCAAATGATAATCGTCCACCAAAGGCGCCGGCGTACTTGTTGGTCAGAGAAGGATTCGTCTTCATGGGCCGAGTCGTTGCCCAACTTTAGCTGCTGCGCAACTCTGATTGCCACCGACCACATAATCTTTTGGCGGCTGATATCGCCCATATTTGTGAACAGCATGCCTAGAACGACAATGGTCTGTACCGTGTTTATATGAGGTCGCTGCGTAAAGTCGCCTTTGTCTAGGAAATAAAGTGCAGCACGTACCAGTTGCGAAGAAGATCATCGGGTTTGCCAGGCGGAGCGGGAATCGTATCAATCACTTCATCAGACATGAAGAGCAAGGTCGATGCCAGTATGCTGAAGTATACTGCCAGCCATAGAGGCTCTGCATGGTCCAATGACTCTGCAGCGGACTGCAGGCACCAGAAATCCTCATGCTCTTGAAGAAACTGCGGTGTAGAGACGGCAAAATGAATCCAAAAAGTCCACTGTGGTGCGAATGCGAGGATCGCATCACTGCAGCTCTTTGACGGCAAGAGAATGTCTTCTTTGCCCCAGACAGACCGGAGCCCGGGACAATGTTCCATCATGTCGAATAATCGATTCTCGTACCACTCTGTCTTGTCGGCCAGCGCTGGCAACCTCGAAGTTGATTCTGTTACTGGCGCCGAATTATGGCCCGCCAAGAGCGCTCCAAGACGCAGGTTCTCTTGCAGAAGATCAGCATAAGATGGGCTGGACTGAGAGGCATCCACGGTGTGTATGCGACCCTTTACTCGAACAACTTCTCGCCTGCATTCGGTGGGAACCCCACGGCGCACGCATTGTCGACATGGTAATTCTTTGCTGCATTTGATCTTTCTTGCATAACAAGCGGTGCATGACTTGGGAGCTCTTTGCGTCGACCTGATATCATCTGCCATGATGCACAGGCCAAAAAAAAAAAAGGGTAGATTTCGGGAATTGATGGAGCAATAATAGGTAGCCATTGGCTTTATCTTGGAGAGATATGCAGCGGAATCCGGATAGTCGCCCTCCCTCTAGCGTCGGCCGGAGCCACCCCGCAAATTGAAACGAGTCAGCGGCCTTACATTGGATGCTGTTGTCTCGTCCCTTACAAGTGGATATAGCGACGCCGGAATATGTTCAAATATCTTTCAGGTGTTCTTTGTCGGATCAGATCATCTGAGAGGATCTCAAGGTGCTGGTATCTGAGAAACATCCTGAGCGGCATCGCTGGACACTTCAGACTAATGTCACGCAAGCATCCCGAGATCGCAGCAACTGTCCTAGCAAGCTACCATCATTGTTGTGATATTCTCTTTGGTGTTTTCGATAAGCTCATAGGGTGCGCATTAAAACTCTCGGCATTTTGAAAGAACATTCTATTTTTGGATGCGATAAATGATCAACTTTCAAGTCATTCAAAAGGCATGTTCTTCAACGGGATGGAAGGAGCTATAGGTCACTGAGTCTTTCATGCACAGGACTCTCCAAAGCAACAACGCTCCAGTCGAATCTGACTCTGACGTGTTAGAATTTAACATACTAGGATGCATCTTTTGATTCAATAGTCATTGTTTCTTTGGGTCAGCTACGTCTCCCCGTAAAAAGGCCAAAGGGAGGCCTCTCACACGATTTGCCTTGATATTGCCTCAACGCAGTCATTATCCATGGAATGATATCCCAATAGTGAACGCCGGTATCTGAATACTTGTAACATATGTCCTATTGACGATACGGCACCTTAAGTCGTACCATAGTCCAGCTTTCGGATGTACTATAGCTCGGTTTTGTGTTGACTTCTTGGGTTAATCTCATATATCCGTTACCGTCTAAGATCACCTTCGGATGAATAATTAAATCAAGATAGTAGAGAGCAAGCCAGGTCAAGCATCTAGGATCCAATGCAACCATGAGCGGCCTTTATCGCACAGTCATGTATCATCACCACACACTATGATGAATGTGCTCCTTTATATCATGGAGCTCGTTTACGAAAATTCAGCTAGGCAGCTCATCTTTCATTGCAGCTTGTCGTACTCACAGGCAGTGATTCTAGTTGTATCGCCGTCATGGCTGTCAATATCGCGATGAGAGCGGGCCGCGGTAGCTCACTTCCAGTTACATTGAAGACGTTTGCGAGATTTGCCTTATTCATCGAACAAATGAGGAGCCTTGGATTTTATTGATGCCTATCGATGAATTCGATTCATAAAGATTATCCAACAACATGAACCCGGATCATGTCAAGTATTGTATGAAATCAATTGTTTGCTCATGCCATCTGACGAGCGTTCACGACAACGACTTCGATCTGCTCAAGCCACAAAAACCACACATTAGGATTTACCGTTCAGAGAATCGCCTATGCCTTTCGACTGCCCATAATCGGTGTACCTCGGCAATTCTCATACGCCATGGAGTGTTGCCCTGGAGATTCTAGTATACACTTGGGAACCTCTTCAGGTGATTGTTAATTTCATCTACACTTTCTCAAGTTGTTTTATTCCAAGCAAAATTATAAAAAGAAGGCTTCTAAAGGCCTCTGGCGCCTATCAAAAGGTTCACTATGTTTGAGATACTTGTGGACTTCATGTCTCGATATAGTGCGGGCATGTTGAAATAAGTTGAGTGAGGTCACCTATTGTCCCCAAGTGCCCGATAATGATCCGTCAGCACGCGGGACAGGGTAAGGTTTATGGCTTGCGCTTGATCGTTGTTTTTCAAGCTGAAAATGAGACAATCACGGGATCAACAGCCCAGGACGGAAGACCAGCGAGACCAGCTCGTCCCCCAAACTTTGAGAGGGTAAAACAATAACAATACCCACACATGTACTGATGGCAACGGTCCCAGGAAGGTCGAACTGAGGCTGAGATACAACTTGACTCAGTAGTGTTGATTCAAGAGGCGTAATGACAATCGTAAGCAATTGCATGTACTCGGTAACTTCTTTGATGTGAAGCTAGTTCCAAAGCTTCTTTTGGGTATCTAGTCAGTTACTCAGCCAGCCAGACAACCAGCCAGCACGGTCCGGCGAGCATGTGCCATCCAGTATGGAGAATGGACAATGCGTATGGCGCAAGGGGAACGTCCCGTATTCGGTAGACTTTTTGACTTTTATATCGACTGGGTCGGGTTCCAGAGAAAATTCCCGGACAATGACCAAGTGCTTGTCTAGTGGTTTCGTCCTTGTGGGTTTGCGCTGTGCTGTGGAAAGGGGACAACATGGACAAGGAGCCAATGGAGCAGAAGGCCGAGCCCTAAAGGTCTATGGGAGTCTTGGACCGCGTGGCCTGGACAACACAGGACGCATCAGCATCAGTGGGTGATTACTGGCATGGCCCGCTTGCGCTCAGCCTGGCTGTCAAATACAAATACGGATCGACCATGTCGGCAAAAGAGGGGCCGGCAATATGAGAGTGGGCTGTTTTCAGGCTTGATGGTGGATGTGGGCAGTGGGCAGTTCATGACTGTAGTGGACGGAAGAAGAGACAGTAAATTGCAGAAGATGGGATGAGCCCTCCAGCGGCAAATGCCAAGATGCTCACTCGAGCGCTGCACAACCCTCGTGGACAAGATTTGCAGTTGCCATAGACTGAAGAGTTGTAGTTAGTCAAATCTGTCCGTCTAATGTCTATCGGACGGCCAGTCCGCCCGGGAAGAGATAGCTAGCCGAACCAGGAAACACATCAAGGGCGCGGCCTCGGCCGTCTCTTGAGCCGTCAAGCAAAGAGGCCTACCAAGAAACAATAGCAAAGGTACGTACATCGTACTTGACTGCTTGTTGTCGTTGTTTTTACAGAGGTTCGACCTTCTTCCATCAGAGGGTTTCAAATTGGGTAGTGAAAAATTCACGCGCGAACGACAAGCCGGCGCATGTTGCTAATCAGCGCAAGGTCAAGACTTTGAAATTAAGCATTTGATGCAAAGAAGGAAGCCGCCCCCATCGCTGGTAGGTCAGTACCCAAGATCGTACCAAAGATTGCCGGACTATTTTTGTACCCTCAAAAAGGTGACGAATCTGCGCAAAAGTCGACCTGTGACGAATCAACAACCGGGATTTGTCCTTGACTCCCCTGAGCAACAGTAATGGTCTAATTTCGCCTATGGCTTCTGCTAAGCTACTGGCAGACTGGGGGGCCGGGGTACCTGCTGCTACGTTGGGCTTGCCAGCCAATCATGCATTGGGCGTCCCTGGCCAAGCGGGCACCTGCCCGTTCCTGATTAGGAGCGCGGACCACTGATCAGCATACGGCACTGGACAGGAACAAGTCACGTCCAGTGAGGCACTTCCTCTCGTGCTTGTTGTGCTCTGGGCGTTCTGGAAAAGGAAATGATGGGCTGTCTGGCTTGCCCACGGAGTTGCGTTGCGCGTAGGGCGCAGTCATCAGTTTTCTGTCCGTTTGTCGACTTGCTGAGTCAATAATCGTCGGATGCGCGCGTATTCGTACGTTTACATACTGTTTGAAGCCACGACCATGTACCTAACTGAAAATGCCTTTTTTGCCTAGGATGGATAGGGTAGCCTGACCCGTTGGGATAACAATTGATCAGATAGGGATTCTCAAGTCTTTGTTACAAACCGCTGTCAAGCACCATTAATGCAAATTATCCATGAAGGCGGCAATTGACTGGTGCCAGAGGATGCAAAGATAAGTAGGCATTCAGGCACAAAGCCACGAGAGCACGGCTTTGTGTCCATGATATTTGGAGAGAATTCGTGGAGAAAACGTTAATGCAGGTAAGGTTGGCCGTATTGCAGGTCTCATCATAGGGAAGAGAGTGCCAGTGCGTTCTTCCGGACGCAACCCGACCAAGGCGCTGTTTGTCCCGAGTGTTTCTGGCAATGCAGAGGATCGATCACCTTTGAAAGGGAGCATCATTAAGTAGTGAATGGCTGCCAATAGAAGATCTGCCCTTCTCAGAGCAGCGTCCTACGTCAATCGCGATGATGAATGATGTAAACTCGTTGCAGTGCCCTACTTCTGGCATCTGCTTTGCTCGTCCCTGTCAAGCCTGTCCCCCGCCGTTGGACTTTGGAAGTTTGAACTTTGAACTTACGGGTCGTACGGGAGTCGATCGATGGACCCAATGCCATGTTTGTTAAAAACGCGCTCTGCTGTTTAAGTAGATGATCGCCGTCTCCCACACGACCACAAACCCACCCACGGGCCTTTGGGTAATGTGCTGTGGTATCGCTCCGTTTAGTCTACACTTTGTTCGGACCTCGAAGCTGCTCGGACGCGTCGTTGTAACTTTTGGTAAAGTACTCCAAATAGAATAATTCCCAACTCATGACGTCCGTTTGTTTTTGACTTGTGAAAATCGTGTTTGTGTGTGTGTGCCTCCGTAGTAGTAATGCAGGATGAAGAATGTACCCAATGGAATTTGTGAATTGTTGGTAGGGGTTCGGATTGGAGCGTTGTTTGGAGAGCTAATGTAGGTACCTCGGAGCAGTGCTGGGACCCCCCAGTCCATCAAGAGCAAGACCCCAGCTTCGTCCAATCCACCACCAGAATCCTCCCTACCTTGAGCACCTAGCACGTTTAGCAGGAGCAGGAGCACAGCGGTAGCGGTGCATCCACCCACCCACCTGGTTCGTCTCTGTCCGCCCACCCTCCCAGTCCTCCCACCCAGCAGCTAAACTACCAGCAGCTTGACCTCTTCTGCCTTTTTTTCGCTTTTCTTTTCCTCCCTCACCGTCCGTTCGTACGTTGTTCGTTCGTTGTCGCATCCCATAACGGCACTTACGGCCTCTCCCCCAATTTCTTCTCCGAGATTTTGGCTTGGTCGCAATCTTCGTGGCCTTTCCTTAATTCTCATTCCATTCTCTTCAAGCACATTCCGCAAACCACGACGGCCCGTCCGCAGCCATCCAACACACCCGACGACCACTTTCTGGTAACAACATTGTCTCGACGACTTTGCAGGTCAAATAATTTCTTTCCGCCTTCTTGACCTGACACAAGTTTGTCACTCACTCGTTTCGACTCTTCCTACGAACAATACCACGACGGACTGAACATCCAAGATCCCCGCGTCGCGAGCTTCCCGGACCAACGACGACGCCATCAAGCGCATTCCACTCTCTCGCCCAAACCACGCGCCCTGAGCACGTAGGTGAACGCACGGAATCAACTCAAATGCGCAGATGAACCGACGACAACACAGCACACGACTACCGTATTAATTCCCTACTTCTTGCGATATTCCTAATACAACTTGCGGTCTTCCGCACAAGTAGTAAATAATCTGTAAATATGCCGAACCACCACGAACACAAACACCTGGCAAGGGCCGAAACTGTCTATGCGACTGTCTACACCACCCTCAGCGCCACATTCACCGACGAAATTGCTGGATACTCGACCGTAGGCGTGGACAACACCGCAACATCTGTCGCCAATGCCGCCGCCACGACCGCTGCCGCCGAGGCAGCGGCCTCTGACGATTCGACTCTACCTGCATCGCTAGTCGCAACCGGAACTGTTGATGTGGGCTCTGAATCGAATCTGGCCATGGCAACTAGTACTTCTTCGACTTCGGCCAAGGCTTCATCCACGACTGGGTCCGCTGCTAGCACCGCAGCTGCAGCTGCTGCATCCTCTTCGACTTCATCCTCTAGCTCAAGCACTGGCGACAGCAGTGGCGTCAAGGCCGGTATTGCCTTTGGTGTTCTAGGAGGACTCTTGTTATTCGGTTTACTCGCCTGGTTCCTATTCAATAAACGGAGAAAGCAGATGGAGCAGCAGAAGGCTATTGACAACGAGAAGATGAGCGGCAATGCAGGCGCAGCTGCTACTGGAGCTGCTGTTGCCGGTGGTGTTGCATTCGCCGCAGCTGCAAACCGCCGTGACTCTGTCCAAACTACCCACACGACTGCCGATGCTCCCCGCTTGGAGTTGCGACCTGTTACCCAGTTCATGCCCAATTTTGGCGAGAGACGTTCCAGCAAGGGTGCGGCTCTTGCTCTGGGTTTAGCTCCGATTGGAAACAACTCGCAAGCACGCACCCTTGGTGCAGGTACCGACCGTCCTTCAACCAGCCAGAGCCATGAGAATCCCTTCGGCAGCGGTGCTGAGCAGCTTGACGGAGTTTCTGAAATGTCGGTTCAGGCCGCCTCGCAACCCCACAACCCCTTCGATGCGCCTGAAAATGTTGTTGGCCTCGCTCAAAGTACCGATGAACACAACGTTTCGCCCATTTCGGAACATGCCCCTGATGGATTTGGTTCTGCTGCTACTGGGGCTGCCGCCGGAGCTGCCGCTGGTGTTGCTGTTGGCACTGCCTTGACCCGAAAGCAATCGAAGAGGGAGGCACCTCAGACTCTCGATCTCACCAAGGCCAACAAACCCGCTCAAGTCCTCGACCCCATTCCCGCACCCGCAAGTCCCGCCGGCACCGAATTCAGTCTCACGGAAATGGAGCCAGGTCAAACTCCCGGTCCTTCCAGCAGTGCTGCAGCGATTGCTGCCGCCGGCGGTCCTCCCCAGTCTACTGTCCACCGTGTTCAACTGGACTTCAAGCCCACATTGGATGATGAGATTGAACTTAAGGCTGGCCAGCTTGTCAGAATGTTGCACGAGTATGACGACGGTTGGGTAAGTGCTAATCTTTTTGCGAAATATTGTGACATGATTCTAATTCTTCATGCAGGCTCTTTGCATCCGTCTCGACCGCTCTGCTCAAGGTGTATGTCCCCGAACTTGTCTCTCTACCCGACCTGTGAAGCCCCGTCCTGGTCCTCCTGGAGCCGGTCCTCGTGGTCCTCCTGTGAACCCTGCTGGACGTGGACCTCCCCGTGGACCCGGCGCCGGCCCTGGCCAGAGACCTCCTCCTGGCCAGCGCCCAATGACTCCTCAAGGCGGACCATTCCCTCAGCCCAACGGACCTAAGAGACCAATGAACGGACCTGGACGCCCGCAATCTCCCGCCATGATGAGACCGCAATCGCCTGCCGGCATGGGACGCCCTCAGTCTCCTGCCATGATGAGACCCCAGTCGCCAGCTATGATGCGACCACAGTCACCTGCTGGTATGGGACGTCCTCAATCGCCCGGTCCCCGGCAACGAGGCTACAGCCAGAGCAGTCAACGCAACGGCCCTGGTCCTAGCCCAATGAACCCCGCAAGTGGTTCTCCTCCTCAGGGACCCATCGGCAGAAAACCCGTTCCCGGTCAAGCCTACTAGATGACGACATTTTTCTCTTACGGCAATGATGACACGGCGATACAGCATGGCGCATGGGCCAATGTGCGATACCCCTCAGAGTCGGACTCGACGAATCTTGACGAACTCTGAAACGAAACCTTTAGATCTTCTCGACGCTCACTTGCGACCCATTTTTGTCTTTCTTTCATGTTTTTGGTGATTTCGCGACTTCATTTTCATTTTCCTCACCGATAACAACAACGCTATTGCAGCATTTGTTTTGCGAGCGCCTGGCCTTAATTCGGAAAAAATTGTCGGATTAAAATTTCACTTTGTGCCCTTTTCGCCCAATTCATATGCGTCAATTTTTTCGTGTCAATAATTTCTATTACTTGACGAGCCAATTTTCTCTGGATGAGTCGGCGCCTCCGTGGCAATCGATCAAAATCCTGACGACCAGTTGGCTTTTTTTATTGCTTAATTTCGTTACTCCCTGCTTCCCGCCTGGTTCGCACGGCGAGGCGAGGAATCCATCTCAAAGGATTGGAACTTTGGACAAGTGGCACCCCTTTCTCCGGAAAGCTAGGCTGTGCTCTATTTTGGTGTTTGAGATGAACCGCAGATCTAGGCGTCCAGGGTGGACGGCAATGGAAGGCGGTTGTTACAAGAGAGACAGGAGATGGTCAAGGCCTCGAGTATCATATTCCCGACCTCTTGGAAGCCTCCATCTGTTCATGAGGATGGAAGATGGAGCTCTGGCCATGAGAACCCTAAGAAAGATACTCGAATAGCGTGTCAATTGTACATAAGTGTGTCAGTAGGACAATACAGTGGTTGATAGCTGGTGCTTTGCGCTGCTTGAACTAAAGATCTGACCTCTGAATCGTGACTGTCGAAATGCCCATCAGCTTGCTTTGCCCATGACCAATACGAAGACCCACCCGCCACGTCTTCAGGGACTAATATAGACCGACACTACACATCTCGCATATTCTTTTTCGTCGCCCGCATAGATTGACTGTAACAACAAGCTTGCGCTTACTTGCGTAGACATTTGGGTATAAGGGTAAAATATCATATTGCCAAGTGCCAAACGACGATCGGGCGATAAAGTTTGCGCAAAGATTCGTTGCTAGCTCCAACGACGTCCCGGTGTCATCTATCGGTATCAATCATGATGAATCAACGCCCTCGTGGCCGGTCCACCTGGATCTGGCAGACAAGAAGCGTTATAATGGACAGCGCCGCCACTGAGCAGTTTGCATCTTTTGCCGAGCGCAACGGTATCCGGCGGGTGTTTGTGCACATTGACCCGGATCTCTCGGTCGCCGACTTTGAGGCCTTTGTGGCAAGGTGCGCTGCCCAGAGAGTCGACGTCGAGGCCCTCATGGGCGATCCAGGATGGGTTCTGAACCCGCACCATGAGAGCTTTACTGGCCGGCTTGCTTGGGTCGTGGCATACCAGGCGCGGCATAAGGGGAACCCGGCGATGCAGATTCGAGGCTTGCATTTGGATATCGAGGTAAGCAGAAGCCCCTCGTCTCGTTTTTTATTCTCCTCTGTGAAAAGATACTTTTCCAAAACACAGCATACACCACATACTGACGCATCAAGAATAGCCATGGCATCTTCCGGGCTGGGAAGCCAACAAGTCAAGGTACATGCACAGTTTTCTGCAAGTCATTCACAACTACACGCAACAGGCGCACGCCATGACGCCCCCGCTGCCGGTCACGGCCGACTTGCCCTTTTGGCTTCACACGGTGCCTCCTCCCCCTGGATGCGGCGGTGACTACCACGTCGACGCGCTGCTCTCGACCCTGGACGGCGCCGTCTTCATGACGTACCGCAACACACCCGCCGTCCTGGCCGATATTGCGGGCCCGGCGCTGGCGGCGGCTGCGCGACACCCGGGGAAGAGCATGGATTTGGCCGTTGAAACGCGGAACTGTGATGAGGAGGGCCGGCATATCAGTTATCACGGGCTTGGGCTTGCGCGGCTCGAGGCGGACTTGGCAGTCATTGAGGGACGGATGGTGCCTTGGGCAGACAGGCACCGGATAGGCGTGGTTGTTCATGATTATCAGGGCTGGACGGAGATGCGATGAGATGTTAGAATTAACTTGAATTCTTGGTTATCCTGAACAAATCATATTTGAATAGCAGTGAGCTGGCGATTGTGCAAATTCAAGGAAAGAAATATTGCGTGATTGTTACTTACATCAATTTTCGCTCATTATTGCATTTCCCTGCTCAAGACACCACATTTGGTGCCATTTCACCGGCACGCTCCGAGGTATAGTCCATCTGAAGCCTATTATGCTAAGAATGCATGTTGCTGTAGCATTCGGGATCCGTCAAATCACATTCTCCATCCAGTCAGAACTAGCAATGACGATGACGATGACAACCGTGGGGGGCAGGGAGAGAAAAAACTGATCTACCTCCCTTTGAAAGCCATGTTCAACAAAAAGAATATGATGGTGAAATGGGTACCACATCTTTGAATTTGCGAAAGAGGCGCAAGCATCATGATCTCGCCACAAGTTGAGGTGAATTTAGGCCCGCAATTCCCTGAGGCATCGCTATTTTTGACCAAACAAGATAGTATGCTCGGTGAAGGCATTCAGCAAGGTGACCACCTTTGTTGGAGGTGGCAGAATTTGCAGAGGTATGGATGGAAATATGAAACCTGTTGGACTCGAATACTTCCAGAGTTCTGGGGATGTTGAAATCTGTGAGTGATCTACCTACATTCTATGGCATATGTAAAATCATAAGCTGACCCTTTTCAGTTCCAAACGCTATAGCATCGTTTGTTATAGCTTCTGTGGATGAAAGCGCATATTCTGATGGAATCGATAGGAACTTCGATCCATTCCGATAGATCCATCTCTTTAAAGGATCCAAGGAGTAAGTCTTCATGTGGCCGAAGTCATTTGTGGGTGTTGCAGGAAGCCAAACAGTTTCAAGATCCACCTCGCTTTCCATTTCCCACATGTGGATAGTCCTATCGCTGGTGCTTGTTGCAAGCTTCCTCCCGTCCGCGGAAAAAGCCAAAGACTCGATATGGCCCATCTCGTGTTGGTCCAGTACTGGCTCCATTCTGTTTGTTGCCATATTCCATAGGCTAATTCTATCAAAGTCGTGGGAGGCGAATCGTTTCCAAGGCTCCTGTTCGAACGCTACCCTCTCTCCATCAGGAGAGAATGCCAGACTGTATATGATATTGAATTGCTTCTCTGCTAAGAGACTTCCCCTCGCAACGTCCCATATCTGGATCTTACAGTTATATGCGTAGGTGGCAAGCTTGGTTCCGTCGCTGGAGAAGGCCATAAGGATGCGTCTGAAGTCTCCCGAGTCCGTCGTTATCCCTGTGAGGAATTGCTCCACTCTTCCCTCTGTCAGGTTCAATACTTCAATCAACTCGCCGCCACACCACGAAGCCAATTTCAGTCCATCTGGTGAGAACTCGATGAATTGTCGGGAAACCTGAATTCTTCCTGCATACTCCTGTGGAGGTATTCTCTGTACAAGGTTCCCTGACGCAACCTCGTGCAGGTGTATCATACCACTCACTAATACTGCTGCCAAGTATTTTCCATCTGGCGAGAATGCTACGCTCGTGATACGGAGAGTCTGCCTTCCGAGGTTTGGTTTCTCGGTTTCTATGGTTGCTACATCCCATATCTCGATGGCGCCATCGATTGAGCCTGATATAAGTTGTTGCTTATCAGGCGAGAGCACGAGACTTAAGATCGCGAGTGTATGACCATAAAACACACGCAAAACCCCGCCTGTTACAATGTCCCAGATCCAGATATCTCCGCTCCACCGTGGAGAGAATGCAAATTTGCTCGCATCTGGCCAGAAAACAAGGCTATCAGGTGATCTGAGATCCGAGACCTCCCAAGTTCGCTCGACGCCACCATCTGCAGCACACCAGAGAACAATGTGGCCAACATCACCACGTCCTTCTTTTTCATGCTGTATTGTTATTAGCTTGCGTCCATCCGCCGATTTTGCCAAAAATTGGATAGGGATCAATTTATCCTTGTTTTCGAAGGATTGTTGAATTTGTCCAGTCGTGGCATCCAATAGCTGAACGCGTCCCGTTGTTGACCCCAACATCAGTTGATTTCCTTGAGGCCAAAATGAGGAACAGGATATTTTAAAATGAGCAAGCTTTGGCAGCCTGACAGCCTGTCCTGTCGCGGCATCCAATAACAGCATGGTCCCATAGTTTGCGACCACTAATAATTTCTCCTTGTTAGGCCAAACAATGATACCTCCATGGCGAGTGGAACAAGGAGTAATCCACGCGAATTGGTTTGTCGCGGGAATCCATAGTCTGATGTGTTCACCGCTCAAAATTGCCAGCTTGCCTCCATCCGGAGAAAAAGCAAGATGCTGCATCGTGTCAACCTCCCAGGGATCACATGGATGCGCGAATTCGGCTCGGCCAGTCGCCATGTTCCATACTTGGACGGCTCCATGACGGTCTCCAGAAGCTAGCGTCTTGCCACAATTGGAAAGAGCAATGTGCGAAATTCCATATGACATATATGGTTGAAATGTCTGCAAATGATGGTCCCAATTGGGCTCTAAGCCCAATATAACTTTGATCGGGCAATGTTTCCGAAGAAACAGACGTCGAATGATGCTGTTCTTGGGACTGAAGAGCAGAGCGCTGCGATAAATCTGGAGCGGCATGGAGTCGATCATCGACATGTGTCTGAGAATGAACCTAGTGGTGTCTTTGAGGAGACTAGATAGATTTCCCGGCTCCCATTGCTTGTTGTACTTTAGCACCGTAACTGAGGTGAAAAATGGAGGCGTGCTGCCGTCTACTCACATTTATGAATGCTTCTAACCGACGAACACCATCGAGACCCTTGTGTAAAACTCGTTTCAAACACAAGGCTTCTAGCCAGCAGAGCAAATAATGTGACATGAATTCGTGAATCTCTCCCTGATCACATAGAATCTCTGGACGTATCGCGTGTTGCTCCAAGTCCGAGAACGACGCAATCAGGTGATCGATCCAGCTCTCGCAGGAATATGACATTGCAAGGAGAGGATCACCTGATCGCGGTGTTATGATTTCCGTGATCTCCGTGGAGCAATGCTCGAGCTCGTAAATGTTCTCCTTCAAGTCTTTCATAGCCCTCATGGACGCTGAGAGAGTCAAGCTGTGGCGGTCGGAAATTCCGCGGTCAAAGATGTCGCCCATGGGATCATCTTTCAAAAAGTCTCTTGCAGATTGATGGATAAAGTGGACAATATCAGCCTGTAAAACAAGGAAGTTGCTGCATAATCGCACACATCTCTCGGCTTGAGCTCTCTGGAGCTTGCGGTCAGAAAAGGCGATTGAAGCAAGCTCTTCAAGATGTAGTGGTCGCAATGTCGTAGCAGCTGTTGCGAGGACAGTCACGCAATCACTCCAGCGTCGCTCGAGTTCTCGTAGTTTAGACAGGCTGTGACTGTAGATATCGGGGAGTCCCGTAGGTAGCTTTTCAAGCAGATGGAGAGTCTCGCGGTCATCCCAGGACTCATGATCATTCTGTAACATCTCACATACAAGCGATACCCACAGAAAGATTCCTGCAGAGCGATCCTTGAGAATATAGTGAATCTTATGTCGGAGATCCGCGCTGTAGTCTTTGGTCTCAGCAAGGAGCTCAACTTTGCGTCTAATGTATTCATCAATAGATATTTCTGGAAGAACTGTTGACAATTCGATCGAGTTTATCAGGCACTTCTTGCCAAGAGACTGCAACGACTCGGAAATGATCGGATCTGATCTGCTTGAAACGACCCACTTGATACCGAGCTCCGTGGTCGTCTCACGTATGAAGCGAAGAATGTTCTTGAGATGATGCTTGTCTTCGCATTCGTCTATACCATCCACGAAGAGGAGTGATGGCTTGGCATCAGCCAGCATCCTTTGTAGCGCAGATCGAAGGGCTATGGCGTCGTCAAGGGCGCTGTCAGATCCGCTGGCTAGCTCCTGTGTGAGATGCGATATCAAATTGCTATTGCGGATGTTTCGGAGCAAATGATAAATGAGCCCGCGGTAAAAGGCGCACTCATCTTTGGATTTTCCTTCGAAGAAGAAGTATGACAAGGCTTGTTGGTCCGTGTTTGTGAGGTGATATCGGATGAGGTTGATCATTGCCATTGTCTTTCCTGTCCCAGGTCCGCCCACAAAATGGATCACGGATGCGTCCGGTCCTTGCTGCCAATCTATAAGCTTCAGGATCCACTCCGAGCAGGCGGAGATAAGCCGCTCTTTGCGATCCTCAATGACCTCCATTTCGTGTCCGGGTGAAGGAATCCTTTCAGTCAACAAGTTCCAAGATCTAGCGTCATCACCTGTGAAGACGAGCGTTTGGCTGCGGACACTCATAGCCTGCTCAATCATCGATTGTATCGTACCCCGAACCCTTCTATAAGAGCTGTCTTCCCGGTCGGGGAATTTGTTCATCATGACATGTGTAACATGTAGGGCAATGCTCTCCTTTGCAACATCAAGTCGCGCCGAAGAACTGTCGACAATCTGCTCAATGATCAGCGAAACGTCTAAAGGTGGCAGTCCTTGAGTTACTCACCACTTTCGGGTTAGTCATATGTGCCTTCAACCACTTGGGGGTCCATTTGGGGAATGATTTCGCCACGAAGTGACTCTCAATGGTCTCGTAGAAGCAATACACTGGTAGATTCCGGGAAAGACAGCAATTAATGCTGAAGCGATTGACAAGCTCTTCAAGTTGCGCTGTCGACTTTCCGAGATGATCCAAAAGGCCGCGTGCAAGAGATTGACTTTTGACAACGCCTCTGGCTTCCAAGCTCAGTATGGCCGTGCCAAAAACATGTGCCAGAGCCGTTCCTCTGAATGGCGTGCCGAGGAAGACGACGCCTGCCGTGGCTGTTGAGAGACCATAATACTCATTCTCGCTTTCAGCTGCCAGCGTAAGCGCCTGCGCTAGTATGATGCCCCCGAGACACGAGGCGATGAAAATGATGGGTCGTGTTATTGCTCCTAAACGGCGGCGTTCTGACTGAATATCGGCTAACAACCCGCGAGCCAGTTCTAATACTGTCAACTCGACCGACCCTTGATCTCGGTAAAGTCGTGATGGCCAGTTGCAAGTAAAAATTCGAGCTCGAGGTAGGTCGTACGAGAGCATATCCGGAGACGTCAACCAATTGACGCCATTTTTCCGCCTGTCGCTTTTCTCCCTAACTCTCGTGGGCCTGCGTTCAAAGAGCCGTCCGGAAAGACCGCTCTGGTTATTCTTTTCGGTAGGGCGTGCCTCGTGTTTCCGTTGAAAAGTCCATGTATCAGGAGATGTTGTGTCCAGTCCATGGATAGCAAAGATGTCAACATCCGTCTCAATATCGTCACCAATAGCCGGGTATACTTGAAGTACTCCTATATGATTCGAGACGCCTTGTCGGTTCGAATTTTGGGAATGGCCCTGGTCTTTGTCCCGGGGATCATCCCCTCCATCATTTTCTGATCTGTCCATCCTGTCCTTGAATGCTGTGGGGTGAGATTTTGGTTTTCCCTCCGTCCTCCTGGACGTTCCTCTCGCGCAGTGACAGAAACTTCCTCACAATCCTGGCGATAAATGGTTGTAGAATGAGAATGGCACAGGCGATCGTCGTAAAGCAAATCCAGGCCTAAGACAGCTCGATGGCCTGCTTGAATTCGCCCGTCGGGCGTCAATCAAAACAGACACACATGCCCTTGTAAGGTCTAAACCGTGCGAATCAACCACGGCGTCAAGCGAGTGAAGATTTCTAGAAACGGGTAAATCGACAACAAAACAATAAAACTAGGCGCATGAAAATTTAGTCGTGATTCTGCTTCCAACTTGATGAGGCTATCATTGTTGACGATTGACGCATCTTGGGGCAGTAAACGGGTGAGATTCCAGGCAGCGACGGTGCCGCAGTTTTGTGCCGGCCAATCCAGCTGCGGTCCAAAGCCTTTTGATCCAATCATTCATCTTACGTACATGTTAACGAATCACCTTTTGCCGGCCACAACACATTTTCGGCGCATAGACTGAGGAGAAAACCTCTTGGAGAAGCTGGGATCGACAAAAGCAATCAACCACAGTCGAGCCGAGCCACATTCTTCAGCCGTTCAAAAGTACAACCCAGGAGGAGCCTGAGGAAGAAGGCGCCGAGCCAGAACCAACGAGATGTCGCCAGGCTTCCGATGAAGTCCATTGCCTGAGAGTACATTGAGGCAATATGCTCTCACAGACCATTGAAGAAGCTTGGTTCCGACAAATACTACAACGAAGACAATGAGTGCGTGCTTTCATCAATGAACCGCAATCCGTCTGACGATCTGGTGATTGCATGATCAATTATTATAGGTTCGCTGTGAATGGTGATGACTGTGCAACGACAAAGTAAAGGTCGAATTATTCTGCAGGGCATATAGTCGCAATTCCGGCCAAGCAGCATCAAGTCTTGCGACGGCGTCAGTAATGACCTGTATGGATGCGCCCATTGTCAAAACAGCGAGGCTGCCAGTATCTACGTCTCCGTCTTTCTGGGGGGTTTTTGATCCATTTTGAACTTGGGGCAAGAATGCTCCTTGCTTGGACTTTTCGTGTCTTACCAGTGTTGAGTTTCTGCGCCACTCATTGCTGAGGGGGGGATAACTAGGGGGTGAACTGCGCTGTATTATGGTATGTGCCCCGCTAAAGTAGGGCGGCACTGCAGCGACGCAGAATCTGCCTCACTCGTATAACTTTGGTGCTTCATGTTGCGTGGACAAAAGAGCCATGCAAAGTAAACATGTTTTTCCCAGTCTCATTTGCAAAAGTCAGATAATTTATATATCCTTCTCTACTCACTGCAGCTTTTATATATCACCAAAACAAAACGAAATTCAATTCACAAAAGTTGGGGTTGCAGGCGCAGGAGAGAGAAAAACGTGGAATGTTAAACCTTGAACCATATAAGCCTCTCCTTGCTGTGGGGAAGAAGAGGAGGCGGAGGAGGCAAAAGGTTGTGCTGCAAGATGGAATTGACCTGGTAATTGTTGACCGGTGTGGCCAATTACGCCATTGTTATTGTGCACGATGTCATTGTTGTGATTTAAATATATGTACAGTATTTCCAAGGGAAGAAGTGGCCGGTGACCACATTGCCGCTGGGGATTGTGCATATATTGACGCTCCGAACTCCGAAGTATATGTATCGTCCAAAAGGTCCAGATCCAGCCACAAGCCGAGTCCGACATGAGCGTTGCACACGCGCGTCGTTTGTGGGGGACAACTGCACATTTTCCCTAGCAAATTATTCCATGATCATATTATTACCAGGGAGGCCTCAGCCACACCAGAAGAGATCTACCTATGTGCTCAAACTCCGATTGGATTAGTAGCACAAAAACATGGGACATGGACAATATGGTCCGGTGCTGGCGGTCGATCGTCAAAAATACATACCCTGGCCTGGCTTGCAGATTCAAGACCAGTCCATCCGATCGTCCCGATTCGATGCATTGACGACGACAATTTCTTGGTTGATTGAGGTTCCATCTCGCATCCTGCCGGGCGTTTACCTAGGTCACGAAGGGGCTAAACTTGCAGCTTGAACAAATGGTTCGTGAGCCCGGCAAAAGCAATCACGGACCTTGGTGGGAAGTTACATTTATTATTTGGTGAGCCACCGACTTTCAATGATGCTGGTAATGGGGGCCCAAAGCACCAGCTCGTGTCACCAGCTCGTGTGTCCTTGAGGGTTTGGCAATTGCTTTCGTTTTTTTGCAGGTCATCAGCTCCAAGGGAATGTGACAAGACCTTCAAGGCAACAGCATAGTAGCCAACCAAGGCCGTTTCCGGTCCTTGCGGGCAGTCGTTGCATCAAAATAGCAAGTCAATGAGCAGCAGTTTCTTCTCATGTTCTCCTTCACCTGCCAGGCTTCCTTCGCTTGTACGCCAACCTTGATGTCAGACTTCTGTACCCCGCAATGTTTGACTTGCCGTGTTGGTGTTTTAGTTTGAGCTTGTGCCCAATCACGGAGCTTGTGGCAGCAGATGCAACAGGGATGCAGAAACCGCATCAGCCACTAATCAACAACATAGTGACGACACCACTCGTTAGCCCACGGGTAGCCGCGACCTATAAGCTGTTATACCCTGGGCAAAAGCACAGCAAAGCAGCTGAGCTGACGAACCAAAGACGTACGAGCTTGTGACCTCGACCTAGAGAGTCCCCCAGAGCTCAGCTCAGCTTTTTCAATAAGACGAATCTACTCCCTCTACTCTTGCTCTTTTCTTCTCGAGACACAAGAGTTCTGTTTGTACTCGTCTGCACTAGACTTACTCGTACAACTGCAACGGATCAACTGTTTATCGGTCACAGTCTGCATCTCCCATCAATTAGCTTGTACAACGGCATCATATAGTATCAATTCGAATACTAGCCACCATGTATCTCGACCAAGACTTCGTCGTCGAGCTCCTCTCCAAGACGACTCACGTCCCGCTCCCCGAGCCCACCTCTGCAAAGCCGACACCATTGCCCACCGTCGTTCCTACTGTTCCGCGCGTTACTTTTGAGACTCTTCACGACACTGGAAAGAGGACACTATGGTGAGTATACTCGGCACCCCTTGGTGGCTGAAATCTCAGCTAATATGTGGAAAGGGTGGTCGTCGTTGTCATGGCATTGTCATCCCTGGCATTCTACGTCCAGGCTGCTAGAGTTCCAGTAGTATGTATTACAGTCTCTTTTACGTGATATATGACTAGCTTTTGCTAATACCTTGAACAGCAAAAGCGATTGTTCCACGTCTTGACGTCGTTCATTACCACTTTTGCATTCCTTTCGTACTTTGCCATGGCCACTGGTGATGGTATTGGTTTCCACCAGACAATTATCCGCGAGCATCTTAAGGAGACTGGTCAACACGTTGTCAAGCACGTCATCAACCGTCAGGTCTTTTGGGCTCGATATGTCGACGTGAGTAATTCCCAAGCTGCAATTGCCGACAGCAGGACTTGTTTTTCAATACACTAAACACTGCTTTCAGTGGACTCTGACCACTCCCCTTCTGCTCCTCGATCTGAGCTTGTTGGCCGGTCTCAACGGTGCCAGCATTCTGGTTGCCGTCGTAGCTGATGTGATCATGGTCCTCACTGGTCTTTTTGCCGCCTTTAGCAACACTGATGGTCAGAAGTGGGGATGGTACGCCATTGCCTGCATCGCCTACCTGGTCATTGTCTACCAGTTGGCTCAGAATGGCAGACGTACTGTTGCCACCAAGGACAACAAGACCCGTGCCTTCTACTCCTCCATTGGGGCATTTACCCTCCTTCTCTGGACCTTGTACCCAATGTAAGTTTTTATTTGTGGAGTCAAACCTCAGCTCAAGTATTAATATGGCTTTAGTATCTGGGGTGTCGCCGATGGTGCCCGCATTGTCGGTGTTGATGGCGAGATTGTCGCCTACGCCGTGCTGGACATTCTCGCCAAGCCTGTCTTTGGCTTCTGGCTGTTGACTACCCACGACAAGATGAGCCAGACGACGCCTACCGTCGATGGTTTCTGGGCTTCTGGTGCCCCCACTGAGGGTACCCTGCGTGTAAGTGTGACATTGAACTTCAAATGAGCCGCCATTGATAAATTATAGGTTGGCGATGATGACTAAATGTTACTTTCATGGCATTGAGTCCGAACAGGTCAGCTGAATGAATAAAGTCGGCCTGGCGAGCACGTCATCACGACATGAACTTGACAAGGATTAACACGGCCCATCCAATTATGGGCGAATGAATCATGAAAGGATCCATGATATTATGAAATTTAATTAACAAGCACACATCGCACTTCCCAAATTGCAAGGACACACGGCGTTTTTTGGTTGGGCCGCTCTAAAAGCTTGCATGGAGGTGAGATGGCGCATCAATGTAATCTAGGTATTAGTTGAACATGAGACAGATTTCATCAAGCTCACCGACTTGTATTTGATCCCCTGCATCGCGTAAGCCTTTTGTGGCGTGTCATATGCAGTCTTCATATGTTTAGACACGCCCTCTAAGCGATCCGTGATTCATCTCCGCACTGGTCATAGTGGTGGCTACGCGAACCACACTCCTGGCGCCGGTAGCCTAGGCCATGGCAAGGGTTCCCCAATTCCACTTGATGATCTTTGACCCATTCTGTTTCGTGGGATCATATTCTCCGCCTACTGACAGAATTTCCCCACAATCTCCCCCGCGCAAACACCCATGTTGTAATATACGATTGTCCGGGGAATCTCAAAAATTCATGAGCCAAGCAGTCGGATATCATGGTGAACTTCCGGGGTCTTGGTCAAAGGGCCTTTGACGATGAACTTCTATAAGTATGACGCCAAGGCCTCCTCGGCTCCATGGCGCGACTTTTACACTTGATTTGCTTTTACTCACAAGTGGCATCGACTTGACTTGGAAGTTGGGGAGCTATCACGATCGTCAGTCACCATGATACCCTCGACGATTACGGCCATTGCCGCACTGGTGACACTGGCTTCTGCGGCCCCGAGACACCATTATCACAATTCGACTGGTCCTGCGCCTGCCAATACATATGCAGAATGCCAACGCAAGACTCACAATCCATTGTCTGGCTGTCCCAAGGGCACGCTATACGTCAGCCAGGCCAACAGAAGCCATGCCGATTTCACAAGCATTCAGGCTGCGATTGCCTCGCTTCCCGACGATGACTCGGCCCATGTAATCCTGATTGCCCCAGGAAATTACACGGAGCAGCTCAACGTGACGCGTCCCGGTCCCCTGACTCTGCTCGGCGTCAGCGACGACCCGGTTCGCGGCGCGTCGTACGGGGCGGCCGTTACCTCGGACACGGACCGCCGCAACGAGGTCCAGGTGCTCTGGGCCGCGGCCAACTCGGACAACACGGGCAAGATTACCGATAATGCCGTCACCACGGTCTTGACCGTGGCGCCGACGTGGAATGCATCGCTGACGGGCACGGGCCCGACGGGCTTTGCGGTCCCGGCCGATACGCCCTTTGGCAACAGCGACTTTCGCGCGTATAATATGGATTTCCGCAATGTCTTTTCCGAGTACGCGGCGGGACCGGCCTTGGCTGTTGGCGTGTCGTATGCCAATGCTGGCTTTTATGGCTGTGGTTTTTATAGCTACCAAGACACCGTCTATATCGGCAAGCTGGGCAATGCGTATTTCTACGATAACGTGATTGCCGGCCAGGTGGACTTCTTGTATGGGTTTGGCACGGCCTGGATTGAGCAGTCAACACTGGCACTGAGGAGCTGTGGTGGAGGTGTTACGGCTTGGAAGGGTGAGTATTTCTTGACTGGATATCCGCCTTGCAGAGACAAGACAAAAAGAGCTTGACTGACATGGTGACTCTATTACCCAGGCACCAATACTACCTTTGACAACAAATACGGCGTCTACGTTTCATCGTCGAGCGTAATCGCCGCCAACACCTCCATCGCCACCACGATTGTGGGGGAATGTCCGCTCGGTCGACCCTGGAACAACCTGCACCGCAGCATCTTTACCGACACGTACCTGGACGCCAGTATTCTGCCCGCGGGCTACATTATCTGGCAGGCGACGGACCCGCGCTTTGCCGCCAACATTACCCTCGAGGCCGTGTACAATAATCGCGGTCCCGGCAATGATGTCGCCGCGCAGCTGGCGAGTAATGTGACGATAGTCTTGGATTCTGACGGTTTTGCGCCGTATAGTGGCCCGGCAAAAGTTTTCATTACCCCAGATGGCGAAACGGATAATACGGCTTGGATTGATAGGAGTGTTTATAGAGAGTAATCTCAAAGTCATGACACGATAGGATTCACGTCGACTAGAATGACTCAAGAGATTGGTCACTTGGGCAATGTCTGGACGTTTGTTTTTGTTCATTATCATTAGAATTGTCTTATGTTGTTATGAGGGTATGCCATATGAATAGTGAAAACTCCTAAAGTTCATCAAAGATGGACAAAACTCTGACTTGGCATCTTATCCCAAAGTAAAACCTATGAAGAAAAGCAATCTGATGAGAGTGACATTTGAAGTGTCATAAGTAAAGAACAGATGATCGAAACAAGATAAATATCTATAGAGAGTGAAGCTTGGAGTCCTTGGTCATGCGGCGGAATTTCTTGCCAAAGGGGAGAAAGACGGCTAGGCCAAGGATGGAGAAGCCGACGGTGAGAGCCATGAGCATGAGAATGGGACCCAAGAAGCCGTCCTTGGCCGCCCAGTCGTTGATGTAGAAGATCATGCCAAACTGTGGGGATTCAAATAGGTAAGCTTTGTGCATAGCAACACTCGTGCAAAAGAGGTATTGGTACTTACCCCGAATGTATTCTTTACTATGGTTGCGGCAATCATGATCTCGCCCGGCAACGTCTTGTAGCAATCGACTGCATACGCAATGACGATGCTGGGGATACCGACGACTTGAATGCCGACGAGCATGTATCTAAGAGTCCTGCTGTCAGCTCTCATTTTACACAGAAACGGACCACAATTGACTTTTAGACTTACCCAGCAACCACAATCGCAGGCCAGGGCCAGCTGCGCTGGTATCCGACGGCGGTTATGGCCATGCCAACCAGGTTGATGGCGACATAGGGAATGAGCGCAGGCAGTCGAAACTCGGCCTCGAGGACACCATTATTGGTACGTGCACGGCGCAGGGCGACCCAGTCGGAAAAGGGGCCCGCGGTGACCAGGGCAATGGCGGCGCCGACAACAAAGGCAAAATTGACGAGGCCGATTTGGTCCGGGGAAAAGAGAAAAGGCGGCGCCGCGAATACCTGCGCCTGCGTAATGTTGAGCACCAGCAGCGAGTTGGAGGCAAAGCCCATGGCGCACGAGGCCCAGAGCACGATTGGGTAGAACAGGATTTGAATGGGCGAGATGACGTCGCGCACCACGGACGCCAGCCCGCCCCGCGTGAACCGCGGCAGGGGCAGCAAGGAGAACTGCGTACGGCTGGGCTTGCCGGTGCGCGGGCCTGAAGCCGGCGTTGACGAGGGCAGGTGCCGCAGTGTCGTACCCGTCGACGTCCGTGCCGACTCGGTCCCCGAGGTGCGGCTGTCGACGGAGCCCGCCTTGGCCTCGCGCACCTGATGGACCGACACTGGTGGCGACGAGGACCTCGATCCAGGTGATGGCCTGTCGTACTTGGTCTCTGGGTGTGCTACGAGGATAAACAAGAAGCTCACACCTTGCAGGATCGTGCAGACCCAGAACTGGTGAACAAGATGGTTAACCACACAAGTCTACCATGCCATGACGAGAGTTGAAATAACTTACAAACCAACGCCAGTTGATTTGAGAAGCAATCGCTCCGGACATGATTGGACCAATAAACAGACCCATGAAATATGCCCAGCTAGAACTCTGTTACTCAAACCACTTCCAGACTCTGGAGTAAATAGCAACTCACAAGTAAAATGTCATGCCTCGGCCCCTCTGGTGGAGGAAGAGCACATCGGCAATGACCATGGGCATGAGACTCTCGTTGGCTGCAGCACCAAGACCCGAAATGACACGGGCACCTAGGAAGCTGGGGTACGAGGTGACGAGGGCCTGCCATATGTTTGCGAGGATGCACACAATGGAACAAATGATGAGAATGGGACGGCGACCAAAGACATTGGCCGCGGGAACAATGAGAAAGTTGGCATAGCCCAGCGTGATGGCGGCCACGCCAAAGAGCAAGTTCACCTCGGGCAGCGTCTTGTGGAACTCGTGCTCAAAGATGACCGAGAGGGGCGAGATGGACAGCGGCGTCATGATGGTGATGAAGGTGAAGAGGAACTGGTTGCCCAGGACTATGGCCTTCCATGTTGTGCTCCAATTCTATTCCAACTATTAGGAAAATGTTTACCATGACTGCAGAAAGAAAACAAAGAGTGTGATCCTATACTACTCACCAAAGGATCATGAGGGTCTGAGGTCGGCTGAGGGATTAGGACAAGGTCCTTTGGTGACGTGATCTCTCCATGAGTTCCATCCTTGTATACGACTTCGGTACCGGGGATGATATCGGGTTTCTCGCGTGTCGCCGCCATGGTGAGAGGACGATGAGAATCAACGAAAACAAATGTATGCCAATGTGTCTAGTCACTGTAAAAACATTTGATTTCCAGGGTTCCAGAGTGAACAAAAAGTCCCGACCTCATCGGCGAGGACAAAGGCTGTCTATTATGTAGTCTCCCGAGATGCAAGCCATGCCCATCTCCATGACACCTAAACGCGGTTCCGAACTTGTTCTATATTCGGACATGTCGAGGAGTGTAGTGACTTTTTCGACCGTCCATACCAACCTCGAAAGTCTAGACCAATCCGGTTCCTAGATTGATCTCATTTAGTAAGGGGTATCTATCATAAGGTATTTACCAAAAGATTAACAAAACTTATCTGGACTGATTCTATTCGCTATCAGCTCAGGTATTTAGCTTTCATGGTGTGGCGATGCTTGGCAAAAAGAATACTTCTGATGGAATGTAGCGGGGCTGATGTCAGCCAGGGATTGATCCGTTTGGAAAGACAGACATTCTTGTTTTTAGGTTTCACACGACAGCGGCCTCTTTAGCAGGCTGGCTCAGGGTGCGATGAGATGTCGTGAGAATGATTGACCCATCCCGTGTTATTAGTGGGAACTCTCTTTTTCTGAAAAGCGTGGGAACAGATAGCCAAGCACATTGGACGCCCGGACGTCCGGTTTGTCTGCCACCCTCAATCCAGCCTCCCCTCACATCATCACTCCATGCCAGTATCAGTGGGCTCCCCCCCAGTAGCCCAGTAGTCAGTCTATCGTGATTTGCTCGAGTGGATTTCCACTCGGGCATAGTAGGTTATAATGCGCGCCTTTTGTGTTTTCAATTCACCCACAAAGATGCATGCAGGCGTTCCGCCATGATGTCTTTCATGCCCGCTAAAGACGTGGGAGGCAATGGGAGGCGCCGAGTCAGATGGATGTACATGGGACAGTTACCAGATGAGGGAATTCTTTACCTGCAAAGAGCCATTTCTCGTCCCGTTGGGCTGCTGGACCAATGCAACTGCAGCTGGGCCGCAGCGCAAGACGTATCACGAAGGTGGCAGGAGGGAGGTTTGGTGATCGTCGATCGAGTAGAGGTTAAACAGAGAAAGGTCACCAAACGGCGGTTGAATGCCAATACACATGGTTGTTCTCGTCTCCCATCATCTGTCAGTGAGAGAGACCACATCGCTGCCATTCTGTTCTAGCATGGCTGGGATGCCCAGCAGTCACAGCGATATCCTTGGCTGGTGGCAAGAACAAGCTCAAGGTTGGACACTAAGATGGGGGTGATAGAGAACTTTGATAGAAATAAACGGGGATGTTCAAGATAAAATTGGCTCAGATTTACTACAGGGGCGCCCGCTAGTAGCCAAATTCTTTGCTGACAACATTGATCAGTGGCCGGCCAGCACCCAGATTGTCCAGATTCGTCTCGAGAATATTCAGGACCCGAGACATGAGCGCCTGCGACTGCCAGCTGACGTGAGGTGTAATGAGCAGATTCGGCGATTTCCAGAGTTTATGATCGGCCGGCAGGGGCTCGGGGTCAGTGACGTCTAGAGCGGCACCGCGGATCTTGCCCGACTCTAGAGCGTCGACCAGAGCGTCCGTGTTAATTATACCACCTCGCGCAACATTCGAAACAAACGTCTTCTTCTTTCCGAGTATCTCAAATTGTTCTGTCGATATCAAGCCTTGCGACTCCTTGGTCAACGGCAAAGCCAAGACGAGGATATCAAGATCCTGACTTAAGAAATCATTAATGGCCTCCTTGGACGAACCATGAAACCACTTGGTAGGCAAAAGGCCATCGGGATCGCCCGTACCAGGCACGCAGTAAGAATCATCTTTACGGCTTTCCGGTGTTGATCTTTCACTTCGAGTATAGGCATAAATGTCCATGCCCATGGACTTGGCGATGCGCGCGCACTGTCTTCCAATTGCACCGTAGCCAAGAATTCCCCTTATCCGGAAAACGTCAGCGCTTCTTTCTCTAGTCAGTCGGTCTAGCAGCAGTAAAGGTCTAGCCTACATTCGAGCAATGGTACAATCCTGTACGGTGGTTGCAAATGGTGGCTCCCATAGACCAGTCTTCATTGATTGTGCATAACGGTTAAAGTGGTGTTGGTGGGACAGGTAGGACCCAATCACCCACTCTGCAATCTGTGGTCTGTAGAGGCTCACCGTTGTCAGTCAGGCTACTATATAAGGCATCTGCATCTACCCAACAGGCTAGGTAGATAGGCACCTAGGCCGGTATGCATCGTGGGGTTGTTTGTGGCTTACGCGTGGACGCCGTTTGCCGTGCAAAAGGTGACTTCTTTTCGGTTAAACGTCTCATGGCCGGACCAGAAATCTATACCCGCAGAGGGCAGCTGAATGAAGCGTACCGACTGGAGTCGTTCTGCTGCCGGCGGATACTGGAAGCAAAAGCCTAATGTGACGCCCTGAAAGATTTCATCTCCCGGATCCTTCATCTTTGAAAAGGTGCCGCCATCCTCTAGAATGTTGGCCCATCGTATTTCGAGCCCGGGATGCTTTGCCTTGACCCTCGAGATCCACTCTTCGTTTCGTGGCGTGATGAAGAGGACCAGGAGTACATCTTTGCTCAACGCTGAGCTTGTTGTGGTTGACATTGTGGGACACGTACTTGATGTGTCTGTGTGGCTTGAAGTAACAGTTCGGCGGTATTGGATGAATCGGGATGGACTAGAGAGCAATTGACTGCAGATGAAGGACAAGAAAAGTGTAAAGCATTCCCACCTACAGAGGTGCATTTATATAAACGGACCCCTGCGATGATGTGATGCAACTAATTGACAACTGCATGGCTAAAGGGCGTGCACGATAACGATAGTATACCGTGGCAGTCTGCAGTGCTTATAGCGTACGTCAACGGCCTACCGGTCCGCTCGCTCCCGTGGCTTCCATGTTGTGTGAAATCCCAACCACTTTCTAAGTAGCTCGGCTGAAGGAGTGGACATTTGAGCGGTCCAAGTCGTGAAAATTGGTAATCACTGGCGGGAATGAGTGTACAGAGCCATGGTAGACAAATCTGACGTTGGATTATGGAGTCAAGGCAGTAGACGCCAAAGGATATAGCGCTTAGCTGTCTTGGTTTAGAGGCACCCTCAGCAGGTAGATCTTCCAATAGTACAAGATAGCTACACAGCTACCGGCTTTATCTTGGGAATATTCGGCCAAGAAATGTCGCGTTGAAGGGAAATGATAATGTTTTCTTCAAATGGAACCCCCCACAGACGGTTCTTATTCCTTGCAACTACTTTCCTTGTTCTGCAACCTTCAACTATACTTGATCCAATTAGGCCTCTTTTCGGCCAAAATCACTCGAAGCTCCAGCCCACCGCAGTCAAAGTATTAACCCCAGAGTCGATTCAACCAACTGCCAAGGCTGAAACTGCAGATGTATTCCGGGACTTTGAGCAGATCTTTGATTAGCAAGTAGAGTTTGGCCTCTGATGTGTTATAAAGAGCACAGACAGTAAATATGGAAATAACTGAATGGAGCTCTTCGTAGTAGAATAGAGCGACACCAGTAGGGTTTAGGTCGACTCTAGTGAGAGATATTGGCGAAGCAATTGATCAGGTTTCATACAATGACACCTCTCTGGGCAGCAAGGTCTTGTCTCCAAGGATTGATCAAGACTATACGTTTCTATATATGCTGTCAGTGATGCTACCTAATGCCGGCTCCTGCATGAGTACTACCCAACTGTCCCATGTGCATTAATATCATGCCTTGGCGTTTGTGCGGGACGACCCTGGTTGCATTCGTATCGTACATTGGTCTATTTGTACGAACCAGTAGACAAGCTTCAAAGTTTACAGCCTCGAATGAATGTTTCCAGGCGGCCATGGTCGTATTTGTATTTGCCAATATAAAGCCATAAATACGTGTTGCCAAGAATAATTAAAGAAATCGATCAAGGGATATGGTTGAATCTGTAGGGCGCTACTGAAAGCTACACCAGTATTTCGCCATGGATGCACCGGTTCCTACTTTGCTATTCACGCCATGACATATTGGATGATACTCTTCGACATTGTGCATTCAGCCCTTGTCCCAGTCGTCTTTGGTTCCGGCTCTATCCGCCAAGGAACGCAGACACGTTTTCAGTTCTCCGTGTCACTGTTTAGCTATACTTCTCTTGGACGGGACGAGATAATATATGCTCATTCAGACATGCATCTTGACATTCGGAAGTCCCGTCTTTAGGTCGAAATGTACATGAAATACACCTAGGTAGTCGGTCCGGATTTGCAGTAGCCACTAATCTGATGGACCTGAATGTGGCAGTGATAGCAGCACATGTGCGCTGCCTCGTGACAGTTGAATGGCGGTACTTTCTCACACGAGGGACTGCGTTGGCTCCAGCGCATTCAAGTGTGATTGGATCTCGGGGTTTGTAAGTTGCAAAAGCACCATGACGACATGACGACCTTGTGTTGTCTAGTTTCTTAGCTGTAAAAGTGCACCTGCATTCTAGAACGACCTTGATTTCTTGCAGTCCCTATCCTGTACATCTGGGGTGGTGGACCGAAAACCTATGAATGATTGCTCTGTCGACTAACAAACTGCTCTGCGCAGACGAGATTGGTTGGCAGTCTTCCCATAAGTAGATCGGATGTGGATGTCGGGTTTGAGCTGGCTAGATGCATGATTGACGCTGTTCTCCGCTACTCTGGCGACTATAGAAGTCAAAGAGCATCATGTCGGGCCAAGTTATACCTTAATGAGACCCAGTCCTCAATTTTCAAATACTGACGGGGGAATGTGCGACTGTTATTAGGAGGCTGGCTGGCTGGCAGGCACGTTTCGCTGCGATGACTTCAAGGAAAGGACGAGGCTGGTAGCAAAAGATTAAAAGCAACAAACCTTGGAGGTACCCACCCATCTCATGCTCCTTGTTCCAAAACCACAGTGGCATTCTTTCACCAGCAGTCATATCTCGAATACCAGGTCGTAGCGTTAGTCAGATTCTCCTTCAATCAGCCGTCCAGAAGACAAGAAGCTCCCTGTTTTCTTTCACGATGCCAGTCATCTCCTCCAACGACACTACCAACATCACCTGCACCGACATTTACTCTTGCTTCAACATGTCTCCCCTCGGGGGTCCCGTCCAAGGAGATCTCGTTCGACGCTGGGCCTCCTCCGGTTTCAGCTACTCCGCAGGGAGAACCAACGATACCCTCAGCTGGGTTCTAGTCGGTCTCTTTTGCGTCTTGGTCCTCGTCGCCCTCATGACCTGCTGCGGCTGGTGCATCGCCCGGAGACGCGTGCACAAGCGCAGAAAACTAAACAATATACCGAGACACATTCCCATTCCCAATGGCCCAATGTCGACCGTACCCCCAGTCCCGCAACCACATGGTGTCGCCCCCGGTGCCGCCCCCGGAGCTTCCACGGTTGTGCCACCACCTGTCGCGACAGTGCACAGATGAAACCTCACCGGCCCAAAAATACCATCCTTGAGTCGTGCATGCCGGTCATGATGGACAAATCTGGGATTGGGAGGATATTTTTGTGTTTCAAAGTGGTGGTGATGGGTGGTCGACATGCTTTTTCACTACATGAGAACCAGTGTGCGGGAACGGTCTGGTCTGTTTGTTGTGCTCCATACCCTATGCTCACATCGACAAGCATTACCATGAATTAATGCTAAACTATTGAATGTTCTTTGCTTTCCATTGCGCTTTCAGATGAGTCTCGTGTTTGGAACAACTAGCATGCTCCCAAGTGATAAATTTCCATCTCCACAACCAGTTCATCATTTCCCATTAGCATGTGCGTCATTATAGTAGTGAATCTATGCCTCAAAATCAGCTTCAATCCCCAAAATGGTCGCTTGATCACTTTAAACTCACCGTCTGATCAGCACAGCCACTGGGTGTCTGGTACGCATAGGCACCAGTGTTGATGTACAACTTTTGTCCAGTGCAGACGAGCCAAGCTGCAAGGTTTTGGCGCTGGATCTCGGGCGTGCTCCAGGTAAGAGCGTCGCCCTGGAAAACAAAAGTTCCAAATGTGTTCTTGGTCGTGTTGAACGAGGTGCCCAGGGTGCGCTGCGGCGGCTGCGCCGTCAAATCGGCGGGCTTTTCGACATTGAGATACAAGGGCGCCGACCCGGATCCCGTATTGGCCACCAGTTGTCCATCCTCGACCTTGTACTGTCCCGCCGTCGTGTACGATTCCAGTATGGCGACTCCGGCCTGGTTTGCCGGTTTCGTTTGGAGGTATTTGTGATAGTTGGGCGCCACTACGGCTCGCACCCAGTACCAGCCCGACTGTAGGGTGGTTCCAGGGCCCGAGGCTTGGCGGGATTCGAGGGTTGGTGTTCTGGCGACAAGAGGATGGGCGATTGCGCCCGTGGCGAGAAGCACGCAGAGTGTTGACATGGAGAGTCGCATCGTGAGCAGGTATTTGCTTTGTTGCTTGGGAGCCGTCAGAGTATGGTATTCTGCCCAAGTTGGCCGTACTCGAGATGTCAAATGAAATCGTCCTTGACAACGAAAATTACTTTGGAATCCTGGAAGTGTCGTGTCTAATACATACTCATAAATACGGACTTGATCCCGCCGACATATCCCAATGGGGTATTGAGGATGAAAGTCTTGGGCCTCGATGGACATTTACCCGCTACCAAATCGCGTGGTTCACTCGTGGTGGTATGCAACTCTGCCCCCGGTCCTACTGAGTACAACATATTCTGCATTTGTTTAAAATCATCTTCATTCGTTCTCAAATTTAGCCTAAACTTTAAGCTGAGTACAAGTTGAGTGCCCAGCTACGCCACGTGGATGGAGTAGTTCATCACGAATATCTTTAATGAATAATGACTAAGCGCTCAGAAATCATCAATACATTTTCTTACCACCGATAAGGCCAACTGTCATCCCGCGCAATCTCAAGCTGAGCACTATAAATGCGTTGATCCTCTGCATCATCAAACTGCAGCAGCGTCACTGCCGTTGCGTTGTTATCCTCTGGCTTGATAAAATAAGGCCCATCAACCTCGCACTGGGTATAGTTTTCGGGCACCGTGCCATTGTACAGAAAGGCGCGCACGTGTTGAGCCATGCAATTGGACGGCATGGCCAGCGAGCAGTGGCCGTAGCCCTTGAGCTCGACAATCTGGGAGCCCTCAAAGGCGGCATTGGCTGCGCGGGCCGAGATGAGGGGGCAGACGGGGTCGAACGTGGTGCTGAGGATCAGCAGCGGATACGCCGTCTTGACTCCGTATTTTTGCACAAAGCTGTGCGTTTTGGGGATGCGCCATTGCTGCTTGCTATACACTTGACTGTTTTCCATAAAGGCAAACAGGCTCGAGTTCATAAAGGGGAGGATCATGTCCAGCATGCTCTGCCGGTCTTGGGGCCATATATCCGGACCAGAGGCGCCGTCGTTTTGCTCAATCATGAGGGTAGTGTCCAGGTCCAGGATGCCGGACCAAGGCCCATCAAGACCATATGCTAGGAATGCTTCAGTGGCGTTGCCTTGGAGGAGTTTGGCAAGGCGATCGGCCAATCCATACCAGTTCGCCGGCTTATACAGAGCAGGGAACAGGCCCGATAGGATGATGTCCTCTCGTGTAAGGACACCCCAGACGGTATTGTTGACATAGACACTCAAGGGCTCATTCAGCTTGTCGGCAAAGTCGAGAACCTTTTCCTGTAGTTCCTCTTTTGACTCGGCCAGAGAGGATAGTGGACAGTCCTCGCCCGCCTTGATGCATTCATCAAAGAAGCCGAGAAGTACGTTTTCCGTGTCGGCCAGCTCTTCGCTATCAATCGGGGTTTCGTACCAGTCAAAGTTATTACCAACGCCATCGATGATTACTCGTTCTGAGCGTTCGGGAAATAGCGTGGCATACGTCTGACCCAGCGTTGTGCCATAACTAAATCCCCAGTAGACCATTTCTTGCTGGCCGACGGCATCAAGAATGCTGTTCATATCGGCTGCTGTCTGCGGCGTGTTGACATAGCCGGCATGTTCGCCCATGGTGTCGACGCAAGCGCGGACAAAGTTTTGGGACCACGAGTACACCTCTGCACTGTCTTCAATCACCTTGTTGGCGCGAACTTGCGAGCGGAGCTGTCTTGTCTCTTCATTGGGGTAGCAAGTCGCCTTTGGCCTGGAGCCATTGACGCCCCGCGGATCAAAACTGAGCAGGTGGAATCCCTCGCCAATGATGGCATTCAATTGCTCTCCCTTGCGCCAAATGAATTCCGTGCCCGAGCCTCCTGGGCCACCAGGGTTCAGAAGGATGTTTTGCGTCGCATTTTTGCCTCTTAGTCGAATGAGCGGAATGCTGAACGTCTTGTTACCAGAGTTGTCGGGGTTGTACTGGTCCATGGGCACTTCAATCTCGCTGCACTCGAGCTTTCGTCCAATGAGGTCACCACACTCTTCCCAAGTAATGTTTTCGCCGGGATACTTTAGCTTGCCATCCAGGCTCGCATCAGAGTGATGACAGAAGTGACGGCTAGGCTTCCATATCTGCGACCTGTTGAATTGGAACCAGGCAAAGCAGAGCAGCGCGCCGACCGCAAGGTACTTGACAAGACGCGACGAGCCCAAGCGCCGCCTTTCTAGGCCGTCAATGACTGAAGACCTCTTTTCGTCCATGATAAGTTTGACGTATTGATTTATTTGATGAGGTGGCGAAGAAGGATCAGGACTTCTGCCTATCATCTTTATAATACGTAGAGAAGTCCGAGTGTGACTTAACCGTAGTGGGTTTAGCTTGGTTGGCACAGTATTCGGGATCGGTGATCGGAATGAGACTCTATCATGACAGGAGTTCGCTTACTACGGTGTAAGCAGGGGTCTGAAGTACAGTAGTCTTGGATGCACATTTGGTGGTGGGTGGTGGTGACCACTGACCAGTCCAATACAATCGTGGATGCGCCGTTGGTGGCCGATGGTAAAGTCAAATTCCTCAAAATTCCCCAACAGATGGAAAAGGGAAAGCTCCGAGAACTGGAAATTCGGGTTTATCGATGCCAGGACCAATATCTCCCATGGATATCCCTTGCGCTCATTGAGATTCATCACCTTCTCGATCCTTTGCTCTGGCTAATTCAAGCTTTGCCAAAATAATTCATGAGAGTATTGGACTGCTTTGGCAAAGGGTTCTTGACCTTCTTTTTGCTCGGGCTGCCGTCCTCGGGCTTTTTACCAATCTCGAGAACCTCCATGAGCTCTTCGAATTCAGCCTTGGGCACGATACCACCACTTGCTTCCTTGTGTCCCCTGGCAAACGACTCGCCCAGCCGTGCCCGCAAGGTCGAGTCGCATGCCTTGTCGGCGATACCCCTTAGAACCTCGATAATGTTGACCGGTGGGTCGCGAGCTCGCGCGCTACGTGGGATGCGGCATGAAAAGTTGACCATACCTGGAAGATAACCTTCATTGGCCACGAGAATGACCTCGAGCTTGGGCGACTGCAAGTGGCCTGCCCACCGAGTCGCAATGACGGGGTGTATTTGCGCCGCCGAATTGATGCGAAAAACGGCAATCTTGGCATCTCCAGAGAACTTGGGCGCCGTGTGCGTACACCTCTCAACTTCGGCATTTACTTCTGCGCGGGCAGCAAGCAGCGTCTTGTTCTTGAGGAGTTCTGACGGCGATGATGCCGATGTCAATGCTTTCCAGGCGCCCGGCACGTCATACGTAGCTGTCCGCCGCGGCGCATTGATGAGCGACACTGCGTCATTTAACGCTTTCTTTGTATATGTCTTGAATGTTGGCTTCATGTCTGGAAATGGAGGTTCCCATTTCAGTGTGTTTCCCAAGTCCCCGTGTGTGCCCATCACACACAACCAGTCGCATTCCTCACGCACGCCTTCATGGAGATGAGAACAAATATGATATGTGAGTAGCGAACTCGTGGCCACGGGCGGTGAGTCGCAAGCCGTCACGTGTTCCGCACCCTCGGGGAAATCACCCTCCAAAGCATGGTGATGATCTATCACCAAAGCCTTGTGAGGTGCGTCAATGACTGGTGGCGAATTTCTGGAGCCCTGATCCAGCACAAATACGTATTCGGGCTTGTGCGCTGCCATGGCAGTCCGTTCGGCATCGTCATGGATATTGCCGCCTTTTTGTAAAAGGTGCGCCGAGATCAAATTCGGATCAAGTCCAAGCAATACCAGTGTCTTTTGTAAGATGGCACCCGAGGTCAGGCCATCTGCATCCTTGTCGGGAACGATGAGTGTTCCTTTCCCTGCGGCAGCACTATCTCGTCTTCTTTAGCAAGGCCACATATATGGAATCAAAAACATGGAAAAGTATCACTTGTACTTACCACTCTAGTATCCTCTTTCTCGCTGTCTCGATCTGATGATTTGGAGCTGGCCATATAATCTCCCCAGACTCATCGCGTAGGGATGGAGTCAAGTGGTACTCGGGGACCTCGACGCGCGGCTTCTTTGACTTTGGAGCAGCTTTCGAGCCTGCCGAGGGTGCGCTTCTCTTCATTCTTGCCTTTTGAGTCTTGTCGGCCGCGTTGGCAGTTGTGCTTTTGGACTGTAAAATGCCTTCGGCAGAAGCTGGCTGACCCAGCCACCTCATAGAATTGAAAGTACGATGTTGCAGTTGCAATCTTTTAGCTCCGATTGAAAGCCTAGAAAGCATGAGTCTGCATTTACAAGGCAACATGACCCCCCAATCAATGCTTTAATGTTTTGATTCCTTTCGTTATACGCAGTATTAAAATGATTGTAAAGGCACTCGAATAGTGTACTGCTGCTGGCGTCCAAGTGACGTCAATGACTGAGAGCCCTGTACTTTTTAGCAGCCCCGTCCCCTACAGCACGGGCTTCCCGTCACTAACGCGGTACTAGACACGGGCGCTACTTTGCCGCAGCCAAGGCAGCCGAAGCCAGGCAGGCGCGCCTGGGGGTTCTTGGCCTTGAAGAATCACTTGATTTTCCTATGCCAAACGCAAACATGAAAGCTTGCATACGTCTATCGAGAAATCAATCGCTTATATGCCATTACCACTCTATATGATTCTATATTCCGTTTTTCCACCGCCCGAGAGTAACCGAGTACCAGCCAGAGACGGCCCCTTAGTTATACTTGAGCTTCATCTCCTCTGGTGTGAACTGACGCGTGCGGCTCCTCAGGTGCTCAATCCGTTCCTCCATGGTCCAGGCCAGCTGCTCCTCACCAATAGGCACGAGGCACTTGGCCAGGTGCTCATAGTCCTTGGTCAAAAGCTTGATTGTAATGAAGATGTAGTCAATGTTGTGAAAGACCTAGCCAGTTTCGTTAGATGCTGTTGCGCGTATACAGAAATGAGAAGATTGCGATGAAACTTACCAGCGCATTTTGCGACGCATACACGTGTCTTTGCTTGAGGAAGGAGTTGGGGTGTTCTCTCCAGTGTCTCATTGGGTTCAAGTGGTGAGAAGTGTGGTAGCCATCGTTGAAAGAGTAACGGTTGCTCTGATTGTACGGTTAGTATATTCTCAATCCATTCTCCGCCATCATTGACCGCATATAGTGCAAACTTACAGGAACGTCGATGAGCGTAATGCTCGATCGATAATCAGAGTCTGGCTCCTCATTGTCGACAAACGCGTGCTGGCCCCAGTTGCCCACCATCATGCCCAGGCGCATGAGAACAAAGGGAATCAGGAGGACGCAGATGGCGGCTTGTCGGTTGTACTTGAAGGCCGAGTACAGCAGTCCGTAGCTGCTCAGCTCCCAAAAGAGGGTCTTGACGGCCAGGGTGTGTCTCTTCCTCGAGACAAAGTAGAGCGGCAGCTCGGCCCAGACCAACACAATGAAACGACCGACGTAGTGCAGAAAGTGCAAGAAGCTGTCCCGCTGGTAGCTCATGGTCGAGGACAGGTCTCCGGGTCCATTGCCCTCGACGTGGTGGTGCTTGACGTGGTGGTAAAAGTACGAGTTCCACGTGTGTCCCATCAGAGGGTCGAGCAGGTAGGGGAACGTGTGGTCGAAGAAGCCGAGACGCTTGTGCAGAACACCGCGCATATGAATGTGCTGGTGCATCATCAGCGTGTAGGCGCCCATGTAGGACAGCTGCATCAGCGAGTGCAAGACTCCATGGATCCAGGTAAAGGACCCAAAGAAGAGGTAGGCGGCACTTGGGACCGAGGTGGTAAAGTACAGCAGCAGATGCGTCAGCATCACCACGTCCGTCTCGACCCTCACAATGGACCTGGCGGCTTGGATGTAGTGCTTGAGCACGTATTGGTTGAACGGCCTCTTCCAGTCAATGCCATCGTAATCAGTACCCTGGAAGACGGTGGGCTGGAAATCCGAACTGGACGGATCATTGAGAGCATTGAGGTACGATAGCGTCCTCTCGTCCTCGTCGCTCACTAAAAAAGAGACTCGGTCAGTCTTGGTTGTTTCTTGGCTCCCCGAGGGCGAACCAACTTACAGCTTTGCACATGATCCTCCTCCTGCTTTGCATCCTGGGTGCTCTGCCGATCAGTCCTGTTTTGGTCTCCCTGGTTGCGAGCTTCGATGTCTACAGCGAGAGCCTTTAGGACCAGCCGGTCCGCCTTTGTGAGTCCATTGTCGTATACAATGTATTTTTCCATGATCCTAGTGGGGGACAAGAATTGATCGTATAGTCGCTCCAATCTATAACAGGGGTCCCTTTTTTTTGTGTGTGCGCCCAGAACTATTAGATAAAAAAAAAAAGTCCGAGAGTTGAATGCGAGTCTGTTCCGAGGTTTCCTTTTCTTGCAACGCTCGAGTCAGACCGGTAGGTAGTATAGAGTACCAAACTGAATAGGCACGGCTTTCTCACTCACTCTCCTCGGGGTAAGGTGTTTTTTTTACTTTGACTTATTCTTGATGATGTAAATTTCGGGGACCCTTTACTGAGAATTGGCATGTGGCATAAGCTCATCTCCACGCCAGCTCGCGCACGGGCACTGGGCACAGCAAAAAAAAAGCTTCGCATACCCCCTTAATCAGTAGAGATTTCTTAGTGTCGAGCATTGGCCAGCACTAGTGGACTTGAGCCCCTTATGGACAAATTTGGATCTTTGCTGGCGATACGTAGCAGGCAGCGGGTAGGGAGTTTGGGGCTATTAGTCAAGCGATTTCCAGCCCTGGGGCTAGACCGGCATTTGCCAGTTTGCCCTTGGTCTGACTTTCTAGGGGATCTTCAAAGAGCGGTGATCATTCAAGGGGGTGTTTGTACACTGTAGGTTGGCCATGTCCATTGGGTCCAGTATTACGGAATACTACAGATCAAAAACCTCTCCCGCGGTTCGGTGAAGAAACACAGTCAAAACTCTACTGGCAATCATGTCGTGACTCGTTTTATTACTCTATCCAAACATTCCAGATTGCCCGCCTGTTGCCAGAGTCAAAACAAGATTGCCCAGCTACACTAGTCACCCACTGGCATGTCAATGGGTTGCAAGACCAACTGCTTGTCGCATGGATCGTTGGGCCGGGCCGCGTAGGCTCTTGTGTTGACTTGGCTCTTGAGCTGTCCATTTGCCCCAGATGATGGCCATATTTTTACTCAGTAAAACCCCCTTCAAGTAGCGGCGCCCCCCAGAAACGTTCCAAAAGAAAGTGTCCACTACTACTATCGAAGAGACTTGTTTAGCGTTTTGTCTCGTACGTGCGACTCCACCATCTTGCGATTTCAAGGGTCCCCCAAAACTGAACATCTTCTCGGCGCCCTGTTTATTTTCGTTGGGTTGATCCGTTGATCAAAAAAGGCTCCGACTATCACAACATGTGTATGCAGAGACGTCTTTTCATTGGCAGTGGGCAGCCAACGGCACAGTAACGAGGCTCGAGCATTATTGGCCGCCTCAAAAACTCGCGCTTTATACGCTTTGGGCAGTAGATTGTGCACATATAGGCGATCGTAATGCTACCCTGCATGCGCCACAGTCGTCGGGTTTCAGCTACTTGCATTAAATCTATGGTATCTATTGCTGGTGGAGAAGTGTGCAGGAAGAAGATAGGGGTATTATCCTGTGTAACCACCTCAAGACATTTATATCGCTCGAGGCCATGTAGAAAGAGTCTCTCGTTTCCGCGATAGAACCAGGCAGTGGTACTGTTCATACGGTCGTCGCGTGCATTTATAGTACATGTAGCTATTTTACTTTTAATCATGGCCCTTTTTTCTGCCAGACTTTCATTCCTCAACTGTATTTTGAGAAAGCTTGTACAGCGGATACTGAACAACGGTGATGCACAATCTGGCGCGCGCATGAATCATACACGTTTGGGCGAGCGCTGAACTCTTCCCAGAAGATGATAAGCAGAAGCATAATGGCCTATTCGTTTTGCAGGCTTCTCCCTCTCTTCCATAGCGAGCCAATGTTTCTAGCTTAGCCTAATCATTTTACCAATGCTCTGAAGTTATAAACTACTGACATGGATCTTTTCTTCTATGATAACCTGTTTGGTAAGAATCTGGGAATTATTACTGTCACTACATCAAAAGCGTTGCGACTTTCGACATGAACTTTCACTCTGAATAAAACATCGCCCGTCTATTTGAAAATTGCATTCCACCAACCATATACTTGAGCTACAGGCGCAATGACTGTTGCCAACTCGGGGAAGAACATAATGAAAGACGTGCAGATTCAAAAGTCTGACGTCTCAACCAGCAACTTTCATTTAATGTTGAATGTCTGAAATTGGCTCGCCATGCTTTTAGCCTCCCTTGTGAGATCTTGAAAAGCCGTTTTCATGAGGCGACCAGTCCAAGACATGGCGGGCATCTTGGCAATCAACAGACCAGACCGCACATAGCTATCGTCGTCGTCGCTGCGCTCGAGAATCAATGCCGTGATGACTTGCACCATTTGCGAACTTGCGCTTCCCAATAAGACGCATGCCCACTGTTTATCTTGGCGGAGCTGTTCATAGAATTCATCTTCCGTCGGTGGCCCTTGGGACATGGCCACGGTGGCTGGATGGCCATAGAGCTTCCACTGCTTTGTCTGAGCATCGTATGAAAGGTCGGAAGCTTGAATTACCCGAGAATGTATCGTCAAGACTCGGTTGTTGGAAGAAAGTACACCATATGACACTTTCTTGTCCGCTGACCACTTTGAGCCACGACCCGTTTCGCCCAGAGTCATTTCACGATTGCGGAATCTGGTGATTTCAATATTCTCGCCATAGAGCCTCTCTTCCACCAACGCGTCTTTGGTGGGATACACAATCTCGGATGCCCAGCCAACCCACGACCACGAAGGGAATTCCGTCCTGCGCCGGGGCCGTTTGGACGCGTCGTCGTCCCAACAAGAGTACTTGTGTCTCCACGACAGGGCTTCGGCAAAAGCATGGAGAGGATCAAGTTTGTGATCAGAATGGGGATATGGGATCGCCCAATGCTGGAGCAGCGGCTTTGGTATCTTTTCGATCTTGTGTATCAGCCCCAAAAAGGCGTTCATCGAGTCTCCGTCAAAGCTAAGGTTTCTGGCCGAATACTGCTGCGACCAGATCAGATAACTGTCAAACAGGGCAGAAAAGTCCATTTCCTCGACGCTGCGGACACGCTTTGCCCCTACAGCACTGGTGGTTCGCCGTCGATGGGATTCAAAGAGGCCGGGGCGCATAAAGGTGGCGGCCCTGGTGTTGTCGCGCTCAGACAAGCTGGTCAAGGACCCCGAAATACTTTCAAAACAATTCATCGCGTTGCATTCAAAATAGACTTGCTCCTCGGTAAAGACCAGGCGCCGGCGGCTCAGTAGTCCTTCCTGAAACGTCCAACCCCGGGTATACCACCTGGAATCACGAACGACGCCCTGAGGATCCTTGAGCGTTGATGTGATGTCTATATTCTTATACTTGACCGACGATCCCCTGGCGCTGGCTCGCTCCTTGCCACCAACCCCCGGTAGACCGTGGCGTTCGTCGGTGCCCGCAGCTGCAATAATGGCCAGCTCGGCGTTCTGGTAGATGAGGTCCATTTGCTGGATCTGCTTGAGTTTGATCTCTGGGTTCTTTTGGTTGATGCAGTATCTGTCAACCCACAAATATCTAAATCCAAGTTGCTTGGTGACAGTTATGGCATCCTCGATTGTCGCGGGTAGCTTTTCGGGAAGTGGCACTTGGTCCGCGTTTGGGTCTTCCGGCTCGCTGGGGGCAGAGGACGGCGAGGGAGGACCCCATACATAGCTCAAGGCAATGTATGGCTGCACTGCCTGGGCCGTCTCGACCATCTTGGTGTCGCAGTCGATCCACCTGAATCCATCAATGGCGACGGTTGATGCTGCATCCTGTTGGCAGAGTTCATCGTGGTGGTGCCGGCAAAAGTCAAACCACTCTAGTACAACGGACGGTTCAAAGTGTGGTGACACGGTGACAGCATTGAGGATAGTCTGCTCTGATTCCTTGTTGGTCAAAACGAGGCAACCTTTGGATGCTGTTTGCAATTCTAGTGCCTTTTGATCGTCCTCTGAGCTCGATGCATCAAAATTTGCTGGCACTACAGCCAAGAAGATCATCTCACCGAGCTTGGTTTCGCGCGAGCTCAAAGGGTTGCTTCTTCGGTGGTTGAAGAGAAAGTAGTCCCTCAGCAAAAAGCCCTGCAGCTCGTCGCCGCCACCGTCGTCTCGGCTCTCATTGCTTGTTGTTTCCACCTTGGAGGCCAAGAGCAAGCGACACAAGGTACAATTGGTGTCAATAGCTTGACGAAACCGGTTTCCGAGCTCGGCAATGAAGATTCCCGTCTTGGAACTGCTGCGCATGTTGCGGACGCTGTCGACCAGATTGGCAGGATTGAGGTTCGCAGCGTATCGAGCAGCAATGGCGGATTTATTCAGGCGCCAATCCCAGTCGGCTAGATCTTGGGACTGGTCCGACAGGTCCTTCATGAGCTCGAAACATTTTTCGCACAAATGAGCATCATCGGTCTGTTGCAGAATTTCTTTGCCCTGACCGCCATCTGGCGGTGACTCGATCTTGGCATCCATAGCGGCCGAGTGACGATGCAAAGGCGTTTTCTGTTTGCAAAGAAAGGACAGTAGATGATATTTGAAATATCAATTTATACCTAGGTAATTGGAGTTTCAAGTTGAAGAAAGGATAATCCAGCCCCAGCTTGATTAGGAAATATTGCCAATGCCAGTAATACTTATCATTGAGTGGCTATTTATTTATAGATCCAATGGATATGGCCAATGGATATGGTGTTCCTGTCAGATTTTAGAGCCTTCTTGGACTACTAGCTAATCAACCCGCATCTGCGCCGCAATAGTGCAGAACACAATACAATCCTTGATTGAGGCTCAGCTATAATACATGGTCTCACCCCCAGCGAGACAATCCCATCACAAAGGCATAGTGTATCAGGACGATCATCCCACCATGTGACACGCTTCAACGTCACTACAGGCAATCGGTTAAAGATGTGATAATACTAATGGGGTATATTCTTTGGCCTTTGTTCTAGATAAACTAATTCATACCTCGCTGTATTCATCCCACATTCATTCATACAGTCATCCTCGTCCAGTATCATAGCTCCCCTTGCGCGTGCCTAATAAAGGAGGGATCTACCCTGAAAGGCTACATATCTTGTTCATCATACAAATGAACTTCCCGTGCTACATGTAGCATTGGTACGTGTGTATAATAAAGGAGCGGATAGGGGTATCATCGTGGCAATGCGCCTTCTAAAATTTGACAATGCAAACCAGCCACCAAAGTAAATAGAAGTTTGAGAGGGAAAAGCGGCCCCCAGACAGGGTCATATCGTTGTTGAAGCTCGTCTGTTTCAACTGCTGCCAGACGATGAGGAGCTCTTGGCGTGTCGCATCTTGAACAGCCTTCGAGCCGGGTCCTTTTTGTTGCCCAAGGAAGATCCGTACAAGCCAGACGGATCGCGAATCGAGTCGGGCTTGATGTGCGACGACGGAAAGAAGCCGACCTTGCCGTCCTTGGTCATGCCCGACCAGCACCATGAATCGTAGCTCAACCCTGTCGCATGCGTTAGCCATGAATTAAAAGGAAATACATATCCTGCTTTGTAAGGAACAAGCAGCTCTCAAAGAACTTACAGCTCACGTTCGTGATGGTCGTGTTTTTATCAAAGATGAGCCAGCCGGCCGAAACGTCCCGGGGCTCCCACTTCCACCGGGACACCACCACGAGCCCGTCATTGTTGGTCCCGGGTAAACGTATGTCGCTCTTGGGCGGTGCCTCGACCTGCACCAGCTTGGCCGGGAACGAACCGCGCACGCCGTCATGCCAGCCCGTGCACCACTTGCCGCCCCAGGCGTCGGGGAATTCGACGCCCACGATCCGGGCCCCGGCCAGGAACTGCAGCACGTCGCGCCGGCCATCCGGATCAGTCAGGGGTCGGGATCCTTCCTTTTGCAGCTGAGGCTGAAGGGCGACGGCCGTGGGTCGCCGTGTCAGCAGCGGTGCCTCGGGGATGATGGGGCTAGCAAATTGTGGACTGGGAAAGTGCAAATCATAGTCCTCGGCCTCGGTACAGTTGCTGCCGAGGTAGCCATACAAGACAGTAAGCCCGGGGATCTGTGGCAGCGGCTGCGGGTGGTGCGAGAGGTGGCGGAAGAGCTGGCGCTCCGTGGTGAAGACGGTGGCATCGCCCTCGCGCGACGTGTAGCCCAAGTGTGCGCAAAAGATGCATCCATACAGCGCGCTGCCCTTGGTTTCGGCAGCCAGGTGCGACTTGTACAAGAAGCGGAGGCGGTAGTTGACTCCTTCTGTAGTTGCGTTGGCTCGTTCTGGTTGGGTGCCATGTAAGTCGCGCGTGCTCGAAAATATCTTGATTATGAATGTGGATTCACTTACTGTCTTTGGCCATGTCTCGCCTAAACTCTGCGGCCGAGTGGGAATATTCACAGTTGATGCACTGAGTTACCGTCTTGCGTGGGCCCTTGGACGATATTAGCATCTCCTACGTGTCCATTAGATTGTTCACATCAGAACTCACAAAAGATATTGCCTGGTTGGTACCCAGTGATAGGGCCACATCACTCATCGAGTCGTGAAAGACAGCTGAAGTAGGAACAACTGAGTCGATAAACATGGCCGTCTTGGTAGCCTCTTGGTACCGGCCGTTCTTGAAAGCAAGAGCACCTTCGCAAAAGCTCTTCATCTGGTACAGTGAACTGTCCGGTCCAATGGAGCAGTTTTCCTCGCGTGAATACCAGACTGGCTTGGGGTTCTCGTTGTCCTCGACGCGAGGTGTGACTCTGGGTGGTCTGTACACGGGTGGCTTTGGGGCGCTCCTCGGCTGTTCCAAGGAAAGATCCTTTACCGATGCGTCGGATGGTATATTTGGTCTCCAAATTTGCCGTTGAAAGAATTCTGGTGGTAAATTCTCACTGCCTATGGAGCCGTGCGAAATGTGCGACACGTTGGACATTGACCCATGTGATCCGTGTAAAGACCCAGCTGATCTCTTTGTGGGTGAATATGGCTCCATACCATGTACCAGTGTTTCCTGGGAATTCTGTACTGGCAGACTGGTTCTCAAGTCACCTGTGGGAGCACTTGTAGACAAGCCACCATAAGACGATGCATTATTTACGCTTGACAACATGGAAGCTCTCCGTGTCTTTGAGGCTTGACTGATTCTGGGCGTTGGGAAAACAATGTCGGTAGCAAGAGTATCGCTTTCGACAGTGTATCTCTTGGTCCTGGCAGACTCGGTGCTTTCCTCGCTGAACCGTCCAATGGGCGAGTCCTCTGGAATCGTTTCTCGTGCCAACATGTCGCGCGGCGACGAGAGTTGGTCGTGAACCCACGCACTCGTCCAAGGCGTTGAAACCTCTGATGTTGTCTGCCTATTTTCTCGTAGTTTAGGACTATTCGGCTCGCTCAAGAGATTCTGGATCTCATCACCAAGGGCTTCCACATCTGAAGGTTGCTGCGAATTGTATCCTCGCGTATCCGACTGTCCAGCCCCAGACCATTGAAAACTCGCCTGAGAATAGTGGCTGTCGGAGCTGCTGGTCGACGGAGCCAGTGACTTTTGTGATTTTTGTGACGTCTTGGAGCTCATTCGTCGAAGCATGTGTGCCTCGCCGGGGCTACTGCGGATGCTGGTAGAGAGAGCACGACGCGAGTGGCTGACCAGGGGAGCCGATGTGGCCTGTGGTGTAAAGACTGTCTGGTCAGTGCTATAATGGCCAGTTCTGGTCGCTGGCCTCGATGTGATGATCAATGGCTCAACTTTGCTGGGCCTCCTCCGAGGTATTGCGGGAAGTGGCGGGAAAGCTGCCGGCGACGGCAAGGCATCGCCAACTCTAAGTCTCCTGATGTTGTCGATCAAGCTGAGCGCAAAGGCTTTGGAAGCCGCCTGGAGCTGAGCGAACTTGGTGGCGTCAAAGGTATCTACCTCGATGTAGTCATCAATGTCGTATAGGACATCCTCCAGCTGGCGTTGGCTTTCGAATACCTCATCTATGCAGACGTCAATATACAGTGATCCTATAACCCTTGCCAAGACTTTGGCTTGGCATTGTTTCACTTACCGCAGTTCTTGATGGCATCTCGAAATGCATCGCCATGTCTTTCCAGGTGATCTAGTAGGAGCGGCTGCACTTTCTGGAGAGCTCGTTCTCCCTCTCTGACTACAGCCCGTGCTGACCTGAGCATCACCTGTGACAACTCTGGGTTCTCCAGCCGGGCAGCCTCTCCATTGGTGATGGCTTCATTGCCACGCTTGATAAGTTCTCTGAATGGCTGTACCAGTAGGTCTTCCACCTCGACCGCCATTTCTGCGGCAGCCACCGATTGAGAAGTTAGAGACAACAAATATCGCTTGTGTATAGAGTTCTGATGCTGGATTCGGAATATATGATCAGTGAGAAGTTGATCAGTGCGTCTTTCTTCGCCTAGCAATTTTGATTTATTTCCTCAAGCAGGTACAAAGAAGCGAGAGTTTCACAGAACGAATCGAGCATATGACACATGGGAAGTGGTAATGCCAACACCAATGCCAATAATGCCGGAGCCCATGGTCTTTTCTCGGCTGCTGCAACAAAAAGTCTCTCGTGGTTTCGGTCGTTTTTCTCTCCCAGGCCAAGGGCAGCAATCGGTCGTTTGGCAACCGGGCCTTTGTATAAGTCGGGACTCGAGAGGTTGACTATGCGGACTCGATTCGCTTTTGCATGTAAATGAAAGCAGTAATTGGGGCAGCTGGGCGCGATTGGCCGGCGCACCGTCGGACCCTGGGCGCCTAGGGACGCTTTCGGAAGGTCGTGGTTTCGTCCCCATGTGCGTGAACGCGTAGTGGTGGGGATGATAACGACCCTTGAGCTTCCACTTCTGGCCAGCTCAAGTAGCGCGAGTTTGGGGACTGTCTTGAACTCTCCAAGATATTTGAAGGGCGAGAGCTGTCTTTACTGTGCTGCTTTGCTGCCCTTATCCAATCCCTCCCCTCACAGTTGCACCAACTTGCCCGCATCTCGCACCCCGTCGGGTAGTGTGGAGCGATAGTCGAGATCGTATATAGCCTCCACGGCACGAGACCCACGGCCAGGTCTTGGTCGCAAGCATGTCAACAGCCGGTATTTGGGATGAGCTGCAGATGAAATGGATCGATGCGTTGCCGCCCGGCGGAGAAGAGGCTCATCATTGCCGTGACGGCGGACAAACCTTGATTATGCGAACCATTGCATTGATTCCTGGGCGCGACGTTTGTTCCCCCACACAGTCCCATTTCGCGTGGGAGGCCTTGGGTCGTCGATACGATCAAGAACTTCCTGAATAGTCGAATGACATCACATTTGTGCATGGCAACCAACACATATTTTGCTGCACCTTTGTTGAGGCCTTTTGCTCGGGATCTAGCAAAGTCGTAGTTTACCATGCATCCCACGTCGAAAGGCATTATACAAACCCGTACGGTCTGGAGAAGGAAACATCTTTGCTTGGCAAACATGTACTCCGCACCGGCACGTTTGCATTAGGCATTGCAGAAAACGGCGTCCTTTTTCCTAGGCCTAGCCATTTGCGATTTGATAAGGACTTTTCCCAGCATTCTGAAGCTCGCCAAAGTCGACTCGTTTTCTTGGCCTCTCGGTAATGTGATGTCTGCATGGCATCCTAGTCACGAATCCTCGCTTATGTTCTGTAGTTCAAATTTGGTTCGGATACACCCTCTCCTTCCAACATCACAAGTGGCTAGCCACCGTTGAATCCCAACCCTGCCGATGCGTGGCTGGACCACTTAATGTCGATGCCCAGCATTGTCCCAGTCTTTCGTCGTATCACGTAGTGATGAGACCATTGTGGGGAGATGGACATGAAGATATAGAGTATTATGAATCTCTATCTTTTCGAAATTATCGTTGAAGGACAGCTGGGAGATATGTGGGATGATCTGAACAAGCCAACGATTTTTCAGCTGATGCTGCTGCTGCAAGTGGCATGGAAGTCCACAGTTTTGTCGCCATCAATGGGAGGGATGATGGTTGGTAAGTTATGGTAGCACTGGTAGCCGCGACCTACCTACTCCATATATCTATACGGAAGCGTTCAGAGACGCAGACGTAGTGGTGGGCAAGGCTAAAGCCATCCCACTCCAGGGAGGCACCCATTTGAAGACGTGTAACTATTTCTGGGAGGCTGTTCTTCAACAACGTCTACCAGCAGCATCCAAGATAGAATACTAAAAGGTATAGTACCTCTTGCAGGGGTCCAGCAACAGCGACCCTTGACATCGTGAAGTTGATATCTTGTTCGGAAATGATATCAGAGCCTCGGCGGACATGACAAACTAGACGCAAGATGCTTTGCCAAACACTTTTCGTGATCGAGGCGAGCAGTCAAGGTGGCGAGATATTATCTCATCAGCACATCAAAGGAGCGGTTATAATTCGCAATATGGAAATGTCATTTTGCCTTCTTCCCTTGACGTAAGAGAATCATGGTAATGTTTTAAAAAATTACTCCGAGCCGCGCAGAGTCGGCTATAGACTGTGGCTATTATTCTCTTCAAAACAAGGTCTGCGTCTGAGACTCGGATGAGCACCTAGGCTCGGACATTGGGTTTCTGTTTTTGCATGTGCTTGCTCGGCGGTCACAACATGCGACGATATCGGATAGATAACCCAGGCTTGCCATGTAAACTTTCAGGAAAAGGAAAATATTGGGACATGGCGCCGAAACCTTGCGACGTACAAAGGAGATAACAATCATGACTAGAGTTGAAAAATTCATCTCCAGCCCAAGCCCAAAAGATTGTGAAATAATACCTTGATTCAAAGTGCTTGTTGTATCTATCCTGTTCTTGTTCTACGTACCACACTATGCACACTCATGAGAGTTGGAGTTTGGAGAAAATACTCCACTGTCTTGCATTTTAGTCACACATTTATCGATGCCATTTCGGGAAGCTAGGTGACTGCCGGCTCCATCTCAACCCCACGAACAGGATTACGCACCGATCACGGACATGTCGGGATCAGCATTTGGGGAAAGAATTTTCTCTTCTTGCAATTTCAACTCAAGTTGAAATAAGCTCAACTTTCCATCAACCAACATTGCTCGGCTAGCTCAGTTGGTTAGAGCGTCGTACTAATATTCTTCAAAAGAGAATATCAAGTTATGCGAAGGTCCTCAGTTCAATCCTGTGGCTGAGCAATTCTTTTGCCCTTTTCGTCATTGTATACTTTTTGGTCATGTTAGCAAACTCTTAATCCCACCTGGGCACATGCTTTTTCTTATTATTCAAGTTTGTTATCCGTCTCTCTTCTTCTACAACCGTCTACATCCTACACATGTATAATGGAACCAAATCTTTATGCCAGTCACGTCTCGCAGTAGTCCGGCACAAAATACATAGTTGACATGTATGGCCTTGATTCGTCTTGTCTAATTTTGAAATCTTCCCCAACACGTCCCGACTTATTAGACACTCACCGCTCTCTCGCTCCATCTCATCTGCATAGCTTCGAACCACCTAATCTACCTAGTACTTCCTCGTCTAATGTAAATTTCCTGGTGGACCCCTAATTTGTCCCAATTCCCATCCCGTACGTAACACCGTCGACCTATACCCTATTATGCTTCCCGCCATCATCCAATCATTCAACAATGATTCCAACTGGTCTTCAACAGTAAATACCCCCGGGGATGTGGTCTAGTGGTATGACGTTTCCTTAGCATGCGATAAAGCATGGAAAAGGTTCTGGGTTCGATTCCCAGCTTCTCCATATTTTTGCGTTTTTGTGGGATGGATGTGGTTGTAGTTTTTGGCCATGTTCAATATTCATGTATACGAGGAAGCGGGTTCGTTTTTGAACACCAACTCAACGAAAGGTTGCTCAATAAATTAAATGAGGTAAAAGGCACAGCTTTCAACGTTCTCCGAGGTGTTCGATCATGTGAATTGCTCGTGAGAGGAGCCCTTGTCTTGGAACAACGGCAAACTAACCTTGGTGGTCGTTGGTTTACTCGGGCATTACGTAGGGACCTATGTTATTTTCAAGACTCTTGAAACAGAGAAATATGAATCAAGTGCAATTGCTCTAATATCAAGTTTGTAAGGGGGAAGGCAATTCACCAATATACTGATTGATACGTTGGACAGGATCATTCTGTAGATTTGACATGAATACCGGCACGATAAGCCCCACGTTCTACGATAAGCCAATGGCCCCCAGACCCCGCTAAAATTTCCATGTCGGCAAGCTCAACTCCAACACATGCGGCCAAAGAGCAGCGTGCCCATTGACTCACCTCGAATACAATAACATAGACCAAATCATAGAAAGGCCCCAGTCGGACACAAAACAATAAATACATAAGAAGCACCATGGACGTCGATGCCCCCCCGCCGGCGTCCCCTGCGGCCGACCCAATCGACCCTTCCACCTCTACCAGCAACAACGACAACGACGATTCCGACCCCATCGTCTCATCCTACGCCGTCTTTAGCAACCAGCCGCCGACGTCGACGCGCAAGATTCTAATCCTGCAGCACCCCAACAAGCAAGGCCCGACGCGTGAACCTTTCCAGACCCTCTCCGAGGTGCGCATCAAGCCCAGCTCGGGCATGATCGAGGTCGACGTGCCCCTCAGCTACCACGATGGCTCCTACGATCGCGACAAGGGCATGCGCTGGGGTCAGGCCCTAACGCGCAGCATGAACCAAAAGAACGGTGGTAGTCACGGTCTGGCGGGTGGTTTCGGCGTCGGCGTGCCCGCCCCGCGCGCCGGCCGCCCCCGTAAGGAGGAGGATCGCGACACATATGACTGGACCGAGGCGGTGCGCCGCGACCAGGTCCTTCGCACCCAAACGCTGGGTGGCCAGTACGCCGGTCGCAACGCCGACTTTGGCGACAACGAGTGCCGGTGGATGGTTGGAGTCTTCAAGGGAGGCAATCTACACCTCACGCCCGCCCAGTCGGAAATTCAGCTGCGCCCGCAACTTCACCACCTCGACGCCGCAACGGAACAGGACCGCCTGACCCGTCCGCGCGATGGCCCCGGCCAGGGACCAGGTCTCGCCAAGGACGGATCCAGCGCTGGCGGTCCCGCGCCCGCGCCCAAGGCCATTACCATGACCATCAAGTCGACCGCCGGCGGCGACCAGCCCAGCACCGAGACCATGGCCGACCGGCTGCGCCAGGTGCAGATGGAGCACTGGCAGAGGCTAAAGTACGTCGAGGACGACAAGGACGAGGCCTGGGAGCTGTACCAAAAGACGCTCATCTACCGGTCTCCAGAGTTCCAGCAGGCCGCCCAGGACGCCGGCAAGGGCAAGGGCAAGGCATTGGACGTTAAGCTGGACGAGGACGAAAAGGGCGACCTGCAGAGCAAGGCCATGCGGCTGCAGACGCGGTGGAGCGAGGAGGATTACCTGCGCGGTGTTGCGGGCAAGGACAAGGAGGGCGTGCTAGAGGGCTACGGAACCACTGCGCTGCCTGGCATCAAGCCCGAAGACGTGGTCGAGGAGGGCAAGGTGGATGCCGACGGCAAGAAGACGGCTTCTGCTGCTGCCAAGGGCAAAGGAAGAGCAGCCACGGGCACGGCTGCTGCTGCTTCTGCCAGCACTGGGACGACGGCAGCAGCAAGAAGGGCACCAACAGCAAAGGCCAAGGCATCCACCAAAGACAATGCAATGGAGATTGATTAAGGCGTCAAAGACGGTAGATATCTGGCCGACCTGTTGACTCGAGTGGGTGACACCATTCAACACTTTGCCATTGTTGGTACAAAAAACATGGGGGATCCTTGATGTGTCAGGCTTAAAAGGGTTGAGGAACTTGCATCGACAGGCGTTTATACATGGCATTGAACAAGGCGTTTAGAGGGACATGAAGGAATTGTGGTTGAAGGAATTTTTATTCCTATTGAAGGCGCGGTTTACTGCTTAATATAAAATCAACTATTCTGACAACATTGTTTGGGGCCTTGGCCCATGCTTTGCATCTAGTGCTCGTGAAGAAAGCTTTCTAGATCTCTACTCTTCTGCGTTTTTCATCATATTCCCGTGCAACTTCGAAACCACCCTCGCCATCCCGTCTGTGTTCCATTAGAACAATGCCTTGAGCTTCGTTCTATAGCCCAGGAACCAGTCAGTCAGTCGGTCGGTCGGGTGCTGATCCCAATAGATCAATGATTGATGCACGCAGGCGACCTTACCATGTCAGTCATGACATGAGCCTGTTTTCAGATTAAGACTTCTTCCTACAGGTCCTGCATTTTGATCTTCCCAATGCGGAAAGGCTGTACTCTGTACTCTTTCAATATACATTGGAGATTTTAAAACTCCTAGAGCCGCTCTTCCTACTGGAGTAGCTCTACGTCCAAGCCAATGGATCGCATGAAGAGGTTGACATTATCAAGGCGCTGCTTGGCCATATCAGCTGGCAATGCCTTGGACATGGCCACGGTATCCATAACGCGGTCCTTCACAGCAAGGACAAGTCTCTGCTGCTCTTCGGGACTGGCACCAATACCAATGGCAGCCAGGAACTGCCAGACGTAGATGTCTTCTCCAGACGTGACGGTGCCCGGGAAGATGCTAGGGAGAGTTGGCTCCAGGTGGTTAAAGAAACCGTTGAAAGTAGCAGCCCTAGTCACAATGTTAGGTATCATTTTACAATTATTTGCAACAAAGGAGTAGGAGTTTGGTACCATTGCTGCCACAGTTGCTCATTGGCATGGCCACTCTGCTTGATGATCTCGGCTCGGCTGAGGATCATGGTCAGCATGGAGATGCCGACGCGAGTCCGAGCAATTGTGTCAATGTTGAGGCGCTGAATGATGATACTGAGGACAGCAGTGATAATCTGCAGCTCGGCATCTGCCAAAAGATTAAAGAGCTGAGGCATCACAGCCATGGAAAACAAGTCGATACTCTCACGGATGTTGGCGGAAAGGTTGATAGGCTCTCCAGACTGGACTTGAGCGCCTTGCACAACATCCAGCTGGTCAAGGTGAACAATGATCAAGGTGAGAATAGTCGTCCGCTGCTCATGGCTAAGTTGTCGGAAAGCCCGAGGAATGGCCTTCTTGCCCTTGGGGTACGACAGGAAGGTGATAAATGGGTGCACCTGTCTAGGGTCAATTTGCTCATGGACCTTGAGCGCATCCCAGAGCTGTCCATTCAGCTTCTCCGCCGTAGCCTGCCATTCAGCTTGCTGTTGAATGAGTTCAGGGCTCGGATTGGGGGAAGGAGGCGGCATGGTTCTTTCATGATCCTCCATCTTCATGAGAATGGTGTAGACATTCTCAATCGCGCGAAGAGCCACCTTGCGGTCATTGACACTGACAGCACGCTGAGCACTTCCAGGTCGTGCATCTCCAGTACTCTCAGTGCGCTTGATATTTAGTAGGGGCTTGGGCGTCTTTGCGTTACTGAAAGAGATCTTGCCAAGACTGCCCTCAATGACGAGCTGCTTGTTCTTTGGCTTATTCTTGGCAGCCTCAACGGCGCGCTGCACTTGCTGCTCCATACGCTGGACATGGTTCTCTGGGCCACGACCATGACGTCTCATACCACCATGACGATTGCCGGTCTGGAACAAATATGTCTGGGCAAAGTTGCTGAGAGGCTGGTTGGGATTGGGACGGTTGACAGCCTTGAGGGAGCTGTGAACTTGATAGTAAAAGTCCTCGCCCAGGGCAGCATCGGATCCAGCCTCTGTAGAATCGCCAATTGCAGACATCAATTGCTGAAGCTGGATTCGAGTGATGAAGCTCTTATCGTGGGGTGTCATCAAGCCATTGTCGCGAGACAGCATATGGATCTTGTGGTTGCGCTTAGCACGTCTGGCCTCAGCATCGAGGAAAGCTGCCTTCTCGTGCTCCGACAAATTGGCCAATTGGCCTGCAGGCACGGCTGGTCCCTGGCGAGAGAAGGAGTTTTGTGCTTTGTGAGAAGGTTGTCCGAGACGCGCAGCATCACCCGACAAGCGATTGGGGTTCTGCAGGATTTGAGTGGGTGTAACCGTAGGCTGGTGGTGCTGTGCAGGAGAGTCTGCCGGCTGTGCCAGTGGGCTGGGGACGGTCGGCGCGGCATGCTTGGATGACGGTCGCTGCAGAATGGTGATCGGATGACCATGCGGACCTCCCATCTGAGGTTGCTGAGACTGTCGAGTATCGTGAGCAGGGAAGCCTTGGGCATGAAGCTGCTCCTGCTGGGCGTAACGAATATCGGTAAAATCTTGGCGAGGATGCTGAAGGTGCGGCTGCTGAGTCTGGTAGTGACCCTGAGGAGGCTGCTGGACGGGCGTGGCCTTGGGTGCAGACTGGGCACGCATTGCTGCCTCGACCTCCTCGAGGCTCATGACCTTGCGACTGGCAGCTTGTGGTGCTGGCTGGGCGGCAGGGGTCGGTTGCTTGGGCGCCGTGCCCCAGATGGAAGCATCAACCTGGAGATCAGCGACAGGCTCTGGATCCTGATATTTCTCGTAACCACTGCGAGTGGCCTTCTGGGCCGTAGGATAAGGCGCATATCCGTGATAAGAGCCAGTTGCTGCAGCATGGCTCGCGGAAGAGGGAGCCTTCCCGAAAGGCTGATGGCGGCTGAAACGAGCATGCTCCTCCTCCATAGCATCGGCGACCTTGGATGTAGCACCAAAGAAGTCAAAATCCTTGCCAACCGGAGCAGACGAGAAGGCATCTTCGCCACCAAAAGTATCGTCGTTGAACGCGTCGTCGGTCTCGTCGAGCTTATCGCCAAGGCCATCATACGTATCCTCAAAATTCAATGCTTCCAGCTCTTCGTCGTACTTGGACAAATCGGCAAAGGGGTCGTGCGTCTGGCCGAAGCCAGGCGCAGCCATGTTGTGACCAGACATGGCAATAGTCTTTTCGCAGGGCGATCGTTATTTCGTGGATGATTCTACAGCCAGAGTTCGTCAGCCAAGTTTATGGGGAGTTGAAATGGTGCTGGCCAGAAAGGGAGGGCCAGATGGTTTATTTTGGGAGTGTCTGGTGGGGCGGTCAAAAGCGATTGTGCTCAAGCTGCAACAACCAACTGCGCAACACTGGAAGGAAGGTTGAGCAGATTGTTGTAGCGACCAAAACAACAATCAGAGACAAGTGACAAACATATTGTCTAGGTGGGGGTTGCGAGAAGCTACACGATACGCAAAATATCGCGATGTCATGAACGTGGGGCAGATGGTAGTAGACGGGGATGATAGTGCCGGCCCTCGTCGGCCAGACAGCTCCAATCCCGGGAAACAACACAACAGGAATGCGAGGATAGATGTAGCCTTGTGGCAATTAGAAAGTGACTCACAGCTAAGAACGTTCAGGAAAAAGCTTGGTTGGAGTGCTGGTTAAATGCTGAATCATGATGCGACTGCAATCGAACTGATTGGAAAAGTTGCCAGGCAGGTTCGCCGATTGTCGCAGTTAACCAAGACAATGAGAGTTGGATAAAAGGACCAAAATAAGGCAGAAACACAGCAGAAGGACCGAGTCAAGAAAGACGTCAAATGCAGGGTGGTAAAATATGATATTGAAAGGGAGGCCAGAGTCTGTGACGAGCCGGCGACGAGGCAAGATCACAGCTGCTTCCGCGCACGGATTGGTGATGATTTGTCCGGCGAGATGATGTTGGTTAGGTCGGGCCCCCATGGTTCATTCCAACGGGTCCAAGCGTCCGGGCGGCGAGACCCCCGGCAACAGGTTAATCCTCACCGAAGATTGTTTGACCCAGGCCCCTAGGTCCCGCCCGGCCGCGGGTCATGGATGGATTGCTGTACTACCTACATATGTACTAATCAGCGTCAAGGCAATTGGATTTGCCCACCCCAGATCCGCAAGGTACCCGGCGCCGGCACTGCTGACGATCTTCTTCTACACCCTACATACAGTACCTACTACTGCCTACACATACATGAAAACAATGCACAGGCTTGCTTGCATGTCCACAACGCTCAATGTGGAAAGTAGCATTACAAGATGTGCGTTAGTTTCGGCAAATGTAAAGAGTTCTTGGGACCTGCATTAATAATCGTACACTCTTTCTCTTTTGTTTGTTCTTTGGTGCTCTAGACTTTAGTAGTATCGTCAAGGACATCTCCAGCTCATGTTAGACGCGGCCTTTGATTGCCACAGAAATGATGCCCAGCTACCAAATCAGACTTGAGAGCACACCTCATACCAAGTGTGCAGGTAACCGCATGCATTGCGTGATATCTTGCGTGATTTAGAGCAGAAAATAGTAGAAAATCGACAACAAAGACCTGCGGACTGGAATAATGGATTATCTGCGACTCGCGGATAAGTACTGATTGTCAAATTGCAGACTACACCCTAGTAAATGACAAGATAAAAATATGCTTAATATGTGAGCCATCTCGATGGAAACAATTATATGAATTGTATGCAACAGAAAAGTCTTGTTCTTGCTTACATCAAGACAATAGGAGACCTCCTAGTTGATCAGGTGCTTTGCTCGGTCTTATTATATATGTGACAGCACGTCTGAACCCCAGATCTCAGTGACATGGCAAAAGTGTCATGTTTCAAGTGCAAAGTCAGTCAATTGGATGTGGTCAATCGTGTAAAAGCTGATAAAGTGCACTGAAGCTAGACTTTAGACAACCAGAGCATTAATTAAAAATGGCCACGAATCTTTACGCGCCAACAAATCCGAGACACACTTGAGGTATCCATCAATCTGGCCCGAGAATGGATACGCCTACGTAGGCACAAAGATGGCTGTGTCTCAAACACAATATTCGATTAGCCAGTCAGAGGCGCCCTCAATCCTCTTGGCTTCTTGATATGTACCGCCTTTAGAATACAGACGAGCGATAAGCATAATGAGACTTGGCCGATTCGAAACAATGCTGACGACTTATCACAAGAAGTCACCTCCCCAATCTAGAGAGCTTCTAACACGGGATGACGGTTTGTTCTATACAAGGTAGAGAGCTTCTGGGCCTGAGTCTGGACGGTGCCAAGAACTTGGGGAGATCTTCAGGGCTGCTCTTAGAGGCTGAAGGGTAGCTCTTGGGGGGTCGCTTTGAGGGGCGTTGTAGGTGGGCCAATGGCCAACAGAGGCCCGCTGGGAACGCGGCAGCTAATCTGGAAAGGGCACGGTACAGGGGGGCCCCGATATTTTCACGTCTTTTTGGGGACTGGCAACCCCTGACACTGCCGTCGACGCCAATCGAATGGGGGAGAGATGGGACGAAGCGTGTTCCCCCGTAGAATTGCATTCAAAGCAGCTGAAGAATCTACAAGGGTGCCGAGGGCGGGAATGAGAGAAAATGCTTGGTCCTCATCAAGTTTACGAGCACCTAGAAACTCAATTGAAGCTGCATTGTGGTCGGTTTTGAGTGTCTTGATTTATTGCTTCGCATCTACCACCCGTGGACATGGTAAATCAATATACAAGGACGACTTTTGAAAAGAAATGTGCAAGTTTGTATGAAGCGGAACTCGGCTGTCATTTGACATTTCCCATGTCATTAGCTCCATTCTTCTCTACAGATTACTCCAGCAATCGAACAATGATTGCACCCAAAGGAGGGTTTGTTGTAAAACTGCCGGCGAGGTCTTGCCAGCCCGCCACCCGCGCTGTGTCTTTCTAGGTACATAATAGAGTTGAAGCCATCAATTAAGGGATCAGACTTGCGTCTCAACTGTCCGCAATTCCCAAACCTTTTTCTTCTTTCGTTCACTTGGATTCCCACTTGTTCTTCCAATCTGGTTCTTTTTGTGTCAATAGGCTTGACCTCCTCTCAAGTGTACTCACATTCATGTGCATTTGCAGGATCGAAAAGTAGGACCCCTACCTGTATCTTGGCATACCAGCCTGTCTGCCTACAAGCACATGCGGTAGATCATTTTAATCTCCCTTTTACGAACGCCATGATCTAAGAATCCCCCCTTTGTACTCGTATCGCTGCCACATAACTTGCCGCCCCGCCCCTTGCAACGCGGAACCATCCATTAGAACACGACACGGTTCAACTTTTTTGGCCCAGCCCAGCACCAGCCCAGAGGCCTCTTATCTGCATGAAGCATTGAGGTCCTTCTTCACTTCTCCCACTGCAACCCCATCGCCCATCAGCACTGATATCTCGTCAGCAAGATGGCGGCTGGCAGTGCGCGCATCGTGCGCTACATCTTGTTTGCATTCTTTGTAAGTATTGCTGTCGAGACCCAACCTGTCTCAAGCAAAATCCCACTGGTTCTGGACTAGGAAACTAACCACCACCTTTTTCATCAGTTCATCGCCGTTCTTTACTTCATCTCGCATTCTTCGTACGATGGCGCTGGACTCTCCCCCGAGAGCTTTGGCGTCGGTAAGGGATCATCGGTAGGCGGCAAGGGTTCGAACCACGACCAGACCTCCAGCAACCCGATCGGTAGCAGCCCGGGCAGTCCCTCTACCTCGCACCAAGACCTTGGAGAGGCCCCAATGGCCATGACTCCCGCCGATGCTGGCTGGGATAACCTCTTGGGCACTGCTCCTGGTCCCCGTATGAACGCCACCTTTGTCACACTTGCACGAAACAGCGACGTCTGGGAGATTGCGCGATCGATCCGTCAGGTCGAGGACCGCTTCAATCGCCGTTACAACTACGACTGGGTCTTCCTCAACGACAAGCCTTTCGACGCGACCTTCAAGAAGGTTACCTCGTCCCTCGTCTCTGGCAAGACCCATTATGGAGAGATCCCCAAAGAGCACTGGTCCTTCCCCGAGTGGATTGATCAGGACAAGGCCAAGAAGGTGCGCGAGGACATGGCTCAACGCAAAATCATCTACGGTGACTCTGTCAGCTACCGCCACATGTGTCGTTTCGAGTCTGGATTCTTCTTCCGCCAGCCTCTCATGATGAACTACGAGTGGTACTGGCGTGTTGAGCCCAGCATCGAGCTCTTCTGCGACATTCACTACGACCCATTCCGCTACATGGCCGAGAACAAGAAGAAGTACAGTTTCGTACTCAGCTTGTACGAATATGTCGAGACCATCCCCACGCTTTGGGACAGTACCAAGAAATTCATAAAGAACTTCCCCGAGCACATTGCCGAGGGCAACTCAATGGGCTTCCTTAGTGATGATGGTGGTGAAAGCTACAACCACTGTCACTTCGTATGTTACCACATGTTTTTAGCTAATTTCACTTTCGTACACTAACAAGTTTCTAGTGGTCCAACTTTGAGGTTGGCAACTTGAACTGGCTGCGATCCAAGCCGTACCTTGACTACTTTGAGTCGCTCGACAAGGACGGTGGCTTCTTCTACGAGAGATGGGGAGATGCCCCTGTCCACTCGATTGCTGCCGGTCTTCTCTTGAAGAAGGAGGAAATCCACTTCTTCAACGACATTGCCTACTACCACGTTCCGTTCACTCACTGCCCCACTGGCGAAAAGACCAGACTCGAACTCGGATGCCACTGTAATCCCAAGGACAACTTTGACTGGAAGGGTTACTCTTGTAAGTTGTGCTCCACGCCTATTAATTGCAACAATTACTCACAAGTCAAATTTCAGGCACATCGAGATTCTTCGAAACCAATGGCTTGGAGAAGCCGGAAGGATATGAAAATCAGCAAGACTAATTTTCATTCAAGCAGTGTATTTCTATAGAGGAAAAGGAGCCAAAAAGAAAGACACCCCCCAAAAAAAACAGTGAACCTCATGAACACTTATTGCATCTCATGGTTTGATATGGCACTAGGGGGGCAATTCTGATGTGGGCACGGCGTCAAAGGTGGTTGATTTGCAATGTATTGGAGAAAACTTTGTAGTTCTGTACATATTAGTTCAATTTCAATGCCATTCAAAGCAGATTCCCTTGTTGTTTTTGATATGCTGCAATATTTTGTGTTATCATCACGACAATGTCCATAATCTCGGGCAAGCAAAATTATCGTTTGTGGTCTCGAAACCTTGTACTCATGAAATATTCAGGTCGACGATCTCTTATCGCAGCCTATAACCACATCCTGTGGACTCTTATGTCTGCACGTCAACTGTTTGCGGATGTAATTGTGCAGCAGAGTGGCTTGGTTATACTAGTATTGATATTTGCTAGGAGCTAGCCAATGCTTCAAGCGGGGTTCTGTCAAAATCTTTGCACATATCCAGCTTTGAGCCCCCCGCTCCAAAGGTATTATCTACTAAACCCGATGGACAGCCTACTCTTGATACTTTAAAAAACCACACTCAACCACATCAAGGTGCAAATTTCAGCGCCAGTCATTATATCATGGCTGTACGCTCGGTGTGGAACCGGGTGCGGATTAATCAGAGATGGAGAGCTTTTGGCGACTTCAGCTTCTACATGTTCTACTTTGCAACATGGATACCCGTGGTCGTCATGCTCAAATCCTACGTGGGTGAAGTCGTCTCAATCAATGGACCTTCAATGTACCCCTACCTCAACTCGGACAAAGACTCGAGTCTCCGCCGGGATCTCGTGTGGAGTTACAAGTTTCGGCCTCAGGAGGGTTTGGCTCGGGGAATGATCATTACATTTTGGTAAGTCCTTGCATGCTCTTGGCCATCACTACTTGCGGGAAGTCGGACTGATGGAAATTCACTCTCAGGAGTCCTTTGGACCCAGAAAAGGTGGTAGTCAAGAGAATCATTGGACTCGAGGGAGACATCATCCGGACCCGCGAGCCATATCCTGCTCGTACAGTGCAGGTGCCGGTCGGTCATATCTGGGTTGAAGGAGATGGTGCTGCGCGAGACACGCTCGACAGTGAAACATATGGGCCTATTTCCACGGGACTGGTGATTGGTAAAGCTACGCACATATTGTGGCCGCTTCATAAAGCTGGGAGGATCAAGTGGTGGGAATACGCCGGCAAGTTCAGGAATCCCGAGGGCAGAATGCAATAGTAGGTAGTATACCAAACCGGCCATTGCGTCATGTTACTGATAGAAACCAAATTCATGTCTCAATGGTCTTGGAATATTTCATCATTTTTCCTTCTGTCAACCACGCAGACCAACAAGATGCTTGTGTATGACTGTGATATGCAGTACTTGCTATGATGTTCTTTTTATTCTTATATTGATGCACCCAAAAGAGTCAGAGAAGCTAGAATGAGTCGAGACTAGAATTGGGACGCACGGGCCACAGTCAACGTCAGGGCGCGTCTAACGTACTATCAAAATTTCTAGGGACGGTTTCCCAGCAAAAAGTTGCGACTGAGTAGCAGCCAGCGTCCAGTCTTTGTTGGTTCCCTCAACAGCGGCGACCTGCAATTGCAGCGGCGCTCACTCCCTTCACTCTGACCCCCCCTACTATTGATTGTTACGTGACTGAGGGCCATGTCCTTGGCTCACCGCATCGCCAATTTCTTCTCCGAACCAACTCCCGCCACTCCCGATCCGGTTGCTCGCTCATTACACGACGATGGACGTTCGGAGGAGTTGCGCCCTCTGCCTGATTTCAACACCGGAACGCATTCTTTCAAGGAGGTCGACATGACGCCCAACGATGAGCTGGAGGCGCGCCCTCCCATATTACATGTTGGTGTCTTCTTGTGCAACCATTCCGTGATAGACATTGTCTTGCTGACCATGCTCACCAGTCCATGCTCGCTGGAGGCCTCGGAGGTACAACCGGAGATATGCTGATGCATTCACTCGATACCGTGAAGACTCGACAGCAAGGCGACCCACATTTCCCACCGAGATATTCGTCATTGGGCTCTTCATATTACACGATATGGCGGCAAGAAGGTATACGGCGCGGTCTTTACGGCGGGTGGCTGCCGGCCATGATGGGTTCATTCCCCGGGACCGTCTTCTTCTTTGGCACATATGAATGGAGTAAAAGGCTTATGCTCGACTACGGAGTCCAACAACATGTGGCGTATCTTTCAGCCGGCTTTCTGGGTGACCTGGCGGCATCCGTAGTCTATGTGCCATCGGAAGTTCTCAAGACGAGGTTGCAACTTCAGGGACGATACAACAATCCCTACTTCCACTCTGGATACAACTATCGTGGCACATTCGATGCCGCAAAGACAATCGCTCGTGTGGAAGGACCCATGGCATTGTTCCATGGCTACAAAGCGACCCTCTATCGAGACCTGCCGTTTTCAGCACTGCAGTTCATGTTCTACGAGCAGTTTCAAACTTGGGCAAAGCAATACAAGCAGAGCCGTGACATTGGTACGGAACTCGAGCTGTTGACTGGCGCTGCTGGTGGAGGGTTGGCGGGAGCCATTACTTGCCCCCTGGATGTCGTCAAAACCAGACTACAAACACAAATAGAGACGCCCCAACCTGTAAAAACAAAAGAGCGCACCAGCGTGGATGCAAAGGCTGGCGTCAAGGAGACATCGGCGAAGAAGCCTGGCGCAAGGAGGCCTATATCCACTTCATCGCCATCGACACATACTCCCCGGCCGGGTGCAATCGTATTAGACACCTCTTCAGTTTATCAGGGTCTGAAGTTGATTTACAAGACTGAAGGACTTGGCGGTTGGTTCCGAGGTGTCGGTCCACGTTTTGTGTGGACTAGTGTACAAAGCGGGTGCATGCTATTCCTGTACCAAACCATCTTGCGGAGATTAGAGATTTGGATGCCGCTGGCAGACTCTGAAACTTCGATATAAGTAGGAGTCATGTTGCTTGGCGAGGGAAGCTGTACATTTTTGGGCTTTGGAGAGGCTGATTGTATCAATACGGAGATCATCGGAGCATTTGCATGGCGTTTGGAAATAGAAGGACGGCCATCGGAGAAGGCCAAATGTATAGAAGACAAAAAAAGAACAGTAGATATAATCGCCCATCTATATGCATTGATCATCAGCTATAATCAGTTCTAAAGTGACTATGAGGTGAGCAATATCACATGAATTGCCTGCCTCTGCCGCTGTTTGTCGTTTGCAATTACACTGTACATCAGATGTCAACGACAGGACGTACAACTCAATTCAATACTCACGAAATATTCGACACTCTGGAATTTGTCGTGGCCCAAATGAACAGAGATCTAACTACATACCGTCTCTTTGCTTTATACATGGACCTGGTGCTGGCATTGGTGTTGCATATTCAATACTTGAATATTGCGCTTGAGCGTTATCCCCGTTAAATAGATTCCAAGATGCTATCCGTTTAGCTGACTTTAGAGCATCGAACCATAGCGCATGTGGAGAAAATGTTCCAAGCGTTTTGCGAAAGCTTGCGCCGTTTACCAATTTATCGAACTTTCACCAAACGCCTCGAGCTTTTGAGCCGAATATCACTCGAGCACGCAATGGCCGAGGGAAACGAGTTATAGCCATGACGCCGCCCGTACCCGTCCCTTCGAAAGCCGCGATACATGCTCTTCGAGGTCTTGCTCTGGGCAGCTCCTGTGCTCTCGGCCTGATTGTGGAAGACAGGAGGCGACGAATCAGCACTCTGAAGACAGCGGTCGACAACAACAAGAAGATTAGGACGTCGAGACAATATCATGGGGCCACGGAGGCTCTCAGACAGGCCGTTGAAGACGCGGCTGTCCTATCTGGGCAGGACATTCATTGGCATTATGATGCAGGACCTTCGATCAGCCTCGAGCATGGCCAGTATCGAGCCACCACAGAAGTACGACGACCAAGCAATACGCAGACAGACGCCAGAACCGTAGACAAGGAGGAACGAAATTCGGTCGCTGAGCATCAGGCCAAACAGCTGGCCCCCCAGGATGGGCCAAAACCGCGAATGAATTCGTCGGAAAGAACGGGACCCCGCATCCATGCAATACGGCCATCAGTCGGTCTCACAACATCCACAGACAGCGGCGGCTGGGCAAGGCCTGCAAGGTTATCGAAAAGTGCGACTCCAGCTGACAAGATTGCGGAAATCCTCGACCTGCCTGTTCCAAGCATCAAAACCAGATTGCAAGAACCTGGCATGCTTGCTACATACAAGGCAGCATTCATTGCTGGTACCAAAATGAGAGGCGCTTCCAAGAAAAAGCAAAAGGAAAAGCTGAACGAACAATGGCTCAATGTCTCGGAAGCACTGTGCACATATTGTCAAGAGAACGAGCTCTGGCAGGACGCGCAGGAGATACTCGGGGTTGTGGTTGGATTCGGCGAGGTCGACGAGACCAGATTTTACGCCCATAATCCATTTTCAGTGATTGACTCATTGCTGAGAGACCTTGAAGCAGATGGAGATGCCGTAGCCGGGAAGCTTGACTTGGCAACTCGTCTATTTGTCGCAAATTTTGAGCATGAGCCGGCTCTAAATATTGACAAAATCTCGCAAGTTGCCCAAGACCTCATTCCTCGACTTCTCCAGTACCACCAGATCCGGCAGGCTCACCAAGTCTACTGGCGAGTGTTGAAACAATTGGACCAAACTGCAGACTTTACGGCTTGGTTTATCGAACGACTTTCCCAATACGGAGACCACAAGTCAGTCATCAAGTACTTCAGACTGAATTTTACAAAAGCGGCAACCAAATATACGACCTTTGAAACGACAGTAAACCGTGTGTTGGATTCGGTTGAGGCAATGCGGGGAGCCCGAGCAGAGCCTGTTGCCCGGGCCTTGCTTCAATGCAGTAGGTTCGGGCTCACACCAAAAGCAGAATGGCTCCAGAGACTATTGCAGAGTCATTGGGATCGTTATCAAGATCTCCAAAAATCTCACGAGTTCTTTCACGAATTAGTGAATTTAGGCTTGTTGAGCACGCTGAAACATCCGGAATCCGTTTATCAATTCATGGTCAAGTTCGCTGCGTTGGACGGCCATTCGCAGGTTGCCTTGTATTATTACGAAGAAACGCTCAAGCTGGCACCACACATGCGGAACGATGTGTGGTTGAATGGCTGCATGACCCTGACGAAAGCTAAACATGGGTGCTGGGACGACGTTTACCTCGATTATTCCGAAATGAGGCAATACGCTCGTTCTCAGCCAGCAGCTTATAGCCAGGCCTTTGTTGCTCTTCTCAAGGTCTTTCTCGACAGCCACACAGTTGCCGAAACAGAGGATTTCATACAGACTTACGTGGAGAAGATGGATGTTCGCTTGCATCGTTATGTCATTACACTGGTAGCAAACAAGTATGGCGAAGTTCACGATTATGAGGGACTCCTGGCATGGCTTCAATACTGCCGTTCTCAAGGACTTGAACTGGATGCGGCTTTCACCAATGCCATTCTCCGCAATCTGAGATTAAAGTGGAAATTCCCCTACCGGCAGTTGCAGAGAGTCTACAAACGCATTCGGCGACTCGACCTGGCAACGGTCGATCTCGCTACTACACGAATCATGCACGGCGCGGCAATGGAAGAAGGCAATTACGCAGGTACCAACATCAAAAAAAGACTTGGCACGTTGGGGACATCGCCGAGCAAACTTCCTTACACCTTCAAGTCTGCCAACGAACGTGATGTTTTGCACGCCATGACGGAGGAACTCTTGCGCGGCAACCCTGTCAGGGCTGTTGTCATCTATAAGCGTGCGCTACGCTTTGGTATGCCATGGTGTCCCAGGTGCTTTCGTGTTGCTGTCAAGGCATCACTGAAGCGTAAAGGTGAGAATTTTAGCATCACCGCCAAGCTCATCAGCGATACATATGCCGAAGGCCATGACATCACCGGGGCTGCGTCGATTCTCATCAAGTCGCAAATCACACAGTTTAGAGGGCCATTTGAAGAGGTCATGGCAAACCTGCAGTCTCTCACCACTCGCTTTGAGTCCCTGGGCCTGACTATCGAGTCCTCCGTCATGACACATGCAGCTATCATGTCCACGCAGTTCAAGCAACATACTCGGGCAGTGGAATTCTGCAGGCTTGCCATGGAACAGAGCGGTGCCACCAACCCGTGCTTTTCCCGGCAGAGCATGCGAGCTCTCCTCTCGGCGTACTGGCAGACCCTCGACCCGGTCGGGTTGCGCTGGGTTGTGGAGTCGCTGCCGTCTAGCCCGCTAGCAGCAGACAAACATGCATTTCATCTACTCAAGTCAACAAGGAGACACATGCTGAAATGGAACCCGTCGTCGCGAGTCAACGAGATCATTGAAATCCTAGAAGATGGTATAGATAGGGCGCGGCAACAGCGAAAAGTAGCGATTCAGGTTGGATCTTTAATGCATAACGAAACACTCCGCATCATGAGCGATGCGGCGGGAAATATAGACCTGGGAAGAACGGAACACGGTCATAGAGGGCAACAAACTAACCACGCCAGCGATATGGAGAAGACGACATTGGCTCCAGATATGCGAACCCCGGCTTCCGTCCAGGCATATGGTTAGATGTATATACAACACAAATACTTTCATGTATCTTTACAACATGTACATTACTGCCATGTACAGTATCATAGAATGTATGATAGGACAGGGCCCCATCTTGTATACATGGCCTTGTCAAAAGTACTTGTTTGCTAATGTGGCAACTCTGCATTTTCATCTAATGATAGTCGATCAAAGGAAGAAGCCATTTGTTAGTCTGCTGCAATCGTGTCACAAGTGGTGGTTACTGCTAATAAGCACCATTGCCCTATGAAGCTCTGATCAACACTAGTCTACGCTATAGCACGCACGAGCCGTCATGGATTTGGCGGATGTTTGTGCTGCCGTGGGCCTTGATTGAATCATAGAGGCTATACCTTTGTAAGTGTATTGCTGTCTGCCACTACGATGATTTGGTGGCGGTAATCTGTACATTTCTTGCCATTGCCCAGGAGGTCCAGGTCATGGTGGAAGGATATTGAGTTGAAAACATGTTTTATCTACTACGTACTTACCTACTCACTACAACTTCCTTTGGAGAAGTCTCCTCTGGTCACATACCTCAAGCCAATCATTGAAAAGAAAATACTCAAGTTGGAGGTCTGGGAAGGCAACATTTGGACCCCAAAGCTGCCTGCGGGGCCAAAAAATCGCGGCGGCGCGAGTAGTACCGGGGGGGCCCACTGGGAAATTCAGGGGTCAGTTTCTCTTCCCGGGGGTCTGGTAGGTCTGTCTGTCTGGTGGCGGGCGGCGGCGATCGAAGGAATTGGCAAAGAATGGCTCGATCATAGATCAGGCGATTTATGACTTGATGCTGGGTCTTCTGGTGCCACTGGGACCTGACATCACGAACGACTTTTTGCAACGACTAATTTCCTCACCGCGTTGGTTTCTGGGGTACAACCAACAGGGAAAAAGTCGTAGTTAGTGAAAGAGGACCGGCGCTTGACATTCTCGACCTTTTTTTCTTGCAACCTCGACTTTCCTGCACCCGCCATCAGCAGCCTACCACGCGCCCCATCCTACTACCATCACCGACCGCCCTACTTGTTCAACACCAGACGGCCCCGATGAGCACTACAACGGTAAACACAGATGCTCGTGCTGAGCGCAGAACAAAATACCATGAGGCCGACGTGGTGATTGTCGGCGCCGGAGTCTTTGGCTGCGCCGCCGCGTATGCACTGGCACAGCAAGATCGCAGTGTGCTGCTGCTGGAGAGATGGATGAAGCAGCCCGATCGCATTGTCGGTGAGCTTCTCCAGCCGGGTGGTGTCGAGGCTCTCACCAAGCTCGGCCTGAGACACTGTCTTGATGGAATCGACGCCATTACTTGCAACGGTTTCGATGTGATATACTATGGAGAGCAGGTGGTTATAAACTATCCCAAGATCGAGGGTCTCGCAGGAGGATATGCCAATGGATCGGCAAACGGTCACGCAAATGGACATGCCAATGGACACGCCAATGGACACACCAATGGCTCGGCGTATCCCAAGGAGAAGGATTCGAGACCACAGGGCCGTAGTTTTCACCACGGCCGATTCGTGCAGAGGCTGCGAGAATCGTGTCTGGCACACCCCAACATCACCGTGGTAGAGACGGAGGCCGTCTCGACGGTCAAGGGTGAGCACAACGCCGAGATTCTCGGTGTTGAGACGCGCACATTTGACCCTGATACTGGCAAAAAGATTCCCGACTTCTTCTTTGGTCAGCTGACCATCATCGCCGATGGCTATGCCTCGCTCTTCCGCAAGCAGTACATTGAGCGGACGCCAGTGGTGCGGTCCAAGTTTTATGCCCTTGAGCTGATTGATGCCGATCTACCGCAGCCCACCTTTGGCCATGTCATACTGGGCAATGCCTCGCCAGTTCTCTGTTACCAGATTGGCACCCACGAGACCCGCGCACTCATTGATGTCCCACTCGACTGCCCGGCGGCTTCGGTAGCAAACGGCGGCGTCCGTGGGTACATTGAAAAGGTTGTCATCCCAAACCTTCCACCACAGCTCCAGCCTGCTTTCAAGGCTGCGCTTGAAAAGGAAAACAAGATCCCAAAATCCATGCCCAACTCGTGGCTCCCGCCCTCCAAACAATCACACCCCGGTGTGCTCGTGCTGGGCGATGCCATGAATATGCGTCACCCGCTTACTGGAGGCGGCATGACTGTCGCCTTTAACGATGTTGTCCTCCTTTCCCAACTCTTGGCCCCTTCCAACATTCGCGACCTGGGCGACTCGGCTGCTGTCCTGCGGGCCATGGACACGTTTCACTGGCAGCGCAAGTCGCTGACGTCCATTATCAACGTGCTGGCTCAGGCGCTGTACTCTTTGTTCAGCGCGGCGGACCCCAACCTTGCCAAATTGCAGCGTGGCTGCTTTGCCTACTTCAGGAAGGGCATTACCTCGGACCCCATGGGTCTCATGGGCGGCCTGATCCACCGGCCACTCGTTTTGGCCTACCATTTCTTCTCGGTAGCCTTTCTGGCCATCTGGATTGATGCAAAGTCGACTGGCCTGTGGAACATACCTGTCGTCCTTTTCAACTCCATTAGCTTGCTCTGGACGGCCTGTGTCGTCTTCTTGCCCGTCATGTACAAGGAGGTCTTCTAGTACTAGACTTTTTATGACTGGACGTACATTAATAAGCGCCGGGGTGGATGATGATTTTGTTTCGATGCGTTGAACCATGAGCGTTCTATATGATTACACACATACCCCAGATTCGGATGACGGCCATTATGGGTCAAGGATATGAGATCAAAAAAAGATAGGCATGAGAGCAGTTTGCCTTGGCAGAAAAAGCTCATCCCCTTGGGATGTGGATTGGATTTGAGTCCAATCTGTACATAATTAGAGAAGACCGAGAGAGAGACAGAAAGCCTATTATGGCTACTAGATATACACCAAGAGACCTAATCATAATAATCTTCAAGACAAAAACTCAATCATCATATCGATTTCTACAAGTCAGACAGATCTCAGACCAATCAACGAGCATGGACTCTTTGTTCACCACTTGAATTCCTTCCAGGTATTTCTTAATTGTCAATTTTTGGTTTGGCTACGTGGCAAATATACAGTGCATTGCAATCACATTCTTTTTCGGGGTATCTTGTCATCCTCCCATCACAACCTTGCTGTGTCTCCCTCTCGCTGGATTCGCACGACTGCTTCTCTCTCAAGTAAGGCGTCTTCTGTAGACACCAAACATCCAGCTAGCTCTCAAAACGGCGAGACCCACGGCCATGCGGATGCTGTCCTGAATGACATTGAGCTTGCTACCGTCAACCTCGTGCCAGTCAATGGGGACCTCGGCAACCTTGATGCCGGGACTGCTGCCAATAACAGCGCCGTCGTTGGACAAGACAGGCACGGCGGGGGCCGACTCTGCCAGCATGAGCATCTCAATGTCAAAGATCCAGCCCTCGGCGTGCATGTAGGGGACAACGTGGGGCAGGGCGGCGCGCGAAAAGAGCTTGAAGCCGCACTGGGTGTCGCGGAGGCGCGAGGTGGCGGGCGGCGTCAGGATCATGAGGACCACATGGAAGCCGCGCATGAGAAAGTTGCGCAGGGCCGAGCGTTTAACCACGGCCTCGCTGCCGACGAGGTGGCCGCGGCTGCCAATGGCGACGCCGCGCCCGCCAGCGTCCTTGACGTCGTCGCAGCCCTCGATCAGCTTGCCCAGGTCGCTGAAGCGCGAGGCGCCATCGGCGTCGGCAAAGAGCACGTACTCGCCCCGGACGTGGCGCATGCCGTGGGTCACGGCGCCGCCCTTGCCGCGGTTCTTATCCAGCTTAATGAGGCGGAGGACGTCGTGAAGGCCGTGCTTCTCGGAGAACTCGAGCACCACCTGCTCCGTCTTGTCGGTCGAGCCGTCGTCGACAATGAGGATCTCGTAACCGCCGGCCGGCTCCTCCTGGGGCGGATTCTTAATGCGCCGGTGGGCAGCGGTCGTGGGGCTAATGACCCCAGAGGCAGCAGCGACTTCTCTGCCAAACTTGGCGTCGAGGTACTTGACGGCCTCTTCGAGGGCAGGCAGGATACGCTTCTCCTCATTGTAGGCAGGGATGACGACGCTCAGGCGGAGGGAGGCGGGCTCGATGTTGCCCGTGTCGGGAATGTACACATCGGCGTCATCCTTGGTACGGGTCTCACTGGCGTGGCGCTCAGCAAGCCAGCGGTCATGCCAGCAGGGCAGCTTCTTGAGAACCCATTTTCCGTCTCCAGTCGTGGTCTTGTAGTGTTTCTCGCGGGGGTATACGGGCCGGGGCTTGGGTGCGACGAGGTGTAGGCCGGCGTAGAGCTATTTCCCCCAAAGTCACTTGTTTTAGTATAAAGTGGGAGCTATTGATTCAATGGGCAGATAGAGGTAGATTGTGCTTACGGAAAAGAAGGCGACCAGCAAAAAGGCAACGGCAATCCTAGTAAGTATGCCGTTGGGCGTCTCGCTGATCCAGCGCAAAACAGCGTCCATGGTCGTGTAAGGTCGGGCAATTAGTCGCCCGGAGTGCAGCTTGTCACAGGCGCATGGGTCGTCGTGTGTGGTGAGAGTTGAAAGGAGACGATGAGACGAGGATGCGCAGCTCAATTGCACATTCAATTGATCTCGGCGCTCGGCCGAAAATACAAAGGAGGTTTGCAAGACTGATCTGTCAAGTTCTCTCAGATTTATTGCAAGGGATCACCAGAAAAAGAAAAAGAGAATGAGTCTGCAAGAAAGCGAACTGCTGCGACTTGATCGGCCATTGACGACGTATTGTTCATTACGAAGTACCAGAAAAAGCCACGAAGTACGTTTCGTTTACGCGTCTAAGGCTGACGTACGTCTGGTACAATCAATGCGACGACCGCCGCAGGGTCCGTCAATAGCGGGGGGTCCACTGGTCTCATTATAGTGCGGGTGCTCCCCTGGACGGATCGCTAACGTCTTGCCCCGCGATCTGTGAGCTTGCTGGGGCTTCCGCGGCGTGCCCGGGAAGCTTATTCAGTAGGTTTACTCACATGCAAGAGATGGCATGATCATAGAATTCATGTTTGTTTGTTTGGCGAATGGACTTGTCTTTGAATGCTTGTCAAAACCTCATTGATAACTAGCTCCATTCTTTCTCTACCATTAGTTCGTACCCAGGCTGGATAAAGTTATGACAATAGGAACTGATCTCATGGCAGCAATACTTTAGTTATAACATGTCTTGGCAAGTATCTACCTGGTATACATGTGCATTACCTCCACAGACACGGCAGCCATAAATCTCAACATGTCCTTGATGTGCGAATGGTACATCAAAGGTCTCCTTCTGGACCACATTTAGCCAGGTATCGCAAGACGAAAAGAATTGATACTCCAAGGCTCGAGTAAGGCAATCCGTCGATATGAAATCAAGCTGCCACTTACAAATGCGCAGGAAATGCTTATATTTCGTGTCCACGTATCAAGCCTCTGCTGATGGATTTCAAGACAGACTCTTTGATTGTTTTCATTTATTTACTTAGTCTTGGACTGTGGCAGCTGCACCGGTACCGAAGAGTTCGAAGCGGCAAGTCCATGGCACCTTGCCTTATGTAACAGCCTGGAGGTGCAGTTCTAGCGGACCTCGGCATAAATCCCCAGATTTCTTAAAGGCCCCCGGCTGCGCGCCGTTCCAACGTCACGTCACCTCTACAAATCCCGTGTCTTGACTTTTGCATCTCGGCTCGACAAGGCGCAATGCCGCTTTCGTGACACAGATTCCCTCGTCCCTTTCAGCTGCAACATCAATTGAGCGCTTGTGTATGCGCCAGTTACCACCATGGAGTTCGTCACGGCCCTCCGGGGCACCTTTGACGATCAGAAGCCGTCGCTCTTCGAGATCCTGTCCGAGCAACAGCTGAACTCGCTGCTACCGCCCACGCTGCGATACCTGCTTACCGTCCTGACGCAGCGGTATCCGCGCTACCTCTTGCGCGCTCTTAATTCATTCGACGAGCTCTACGCTCTGGTCATGCTCATTGTCGAGCGCCACTACCTGCGTACCCGCGGAGGCTCCTTCACCGAACACTTTTATGGCCTGAAGCGCGAAAAGGCCCTTGCCGCCGAGATCCCACGGGCCTCGACCGCCGCTGCCGGTATCGTGCGAGAGACGCTCAAGCTGCGATCCACCGATGTCTGGAAGAATCTTGCCGTCATTATCGGTATCCCTTACCTCAAGCGCAAGCTCGACGAATCACACGAGATTGAGGCGCCCCGGGCCCTGCTTGGCGCAAACTACACGCGCATGCCTGCGAACCCGACCGTCAGGCAGCGGATCCTCCACTACTACAAATGGTTCATACGAAACATATACCCCAGCGTCCATGCCGGATACTGCTTTGCTGTCTTGGCGTTCAATCTGGCCTATCTGTTTGATGGGACAAAGTACCACAGCCCGCTCATGTGGCTAATTGGCACCCGAGTACGGCGGATGAACGGTGCCGACTACAGGGCCGTCGAGGAGTTGGGCAAGCCAAAGCCTGGCCTGCCTCCCGCGGCCGGGCTAAGCATGTTCCATCCTAGAACGCTTGGCCCAAGGATACTGGGTAGTCTCAGCATGGTTCTCCCCATGAGTATCTTTGCGCTCAAGTTTCTGGAATGGTGGTACGCCAGCGACTTTGCCAAGCAGCTGACTCGCAAAGCGGCCGAAAATCTCGAGCTGCCGCCACCAGTCATTAGTGGACTGTCGGCCAAGAAATCAAATACAAAGGGTGAAGCAGATAATGGCAAGGCAGCAAAAGACGACGAGGGCAAGAAGGAGGGCGGCGTGGAGGACGCTCCGATTGGAGCGACTTCATTGCTACCAATCTATACTGTGGCAGCTCCCGAGGACTCTGGGCTGTGTCCAATTTGCGAAGATGAGATACAGACGGCGACAGCGTGCCAGACGGGACTGGTGTACTGCTATTCGTGTATCCACAGATGGGTAGAAGGGTCGCACTCGAGACAGGAAGATTTCATGCAGGACAAGGCCGGTCAATGGGAGAGTGGTGAGGGCAGATGTGCCGTTACTGGCCGCAAAGTTTTGGGTGGCACCGAGGGGCTCCGAAGGATTATGGTTTAAGAAGATTACGAGAAAGGACAAGTGTCCCTGGTTAGAGAACATGATGCATGGCACGGCGTTTTGTACTTTGTATAGATATCCAATTTCTGATTGCCTTGTGTGCAAAGATATCGATACGATCCTATTTATATATTCACAGACACAAGCAAATTAGATACTGACGGCGCTATGCGTGTGTCGCCAGCCTGTGTAACCCTCATACAAGGTTTAGAAGATCATGTTCCTTTGACCGTCTTCATCATAGAAACTAAGCTCTGCCTATAGAGCGCGGCCAGTCTGTTCGGACAAAATAGTCAAGCGGCAAGTTAAATAGGACAGGGATACTTTTGAACAAGTCTAGATTGATTCGAAATATTTACATTCGAGTCTATATAAGACTATGCTAAACAGGCAGTGGGTATCCGCAAAACAGAGGTCCTCTTTAGGATCTCAACCTCGCAATAATCGAGGCTATAAGCAACACCAGCGCCTATGAAATTTAAGTGTTCTAGAACAATAATGAGACTCTTCCTAGACGTATCCCAGGAAATATGGAATATCCGTCAAGTTGTTCCATCCGTATCGTCGCCGTCTGGCTCACGTATACGATCCCCAGGAGTGCCGGACTAGACATTTTCAAAGGGCAAACTTTTAGCTTTTGTGCTACCACTACCAGGCCTCCGCGGTGATGGACACGGCCGAGGCGGCCAACTTACGGCCGGGTTCCTTTTCCTCCTTGTGGCTGTTGGTCTTTTTGCCGTGTCCGCCAGTCTTTTTGTCCGTCTTCTTCTCCGTGTTCCTCTTGATGGAAAAGAGACTCAGACCCGACTTCTTCTCGTTGCTGCTGACGCTTGCCTCCTCGCCCGGTCTCACGATCTTGAGCGAGTGCGGTTCGAGGTGTGACTGTGGAAAGATGCCCCAGCCCTTGCCCGAGGTGCCTGACCAGCACCAGTGATCGGAATACGTCCCTAGTAAAAACGATTTGGTCAGCAAACATTTCCAAGCACATGTCATCATCATTGTTCAAGACGTTTTTGACTTACAGCTAATATTCTTGATCACGTCCCCCTTGTCAAACTTCAACCACATGCCCTCGCCCTTTTGGGACCACTTCCATCTGGCAACGGCCTGCATGGAACTGGTCCCTTGCATCCTCGTCTCGCTCTTGGGCGGCGCGTCCAGAAAAACAGACTCGGCCTCGAAAGCCGCGCGCACTCCGTCGTGCCACCCAATGCCCCATTTGCCCTCGTACTTGGCAGGGAACTCGATGCCGACCAACTTGGCGCCCACGGCAAACTGGAGAACGGCGCCCCGGTCGGGCGGGGATCGCATGATGCCGTGCGCGTTCCTCCGCGTCTCCGTGGCCACGGCGGTCGGCAGCTTGCTGATCTCGGGCGCGATGCCCGCCATGACGGACTGCATGGGCGGGTGGGCAAAGTGCAGATCAAAGTTGTCCCGAAAGGTCTCGGGCGTTTCGCTCCCCTCAATCACCGTGAGTCCCGGGATCTTGGGTAGTGGTCGCGGATGCCGGGCCATGTGCATAAAGAGCTGCTTTTGATTGAAAAAAACGGTAGCATCGCTCTCGTCTAGGGTCTTGCCGTCGTGGATGCAGAATACACAGCCGTAGAGCTGTTCGTCAATGTGCCGAATAGGCAAGTGGCACTTTTGTAGGACCCGTAGCCGGAAACCCACTGTGCCTGATGTGTAATTTCCCTTGGCTAGATGGTTAGGTTAGTATAGTGTTTGATGCACGGCATGTAATTCTTTGAGGCATCTTACAGTCATTGTTGAGATCTTGCTCGACCGTGGCAAAATCGAGTTCATATAGACAGTCGGTACACTTTGCCACGGTAGTGTGCGAAAAGCCACCGACAGGTCGCTTGATTTTCTTGAAGCCGAGGTCGCCTCTCATGACATTTTCCGCTCCTTTGCAAAATCCCTTCATTTGATAGAAGGAGGAGTGAGGTCCTATGCTGCAATCGGATTGTCGAGGGGGCATTTGAGGGTTCTCGGGAATTTCTGATTCTACCGGAATTAGACCAGGATCTGGCGTCGGGGGTAGGGGCCTGTTAATACCGCCGCTCGTGTGAGGTCGAGCATGAAGTGTAGTTATGGTGGCTGAAGAGTTATTGCTGATCGTTCCCACTGGCGAGTGCAAAGGGCTTTTATAACCTGGTGGCGGAGTCGAATATAGCGGTCGGTGTCCTCCGGCAGAGTATGGGCTTCCGGGCGTCGTGGACATGTTAGATGAAGTACGTTGAGTGCTGGCAACGGGGCTGGTGGATCCGTATTCGGCCACGACGTCGAATATTGAGCTGTTGAGGGAATCCATGGAGGGTGCGCGGACCGGATGCGAGTTATTGCCTGCCAAGGAAGCCTGTCGAGGGGGGAAGTTCATGGGATTTCCTGAGTTATGGCCAGGCCGGTGAGTATAATTGTCGACAGCACTATCCTCGGGAATTGCTGGGGAGGGATTACCAAAGTGAGGAGAGCCAAGAGGAGACCTGGTTACGTCGGGTATCGAATCATAGGATTGACTCGAGTATCTTGGGAGCTCGGCACTGCCAAAACTTGAATACGTTTGTCTGTGGCTCTCATATGTGCTCTTGTTGGATACGGAGTCACCCCTCATACGGCCATTCGGTGCCTGATCCCGCCAGTACGACGGATCTGGGTCGATACGAACGGTTGCTGCCTGTGGCGGCCATGTATCTGCGCTCAAATACCGAGTATCTCTCCGGCCGCTGTCCGAAGTTCCTCTTGAAGCGGCAGTTGGGACCGCTGGTGGCAGAGTGGGCGAATCACCGCCAAATACCGGAGCCCGGCGTTCAATGGATGCACCATCGTCGGGCGAGGAGGCGTCTGGAACAGGAGGTGGTAGCTGGTCCACTCTCCACGGATCTGTTGACGGCGGTCGGGGCGGTGATCCCAAGGGCTCTGAAGATCGATTCGAATGATGTGAGCTGTTTCTGTCCAGGTCACTAAGAGGTCGCGAAGCCGTCCGCGAGTTGCCTCGGCTGCCAAGAGTCCCATCCACACCCAAATCGGGTCCAGCTTGGCTGCCCATGACCGACATGTCGTTCAGTCGCTGCTCAACTTCTTGCATCTCTCTGCTGACACCTATGGGCGAGTCCACAATGATGCTGGCACGGCCTGACGATGATGACATGGCTTCGGCGAGCAAAGGTGAAAGCATTGCGGAGGGCGCAACAAGCTTGATTCTTTTTAATATGTCCACGATCTTGGGCGCGGCCCGCCTTGAAGCTTTTTGAAGTTCATCAAACTTGTCAGCATCAAATTGATCGACTTCGACAAAATCGTCAAAGTCCCATAATAGATCCTCTAATTCAGATCGGAACTGTGCAATTTCCTCTGACAAGCAAGTACATAGTTTAGCATTGATCCTCAATCCGGAAAACATGGGACAACTAGCACAATAAAGCCGGTTCAAAAATACTCACCATGTTCCTTCATTGCGTCCACGAAACTGCTCGCATATTCTTCATGGTTCTTGTTGCACAGCGGCTCAATCTTCTTCAATGCTCTCTCTCCCTCCTTTGCCAGCGCCTGCGCCGCCTTGCGCATTGGGGCCGCCGACGGCTCGTCGTCTGCGGCATCGGCATTTTCGACAGCGAGATTTGCCTTTTCGACAATCTCCCGAAACGGCGACAACACGAGCCTCTCGATCTCGTCTGCCATGTTGGTGAGTGGGAAGAGGTGAGGAAAGCCGAGAGGCGCGACCTCGGAACACTTTGTTTTCTGACTTGCTTCGCCGTCGGTTATTGTTGGCGGTGGTGGTGGTGGGGTCAAGGCGCGATATCTCTACGGGATACTATACGAGCCGGTGCTGCTGTAATCTCTCAAGGCGCCGGCGCTATAGTGCGGAGCCAAATCGGAGGGCGCGTGTAAGTCGTCGTCGTCGTCGCTCATGAAATCAAAACCCTCATCCCGAGTCATGCCTCTTTACACGTGTATTGCGCCTCTCTTGGAATGGAAAAGTGTATGGTAGACCAGGCAGAGGAAAGAAGACTGGCAAATCTTACAACGAGGGGGGGGAAAGCAAAGTAAGGAAAGAAGAGAGGCGAAAGGTGTGTGACCCAACAACAGACAAGAGACCCTAGAGTCCCCAACCTAGGTGCGTCACATACATACAACCCAGTCGGTCACTACCTTGACTTGCAGAGAGGCTGAAGAGTGCCCTGTAAAAGTGGTAGGAGTTGAACGAACAGCACCTGGGTGACCAAAAAGAGGAGAGCTCCCGTGAGGCGGCTGTCAGCCAGGCACCAGCCTCAGTCTTTGGTGGGTAATATCTTTTGGCAGATGTTGTGAAATGTGGACAAAAGAGAGCTGGTGCGACCATAGAGGACCCTCACATTTCCCTCCCGCAGTTGCGCGCCTTTATTACATCAGTGTGGAATGAAGAGAGGGAAAAGAAGAAGCTTCTCAAGTCAATTGGCGGCGATCAGGGTCGCACCCCGGATCAAGTTGACAAGGGACTTGAATGGTCGTTCCTAGCCCGTCGGTGCGGGTCCCTTCACACCATCTATCTCTTCCTCTCTTGGTAAATGCTTGCTTGCGCTGGGCACTTCCCGTCATTCCAACCCGCAGCACTTGATGAGAGCCCAAAGGGCAGTGCAGTCAGTCACTGGCTATCAATCCATTCATCCCACATCGATTGGCGAGGGGCTGCAGCCTGTAGGGTGTCAACGTCTGTGCCGCACAGCGCGTCGCCAAGCCCATCAATAGGACCACTTGGCTGAGTGGCTCTGCTGCAACCTTGTCTCGAGCTGTGCGGCAATATTAGGACCAACAAGAGACAAGGCTCACTCTCTTTTTTTTTTTTTTTTCGCCCTCCTCTCCCCATCCTCTCTCTCTCTACCTCCCGGGGTAAAGCTCATTCAGGATGCTGGGGGCGATGCCAATTGGGCAGGCAAGAAAATACAACATGATCGTTTCCGCTCGGCGAATCTCGTCTAACTAGTGCTATGTAGCCGAGGCGCCTTATTCCCCCTCTCATTGATTAGGCTACGCGCGCCTTTCATCCATATAACTATTGCGATTAAATTACCCCAGGTGCGGTCCCTGAACGAACCGTTCTACTGGTAGATTGCCATGATGAGCCCTTGCGTCGGACAACATTTGCTGACTGAACTTTAATTGATGAGTGGCTTTTGGAAAACAACGCGGGATGCGCTGACTAGATGTGTTACCTATGGCGAGACGAGGCATACATTTATTAATGGGTGAATGACTGGCCTTGGTTATCGTCATTTTGAAGAAAAAAACACCAACCTACTTGTTCGGCACCGAGGCTATTGTTCCTCTATTTCTACAATTAAATAGAGGGCCGCGTGGCCCACTCTTATGAGGACCAAAGTTATATCACTCAACAAACTCCAAGATGGGTATCTTATAGTATGAATTTATGGGCCGACGGAGGAGTCGGCAGTAACCCGTCCAAGTACGGTCTATTCGGCATCAACACCGTTGTGGGAGTGATTTCGGGCGGCAGAAAGCCACGCTCGCAAACCAGCCAACCCGAGACAGCATGGTCATTTCGTTGGAGAGCAGACGATGGAACAGTGTAACGTGTACGCTTTCGGTATCCGAAATTCGCTGGACATGGTGATCCTTTTGGGAGTACGTACAGCATCGGCCGGGCTCAAGAACGGAAGCTTGGTAGGCTTCTCTTACCCAAATGTAACCCAGCTATCGATAATATTCCTTGGATGGAAAGTAGCCTCTTTGATTATCAGTATTGCGTCGTCATCCGCTATATGAAATAGTATCTTATCCTTCCTGAGCGAAAGAGCAAAAATAATATTCGTCGTGGTGTTGCGCCTGGTTACACAAGGCACTTCTGGCGGGCTGTCTTTAAGCCACTGGGGCCACTAATAAGCTAATGTACAAAGGATGTATTAACAAGAGACTTGCCTTAGTTTCTCCAGCACCTAACCTTATAAACTGCTGGTAGGCCTGGTAAGTAATGGTTGGTCTCCACGAGTCAAGATTGTGGACCTTTGAGAGCAGTCTATCAGTAAAAGCGCTACAAGGATATCGGAGCAAATACCGCTCGTGAACTCCAAACATTTCTTCCAGATCAAGCACGTTGTCGCTTGATATGTGGGCCATTTGCACTTATCCAAGTCCCCAGCAGTAGTTTGGTACGTGGTACGTATGTAAATCATCCTGCCAAACCTTTGACCAGGCGAAAAGTTTTGCCCACGTGGGTGTGTCTCACACTGGACGCAACCAACCCCTCCATTACCATCCATTCCCCTGCCACGGGTCCCTGTCGCGGAACTTCGAGAAGCTTTTCCTTACATTAGCGAGAAGGGCGAAGCATCAAGGCTGTACACCACGCTGCTGAACCTCAGCCCCAGCCTCTACCTAGATGGGTTTCTTTAGACATTGCATCATGTTTGAACGCTCGTGACCCAGAATGCTACATTCTGCACGCGGACATGGAGTTTGCAAGGCTGAATCGCATAGAGTTTCATTTCCACACGACGTTGCGGATCCCAATTGTTTGGGCCCTGCACGCCAACCCTCGGGCTCGCTAAAATATTCCCTTTCCGCTCTTGGAGCTGCAGACTGGCCCATACGAGTGCAGTCAATTGGACCCAGTGATACTCTTTGCCAAGATGGACTTGATTTGCCCAAAGTCGGTGAGATTGTAGCATTTACCAGAGTAGAGACTTTTGTGACAGCTTGGCCCTTGAATTTGGAAGAAAATACACCTACCTGCCTGATATGGTACGTGCAGTCAAATGATAACCTCTATACAAGCCCCGAGTTTGTTCGAGATTCAAATCAACAAGCAATACTTTTCTATGAATGGCAATGCTGCAAAATTCGTGTATTTGTGCGACAATGGCAGCTAGTCGACTTGTTGTCATGATATTCGCTCTAGCCACAATATTGGCGCATCAAATCTTTGCGATAGGGGGTATCTACAGGAATATCAACCAGCCTAGACAATACTACGGATGCCCAGAGGGCAAACTGTTGAAAAACCAAGATTTGGATAAAATTACTCTATTTACAGTAGTAAAAATCTACCCCCCTTTGTCTTTCCCCGCCTTTTGGGATTTTTCAACAAAAAAGAAAAATAGAAAAACCAAAAAAAAAAAGAAG